ATCATCTTCCGGACGCCATGCTTCTGCTGCGAGTACACTATTGTCCTTCTCGTCTCTAAACTTCATCCTGGCGTCCTTGCCTGCACCACTACGCTACCCTGCGAGACGCGGCTTCTTAGGGATCGAGATTGGTCTCCCCTCCGCAGAGGAGACAGCCTGCAGAGCTAGAGCCGAACCGATGGGGGAGATTGGGGGTAGGCTAAGGAGCAGAAGGGCGGCAAAGAAACAAGGGAAGGATATGTGAGGAGGGATGTGAAGGAAAGGAATGGGGGAGAAGAAAAAAGAGAGTAAAAAAAAAGAGAAAAAAAAAAGAAACAACTCGAGGGAGTTCAAGCATAGGGCGAGAAAGTATCTCCCCATCTAAGGTTACTTGGAGCTGGGGATTCCTGTTGCTAGAGCTTGTGCTAGGTGGTGTTATCGTCGTCACGTATTATCGCGGAGTCTACCACAGCCACAAAGGCACTCGGCCTGACCCTTTGCCCGCACGCACAACACGCACCGCACGCTTGGCGGCAAAGACCCATGCATTCACCCATGCGAGAGCATGGTGAGAAGGTGAGCTCACCCTTCTTCCTTCTTCCATCATCAATACCTCCCTGCATGTGAGTTCTTAATTTTGTTCCGGGTCTCCAGCGAGCCAGAGAATTTCATTCGATGTTTGGCATGCATGTGTGCCCCATTCCGATGCGGTACGGCGCGCGTGGTGCCCGTTTATGGCGACCCCTCCCTTTCGTGCTCCGCACACATATGCTTCTCAATCACATTGGAGAAAGGAGCCACAAACCAAAGACTAAGGTCTAAAAGGAAAAGGAAAAGGGAGAAAAGAAAGAAAAGGATTAGAGAGAGAGACCCCCATCGCCCGCATTCGCCCACATACGCCCCCTTTGCGTGCTTCCTGAATCTCGTCGGCTGTCGAGCTGCACCTCAGTCCTGTTGTGGGACGCAATTGAGATTTGGAGGAGGCAGCATGGTTGTTGGAGAGAGGGAGGGCGATAGAGAGTACCGAGTGCGAAGACGAAGTCTCGCCTCCCTGTCTTTCTCTCACATACTATCACTTCCCTCTCCTCCCGTCGCCTTACTTTCCCTTTCTTTTTCTTTTTCTTTTTTCTTTTTTTCTTTTTCTTTTTCTTTTCTTTCTTTGGCACCCGCTCTTCACTTTCCATCTGTTGGTTGGAAGGTGGTGTTGATCCCTGTGCTGGCTTGCCCTCGTGCCCTCGCCAGCCTGTCGCTTCGTGAATGTCTGCCCCATGAAGCATGGGATGTTAGTCCTGTTCCAAGCTTGAGCTGCCCTGTGCGCACTGGGCTCCGATAAGAGAATAGGGCCAAGCCGGCTTAGGCTGGAGATGGAGATAGAAGTGAAGACACCCTGTTGGGAATAGAAGGCACAGTCCTTGGTTTCTCGTCGGGGTATAACAATCGTGATCGGTGTCTTCATCAGCAACCAAAGTTCCGCCCGAACTTTCCCTTTTACCCTCCCCTTACAAGATAAGGAGAAGTCATTTTCTTCAAGGCCTTTGGATTCTTCCTTCCCCGAGATTTCTTTCACAGAAACCATCTTTGGGAAACCATTTTTGGCGGGCGTCACCTGTCTATCCGTTCATCCCGCGGAAGTAGGACAAAATATTGACCACTCTGCGGCCCCGGCAGCCCCGCATCACGGCGCCTTTTGCTCGTTCCGTGACGGTTGCTTGTTGGTATAACGACGGTCCTTTACAAGGAAGAGAAAAAGATCGAAGCAAGGACCGAGAATTGGACGGGCACAGCGGCCACAGCGGGCAAGATAGCACGTCAACATCTCCCGCCAGGCCGAGGCTCGAGTCCGAGACTAGCGATCGTTGGGCCCGACCTGAGTTGATGGGCACAAGCAAGGAAACAAAGGAGCCAACCTTACATGTAGGCGAAAAGCACTCAACGGCACACAAGGTCCGCCTTCCGGCTTACCCTCTGCCGGGCCCCCGAAAAGTTTCCCTTTTTTATTAAAACCAAGGAATAGGAACCCACGAGCTCTGTGAGAGCAAGAAAGGAGAAGAGGAATTGGAAACAACCGACCCGAGAATAATCCCGCAACGCACCACTTCGTCTCATCGTCTCACGGAGACACACGCATACACACATACATCCGCTATTCCGCAGGCAAAGCACACGGAGAAGAGAGACTGCAGAGGAACACAGCATCGACAAGCATCTCCGCACAGGTGCTACCCACCACTCCCGACCGACCGACCGACCGACCAGCCCTCCTCGCCCTCCCCTCCTCGTCCTCATCGTCGTCGTCAAATTGAGCGCGGTTCCTGCCGCCTACCGCCTTTTGCTCCTAGCTACTGCATCTCGATAAGGCGGGCTCAAGGACCTTTATTCCTTTTCTTCTTCTTTTTCTTTTCTTTTCTTTTCTTTCCCTTTTCCCTTTTTCCCCCGTCCCCCCTTCTATCTCACCTACTTTTTCTTTTTCTTTTTCTTTTCTTCTTCTTTTCTTTCCCGCTTCCTTGCCTGCATCCTCGCTTTTCGCCGCCCCCGTGTACTTTTTAGGGGACAAAGGCACCATCGCTTCTCCTTCCTAATTTCTCGTCTTGGCCCGCAGCGGACTTTGTTCAAGTCTTGTTTGCAGACATCACCCATCCGAGGCAGGCTACGCTTGTGCTGCAGCACTCCTCCTCGGGCCTTTTCTCTTCTCCCCCGGGTTTCCGACGTTGCCATTATCGTGGTCGTCTTCTCCTGAGCCTTTTAGTCTTCTTTCTCTCCCCCTTTCCACGACCCCTGCCTCTTCAACCATTCTCTTTTTTTTTCTCTTCTCACCCATTCTTCCTTCTTTGGTGGTGCTCAAAGCCATGTGCGCACGCCTCAAGTGTCTCACACCGCTTGCTTTTGAATCTTTGTCTCTTCTTTTCCCTTTTTCCCTCCTTGCTTCTTGCCGCCTCTTCCTCCCGTCTCCCGCCATTTGCTTTTTAGCTTATCTCTTATTCTTTTTCTTCCTTCCTCTTCGCCCTTCTATTTCCAGCCATCTCTCCCGAGTCCCCCTTGCCCCTCCCGTGGGGTAGGTAGGGCGCGGTGAAGAATTGAGGTTTTCCTTTCTTCCTTTTCTTTTCTCCCTTTTTATATATCAAAGAATTCGAGACTCGGCGACGCTTTTCGCCTCCTCCCTCCGCCTCGCCTCCACACCGAATTAACCTTCGAGTCTGGGTATTTTCGGTTTTCTTTTCTCACCCGCTCTTCTCTTCTCGTCTACCGCCGTGGCACGTCCTTACCGAAGATACATCCCTTGCTTGTAAATCATTGAGGTGGTTTCATCGACCGATCACTCGCACAACCGTTCATTGGAAGGAGAAGACGCACAGAGGTTAGGCTTCGGGTCTAGATTAGATATCTAGACTGTCCGACTCTTCGCTCGAGCGCATCGTACGGAAACGTCTCAACGAACGCAAGATTGAGGAGATATCCCCATCACCCCCTCCTCTTGTTCTTTCTTCAACAGTAAGAAGGTCGAGGGCCATCGCTCACAACTCGCGCACGAGACATAGTCTTGTCGCTCTTCCCTTACTCAAAGGGTTTCCTACGAACTTGACGACGACGGCAATAGCACAATCCTCATTCATGCGATATTTGGGCAGACCAGTCTCCATCGAGAACAAAGGATTATCAACTGCGCACGAAATTCGTTGAGCCCCTCCCTCGCACGATTCAATTTTCGACAAAATCGAACCCCCACCAGCACAAGCACCACCAAGCTCGAACCCCGCCTTGGGCGAAGGGCGGAAGACTAGGCCAGTAGGAAGAAGGAGAACAAAAGAGAGGGTTTTAATCGACCAACCCGATCGAAGGGCCGGCGCCCGCCTATTTGAGGAAATCCCTCAAGCTCCCCTCCACCTCTCCACCCCTCCAACCGTCCACCCCCTTTTTCCGGCGATGTACATCCCGGCCTAAATCCGAGGCTCCGCCCGGACGCCAAGGCCCGTGTGCCCCACCTCATTGCCCGCCAGTTCACGGGCGATGCTGGCCATGACACCAACGTAACGATTGGCATCATCGTTGCCGTCGTGCTGGTAGCCTTTCTCGTCGGCGTTGGAGCTTTCCTGTACACGTATCGCGACTCGATCCGGTTCACGGCCCGCAGGCGACGGAGGAGAAAGGGAGGGCCACGGCGAAAGTCGACAGGTAGCAGCAAGAGCGGGAAAAGCGATGGTGGAGGTGATCATCCTGAACCCGGGGTGCCCATCGATCCTCCGCCGCCGTCAGCGCCACCCGCCGATGCCCCTTAGCAGCCCTCTGTTCTTTTTTTTTTTTTTTTTTCTTTTTCCTTATTTTTGGTTTCTTTTTAATGTCGGCTTCCTTTCCCCATTCTCTTTTAGAGATGGGGGAGGGGCTTGTATGTATATATCGCGGCGTCGTCGAAGCCGATGCTAAGAAGAAGCAATTCTTGGGGAATGTATGTGTAGTAGGAACAAAGGATATGGGATACGGGATATGGGGTCGGTGTTGGTGCTGGTGCTCTTTTCTCGTCTTTTTTTCTTGCTCCCCGTATCTCGCCATCCCAGCTCACACTCATTTTCTTTGTCCTCACACTCTTTTTTTCTTCCTGTCTCTTATTTCTTTTTTTCTTTCCATTTTCTTTTCTTTTCTTGTACTATCGCTGCGCATCTTCCATCTCACATCTCATGTCTCATCTCACGCCTCACGTTTCTTTTTTTTTTCCGTCATGGTTTATGTAGTCATGGTTCATGAATCTCTGTCCTGTTCCCTTTTATCATTTGTATGGGCTCATAGGAAAAAACATTGTGCAGGGAAAGTCACTGGAGGCGTCTTGGGTTTGCTTTGTATAGGGGTAATACTGAGCCATTTCTTTTTTATCTATTTCTTCCTTTCCCACCCAAGATTGACTTGATTCTGGTACGGGTCAAGGCTCGGTCAGTGGCACGTTTCTCTAATTTTTCTTTCATGATGATGAATCCGGACGCGTTACAAGGGACTTGCTCAAGAAAAAGGTCTCCGTGTCTGCTAGTGTTGCCATGTATGCCACGCATCCTGCTTTCCAGTACAACCGCCAAGATACTGCTCGGGACGGGGTCACCTCGTTCCTACGCGGGATATCCAAACCGCACCCGCCGCCTCCTTTCCCTCCTCTCCTCTTCCCCGGCGGCACCAGTCCGTCAAAGGTCATGCCGGGGTACACCGGCCCATCAAACGGCATCATGCCGTCCACCGGAACCCCGGCATCTCCTCCAGCCGGCGTCATAAAGACGGGCGCCTGCGCCGGTCTGTTCCTCCGTCGCCTCCTTTCCCTCTCCCTCTCCCTATCCCGTCCCGCGTACGGTGGCGGCCTCCGCCGGGCCGTCCTCGCCATGGTTCTTCTCATCATTCTCTGCCTAGCTCTTCGTCGTCGTCTTCTCCAGGCGGCCGCCGTCGCGCCGCAGCTGGCGTTCGGACACCGCCGGGCGCGGGCGCAGGCGCAGGCGCGGTGGCGACGGTGCCCGCCGAGAGCGGCGGCGGCGGCGGCGGCGGCGGCGGTTGTGGCGGTAGTAGTGTGCGGAAGGGCGGGCCCGCGCCTCCAGTAGGATACTTTGTGTTTGTGTTTGGACCGGTGGTGGATGGATCCGCCGGAGCCGCAGCCGCAGCGGGTGCGGAGGAAGAAGAGGAGGGCGAGGCAGAGGAGGGCGGAGGCGGCGAGGAGGCCGATGATCCAGGCTATGGCTTCGGTGGTGGAGGTGGTGCGTGGTCTAAGATGGTTTCGATGGTGGTGGTGGTGGCCTTGCGAGGAGGAGGGGAGTCGTGGGCTGGTGGGGTGCGTGTGGAGGAGAGCGGCTGGTGGCATGTCGATCTTCCCGGTGGTGGGTTATATGAGAGGGAGGGTTAGAGGGTTGGATGGGGAAAGTGTTGGATGGGCTGGGTGCTTTGCGGAGGGGGATTTTTCTTGGTCGTTGGGCGGCATGGGCTGGGGGAGGGGGAGGAGAGAGGCGGGAAAGGGAGGAGGAGATTGTTCGTCGTTGGGTCTGCTCTCTGTTGCTTTCCTCCATTTGCTCATTTTGGTTTACTTGATTTTGGTTCTTTCTGCTAGAGTGAGTGATGGAAAGGAAGAAAGAGGGAGCAGAAACGAAAACATAGATAGAGACGTATGGCCTCATTCCTGAGAGTTGAGACATGGAAAACGTATTCGTGGAGTTTGAGGGTGCAAAAGCCTTGGAAATCGGTACGCAAATAACTCAAGGACCACTGCCTTTCTTGGTTCCCTTCCTTTTCATAAGCTTTTGGTTGTTAGGAATAGGTTGGAGGCGAGAGGAAACTGGAGAGTGGCGGCGTGTTGGCATCTAGTTTGCCTAGATGTGACTTTGTGTGGCGAGCAAAGCGGTCATGCTTTGCGCGCGGGGAGTTGATGTCCCCAACTAACATGGCAACTTGTATGCTTTACCGAATAAGGGAGGTAGCTGTGTGAGAAACCGTATTCAAGCTTTGCTATCGATGTATCCCAATCGTAGGAGAAGAAGAAAAACGTATGTCGCGCTTTCGCCCTCTGCCTCTTACAGCTTGAGCGAGCTCGATCCTCCAAACTATGAACAGCGGTTTCTCTGCCTCAACGACAAAGGAGATTAGTTTCTCTACGCCCAAGGTTTTGCCCTTCATACAATAAAATCATCCAAACTTACAAGCCGGATCTATCCCACCCCCAAGAGAAGCCCTTGTTTCCAATCCTCGCTTCCAAAGAACTCTGGCTAGACAACTCCCTCTAGGCCTCCGACGGGGCTGCAAAGTACAGCTGGCCAAACGTCAGCTCCCCAAACGCCTCCCCCACCAGTTCCCACCGCCCCTCCGCCCCCATCTTATACACCGAAACTCTCCTGTGGCCCTCGCTGCCCAGATCAGCGTAGCAAACCATGTATCCCGGCGCGCGGCCCCACGACTCCCTGCCCCGCGGAGACGGGCCGGTAGCAATCCGTCGAGCTCCGGGTCGTAGCGTGACGTCTGGCGCCGGCTTGGTCGGTATGAGGGGCGCTGGGCCCCAAACGAAACATACGGAGATCGGTGGACGTCGTTCCGCGGCGTGGGTGCCTCTCGGTAGGCGTGGTCGTTGGTGGAGGCTGCTCCATTGTCTGCGAGTTGGAGCCTAATCCATCGTTCGATGACTTCGGAGTTGGCATCTCGATGAGCGGAGGCGGCCGCCGGCTCGGTGTTTCGGAGCTCTGCGTTGGTTTGGACGGAACTGTAATCATCCGGTAACTCTCTCGTGCTGGAATGTCCATGTCCGCTGCTTTCGCTTCTCAGGATGCCCGCCAGCTCCTCGCTGCTGGACCCGAGATTACGAAGAGCACCCTCCGTCATATACGGACGCCAAACATAATGTGGGAGGGGTCTCCCAGGTCTCGCGGCCTCTGCTTCCCTGTTCCCATCTGTCCTCAGTGCCAATTCGCCAACGCCAGCCGTGTAGCCCCCTGGCCGCTGACCTCTCCGGGTCCATCAAGTCGTAAAACCTCTTTCCAAGCAGACTCGGCATGTGCAAAGGTCGGTACTCTTCCCCTGCTTCCGCTTCCCTACCCAAGGTATCGCGCACGCACAAGGATGGATCAAGGGAGTCGCGGGAGCACCCAAGACCTTCAGCGTGATTCCGCGGCCTGGTATTGTCTGCGAATCCTCGGTGCGTAGGACGAAAAGCAGTGCCAAGGTTACGGATTTCCTGCATGCATCTAAAGGGAAAAAACAAAAGGCAAAGTTAGTAACTCGGCCACCTTACATGATGGGGCCTTGATTTCCTCTTACCTCTGAACCTCTATCGAGGACCCCACGTCCCGTGAGTTTTGGAAAGGGAACACGGCTCCCTCGGACCTTTTGGACATGATGAACGTGATTGTGGTGGGCGGGGCTTAGTCGCTTCGTGTATAGCAAAAACGGAGCTTTGACGTTGGGCGATCTGCCGGACGGGTGATGAGAGAGGAAAGCAAAGGGTTTTGTCGGAGGCCCCGAGTCTTGTTTTACAACGCAAACTCCTTGATTTCTTCTTCGCGGTGAAGCAATCGAGATAGGAGGGTAGTTTTGTGCTATTGTTTTTTTTGGTAAGTAAAAGGGACAATGAAACGAGCGAGGGAAGAAAGGGTTTCGCCAACGAGTGAGAAGAGGCGTCTGTTTTTATATCCAGGTTCATCCCATCTGTGGCTGCTACTGGAGCACGACTCATATCAAGCGTGATTCAGGAGACACCTGTTCTTGGGAAGCACAATCTAGCGAGGAAGGCAGTCACTCGCCTTTCTAGCTCCTCCTGAATGGAGAATACTTTTCTCTCCATCCTCTTGATAGCCCAACGTAAAGCGTTGGCGACGGCGCACTCTTTTCCACCGTGAGGGTTCGAGATAGACAAGACTGCCCGCTCGGAAGAACATGGAACTCAACCCTCTTGGACACAGGCCAAGCCTATTTTCACAGACCAACTGGACACAGTGGACGATCGATTCAACCGCCGAAAAACGCGGTGCGTGTTGTCTATTCATATTTCACGTTCCCCCAAGCCTTCTATGTCTACAAAGATCCCCAAATCTATCATGCCCAACCCCATCTCAACTCAACAAGTCCTTGATGTCCTCGATCCGTTGGTGCCTCTTTTCTTCGTCGCTCATCATACCTAGAGACGAAGCGCTAGGAAGGAAAAGTCAGCACATGCTTTTACAAGAGCCTCGTGAGAAAAAGGAGACGGCTTGTAGTGAGAGGAAGTGTGTGCGTAAGGGAGCAGGGAAAGTGAAAAGACAACTCACATAAACTTCTTCCGGTCCTGCACCTTGAGCATCCTCTCCTCCACGCTATCCTGCACAATAAACCGATACACCTTGACCTCGCCCTCCTGGCCCATCCGATGCACCCGATCAATCGCCTGCGCCTCCACCGCGAAGCTCCACCACGGATCCATCATGAAGACCCTGCGCGCCGACGTCAGGTTAAGCCCCACCCGCCCGCCTTGAGGCTAATGAGCAGCACCGTGAAGCGCCCGGCCTCGCGGAACTTGGCCAGCACCGCCGCCCGCGCCTTTTGCGACATGGACCCGTCCAGCCGCAAGAAATCCATGCCCGCCCGCTCTAGCGCCGGCTCGATGAGCGAGAGAAACGACGTGAACTGGCTAAACACCACCGACTTGATGCGTCCGTGCTCCCGCCGCAGCTCCCGCAGGTACCGGATCAACACCATCACCTTGGACGACGAGTCGCTCGTCCCCACCCGCTGCAGGCTGATGCGGCCCCCTTGCCGCCCTGCGTCCCCGACAGCGCCGCCGCCATGTCGCCGTTGCCATCGTCGTCGTCATGCCGAATCACCTCGAACAGGTCGCGCACGTTGATGGGCTCGCGGCAGTGCACGCAGCGGGGCACTTTTTCGCGCGACGTCTCGTGCTTGATATACTGCAGCAGGCACTTCTTGCACGCCGAGTGCCAGCACCCCGTCACCGTCTGCTCAATCATGGGCTCCTCGGCGCAGATCGGACACTCGTGGCTCGCCTCGCTCCGGATCTGCGCCAGCACGTGCGCCCCAAACGTCGCCCCCGGCCGCGACTGCTCGTCCGCGAGGTCGGCCGTGAACCTTTGCAGGAGCACGTCCAGGTCCATGTCGTCGGCCAAACCCGCTACGGCATCCGCGGCGGCGGCGGCGGCGCTCGCTGCCTCTTCTTCCTCGGCCACGATATCGCGGTTTCGGATCAGGATCGGGTGGCAGCACGTCTGCCTCAGTCGGATGATTTGGGCAAACAGGCTGGCATACGCCTTCATCACCGTTCCGGATGCCATATTGTTGTCGAGGGTGTTCTTGGCCCGCGTGAAGACGTGGTTGTAAATCTCTCTCGGACTCGGAAAGCTCCACCTTGACGATTTCCACCTTTTTGGCGGCAAAGGTACGAGTCTGTATTGTTTGGGGAGAGTCCTTTGTTAGTATCTTCAACTTGGCCTGGTTTCATAAAAAAGAAAAAAGGAGGCACTTACGGGCTTCCATCGGGGTTCTCATATCCTTTGTCCTCCTCATCACCAACGGCTCGAGCACCGTCTGAACCACATCCAGCGCCCGCACAAAGTTCTTAGACTCGAACGGCAGCGTGATAAAGGTCCTCCAAAAGGAAAAATTGTTCCAGGGCTCGACGCCGAGGAAGCGCACGAGGCTGAAGAGATCCTCGAGGCGGTTGACGATGGGGTGCCCGTGAGCACCCAGCGGTGCTCGGCGGCGAGGGCATAGCAGGCCTTGGACGTCTTGGACCTCCGGTTCTTGATGGTGTGGGCCTCGTCGAGGATGATGCGCAGGAACTCGAGCGAGAAGAGCCCGCGGTGGTGCGACTTGTCGCCCTTCTTGGCCAGGATCTGGCTGAACTCGGACAGGACGGTGCCGTAGCTCGTGATGACCACGTCCGGGGCCGAGGCGGCGCTGTCTTCGCAGCACATGGCCTGCAGGTTGCAGTTCTTCTCGCTGCCGTAGTATACAAACGCCTTGAGCGTCCCTTCCTTAGAGGCCTTCTCCGCCTCGCTGTGCCACTGCGCGAGGAGCGACATGGGCGCAATCACCAGGGTGGTTTGGGGCGCCCGGAGCACCTCTGCCTCGGGCGAGCCATACGACCGCAGCTGCTGGAGCGAGGACAACCCAGTCTTGGGCTGGGCCCTCGGGTAGGGCTTGTTGGAGTGGATCAGGCTGAGCATCTGAATCGTCTTGCCGAGGCCCATCTCGTCGGCCAAGATGCCGCCTAAGCATTTCTGTTCCTGGGCTGGGAAAACGAGCGTCATCTCGCCAGAGTAAGGATTCATGTAAAACTTGTCCTGCCCCTCGACGATGGGGAGGTCCTTGTCGTCGGCGTCCTTCAAGGGCCAGGTATATTCTTCCCAGAGGGTGGAGAGAGGGCTCGCGGTTTCCCTTTTCGCCGCGCTCCTTGTTCAGCATCCAATGCAGAGCCTGCTTCTGGTAGGGCCGCAGCTGTAGGGCAAACGTGTCGAGGGCTCCGCCTCGGGAGTGTTGAAATCAAAGGACTGGGCTTTCCGGTACAACGCGTCGAGCTGGTCCTGCTCCAGCTCTTCGCCCTCCTCGGCCTCGTCCGGCGGGCTGGACGGGACCCCCAGCATTGGCGTTGGCATTGGCATTAGCATTAGCATTGGCATTGTTGGCCTTTGGGGGATCCTTGCCCTTTTTCGTCGAGCTCGGCGGCCTCGAGAAGACCCTGACGCTGCTGCTTCGTGTCTTGGGCGCTGAGGGTGGAAGGGAGAACATTAATCTCCTGGAAGAGCCTGACGAGGGCGACCTGCCGCAGGCGGAGGTCCTTCTCCTGCGTAGTTTCGTCCTCCTCGCGGAAGCTGGTGGCGATGTCGTCGGAAGGATGGAGGACGGTGGCTTGAAAGGCGGACGGCAGCAAGTAGACCCTGAGCTGCAGGAAGATTGTGTCGTTGGTCCTCATCCGTTCCGGCGCGTAGACGCAGGCGCCCTCGAACCTGCAAATGCCCTGATCCATCAACGTGGAGACCCAGTTGGCCGTCTCCTTGGACAACCTCCCCAGCTCCGCCCCGGCCGCGTTGGTGAAGCGCACAATCACGTCGACTCTTCTAGCAGCGGCGGCGGTCATGCGCGCGGTCACGATGGGAACGCCAATCTTGATCTGGCCCTTGGGGGTCGTCTGGGGCGCCTGGATCTTTTGCCGCTCAATTTTGACGGCGTCTCCGTGCCTCAGCATGTTGTGGCCGCTCCGGGTGGCCCAGCCCTCGACGCCAAACGCCCCAATGTACCTCGGCTGCCGCTGCCGCTGTCGGGACCGGGAGGGCAGGCCGTTGGACTCGGGCAGCGCGGCCGCGGCCGATCGGCCCCGTTCCAGAGCTGCGGGCGCCGACGCCGCGGAAGAAGCCCTCGCCACCGCCGCGGGGGTTCCTTCCACTTCTTCCACGTGCCGTCAAAATACATATTGACGGCCCTTTCCAGGTTCCCGTTGCTATGCTGCCGGATGAGGTCGAGAACGTCGGGCTCTACCTTGTGTCCGACGAAGCTCTCAAACATCTCGGGGTCAAAGGCCACGGACGAAGATTCGTGCTGCAGGGTCGGCGGTTCCGACGACGCCGCGGGGGCGTGGCACGCCGTGTGGATTCGGGCCTGCTGCCATTGTGAAGGGGAGGAGGGAGGCGGTGGGCGGGGAGCGGGGATGATTGGGCCACCACGCTTTTCAGGGGACTCGGGACCACCGGGTCGGAGAAGAAGCGCTCGGGGGCGGGAGGCTGCTGCTCGGGGGCTCGAGTCGCCGGGCGTTTGGTCGTGGGTGGCGGTGCCGTATTCGCCGGATAAGCGCTGCTTCTTCGCAGGCCGACCCGAGGGGCTGAGATCCGCCATTTGGCGGTTCGAGTGCAACACACACTTTGAGACCGAGACACGGTGAGTCTTTCGAGTGAAAGCGTCGTGGCTAGGATAAGATGCGCACAACGGTCAAATTCGTTTTTTGCGTACCAAGCCAACAGAGCGTGAACTGACATTTGACGCCTCCAAGTGAGAGCTCTACCATCGGTTCCCGGAGGTGTACGCCCAGACCAGACGCGACTAAATTTTAGGGAGACGCGCTGCCCCGCGAGCCAGGAATCCCGGTATCAGGTGACTTGTGGCGTCTGGTGGGGTTAATCAGCGAAATCTCACGGCGCTGTTCAGCTCATTGTTCAGGGCACTGGCAACAATTCAAAGAGCTCTTCCACTGGGGGCGAGACCTACCAGCCTATCAGAAGCTGCTCAATTCTCTTGGTTCAACTTTGGACAGACACGGCCTTTTTTTTTTTTCCCGTCTCCCACACTACAAGTGACGTCAATTGACCATTTCTCTTCTTCTCCCCCTTCCCTTCTTTCTTTCTATCCTCTTCACTATGGAAGGTTAGATCCCGAGGAACGCCTCTCTCGATGCATCACCAGTCAATCGTCCGTGGCGGCCTCCAGCGCCTGGCCACTTCGCAGTCGCGAAGCTATCGCCGCCACATTGCGACAGAAGCAGATCTAGTCCAAGCCAAGAACTACTGCGTCAAGCAGATTGCGTGAGCTCAAGCCCAATCCCCCTCCCCTTCCCTTTGCCTCCCCGCAGATCCAAGAAACCAAATAGCAGAGAGGAAAAAGAAGAAGAGGAAGCTAACCAAACACCCGGCGCGGTGTCGTTTTCCAGCCAGAGCGACCGCCAGGCATTTCTCATCCGGCAATTCGTCCCCGCCCCGTCCAAGACGTCTACGATGTGATCCGAACCTTGAACCTCGAGCTCGTGCGCCTCCCAGAGTCCGTCTCCAACCCCATCATCGGCCAGATGCGCACGCAATTCTGGCGCGACTCCATCGACAAAACCTTTGCCGGCACCCCGCCCCGCGAGCCCATCTGCCTCCTCCTCCGCAAAGCCCTCGACGACCTCGAAGCCAGGGCCGGGCCCTCGGCGCAAAAGTCGCTCAAGTTCTGGATCTCCCGCTTGATCAAGACGCGCGAGCGCCACATGACGAATCGCCCGTACCCTTCCATGGCCGCCCTGGAAGAGTACGCCGAAAGCACCTATTCCACCCTCATGTACGCCACCCTCGCCGCCCTACCCATGCGCTCTATGCATGTGGACCACCTCGCGAGCCACATTGGCAAAGCCTGCGGTATCACCGCCATCCTCCGCGGTATCCCCATCCTCCTCGCACCTCCCCCGCCGCCGCCGCCGCGACCGGCTTTGACGCCCCAGCCGCGATCCCGCGATCCTCCTCCCCCTCGATGTCCTCGCCGAGCACGGCGTGAGCGAGGAGTCCATATTTCGCCAAGGCCCCGGGGCCCCGGCTTCCGTGATGCCGTCTTCACCGTAGCCACGCGCGCCAACGACCACCTTATCACTGCGCGGGAGATGCTCAAGAACCTCCAGGCCGGCCAGCACGCCGGCCACGACTACGAGCACGAGGGCGAGCTCGAGGAGCACATTTACGACGACGGCGGCGAGGACGATGTCGCCAGAGACGTCAGGAGAGCTTTTGGGGTGCTGCTCGAGGCTGTCCCCGCACAGGACTACCTCTCCGAGCTGGAGAAGAGGGACTTTGATCCGTTCGCCGTCCGGCCCGGGTGGAAGCTACCGTGGAGGATATGGAGAGCGCTAAAGAAGCAGGCATTATAGGCCTCGAAGAGGATGCACAAAGGATAAAGAGAGAGGGTGACCCCTTGTCTCAGTGTATAGTACCATGTATTCACGAAATACCCCAATATCATTTTAGATCCATGTATAAAAACAAAGGGAAACAACGGCTAGGCGGGAGGTCGAGGCAAGGAAAGTCGATGCAGTGAGGAGCGACAATACAATCCGGCACATCCAAACAAGAAATATAGAGAGAGACTTGTACTTGCATCGTTTTTATCTACGATTTTACGGCCAGAATCTCCGTAGATCCAGAACCTCTCTTTTAATGAAGGAGCACTCGATGAAGCGCAACAGCGATGCTTCGTAGCAGGCCAGTGCAAGCTTCAACCAACCAAGACGAAGCGTTGTGGGTCCGACGAATGTCAAACAAAAAAAAAAAAAAAAAGAGAGAACCAGCAAGCTCCCCCAAGCCCGGCAAAACCCCGGATATAATATCGTGAAATTCCTCCAAGCATCTTTTTCGACCTCGCATCGCCAAACACCAAGCCGTCAAAACCGCGACCCGTTCAAGTCCCCTCCCTTTATTCGCGATCAACCTTTCCATGCGCGTCCCAAGATGCTTTACGAACTCGTAGGGATAGTAAGTCTCACATCTCTCCTTCCCACTGCCATCATCAATCCCACCAAGAGCTCCCCTTTCCCCCTTTCTTTCGCCCTTTCGGCAGCTTTTCCGCTAACCAGACCTTTTCTCTTGCTCTCCAGATCCGACCCGGCAACCTCGCCGAGGTCAAAGAGTAATTCACTCCCTCCCCCTTATATGTATACCCCCAATTTCCCTCTCTTCCAAGAATGCTCAAACGAAGCCAAATTCGCAAAAAAAGAAAATCAGTCAATCAGTCCACGCAATCTTTCTAATGCTCTCCCCAAAACAGAATCGCCCTCACCTGCGGCCAAATCGTCCTCCGCCAAGGCGGCGTCATCCGCGGCCTCGCCAACCTCGGCGTCTTCTCCCTCCCGTCCCCCGTCACCAAGCACCAGATGAAGCACCGCGACGGCCACTACTTTGTCATGCGCTACGACGCCTCCGCCGCCGCCCACGCCAACGTCCGATCCACCATGCGCCTCGACCCCGCGTAGTCCGCGCCGCCCATGTCAAGCTCGGCGACGGTACCCTCGCGAGCATGGCCAAGTTTGGTCCCGTGAAATGGAACACGACGTCGTGAGCGGTGTGTAACCCAAAACAAAGACGAATGAGAACGGACATGAGGAGGATGGGGAGAGAACAGAAAAGGGATAGTCGGCGGGCAAAAGGAGCGACGACGAAAAATTAAAGAGAGGGAAGAGACCTGCCCCTTTTGTTTTTGGTGAGAGATCCCTTGCCAAGATGCTCTTCACCCGCCTCGGGACACCACTTGAATGGGGAACTAGAGGGAGGCTCTCTTCGTCCGAAGCGATACCTATGAACGAGCTCTACGACGAGAATCACGGTGTGCAGCAGGAGGAGGCCACAAAGGGGTCGAAAACCGACAGTCCTCGAGCGGGCGATTGGGCAGTTGGATATGAGAGAATCGGTGGTGAGCAAGCGTGAGGCGAACCCTCCCGCCAGCGCGAAACATTGTACCATCTTTTGAACCTCCCTACGAGAGACGGTTCTTGTATTTATATGCATCTTGGGAAACTTGTTTATCTTGTCATTCTTCCGTTTCCATCACCGTTCCCCCATCCAAAATTAGAAGACAACGAACGCACTAGAACACTGGACATGATTTGGTAGCCTCGTGAGCCCGACTAGACCAGACCCTCCACGCCCAATTCCCACACAGAAAATGCAGAAAAAGGCAGATTACTCATCGCGCGCAGTAAGATTAGTCGCACATCACATCAACATCGAGATTGGTCGCCGTCGTTCAGGTCATGTATCTTGTTTTGCTCTCTATTGAAATGATGCTATATTTTGCTTCTGCTTCCTCTTCTTCTTCTTACATCAAATGGGCAAGCAGTGGCCCCCGACCCCAAAACGCTAGACGATCCGCAAGGCCGATATATTCTTGACTTTACGCGAGGACCCAGTACATGCATGCTACGATCAATGGGTGGAGAGGGAAAGGGCCAGAAAAGGAAAAAGGAAAGATGATGGACAGAGAAGGAAGTCCGCGCGGGGCAGGAGGGAGGTAGAGAGCCCGTATACATTGATCCATGCTTATGCGCCTGGTACGTCGCCCGTCCTCCGTATATACGTGAGGTAAGTGCGTAGCCCCTCCCACCTATCCCTTCCGTACGGATCATGCCACAGTGAGCAGCAATAACAAAGTCGATTTCCACCTCATGATGTCGTGAAATAAAGTGTCTAGTTGAAGGGCGGGCAACGCCCATTAATATTTCGTTTTGTTCCCAGAAATCGGTCAACCAAAAAAAAAAGAAAACCGAGAGGGTTATAGATGTAGGGGTTTGAGGGGGAAAGGAGCAGGAAAACGATTGGGTCATCAAGGCATTGATAGGAGAAGGATGCAGATTCGGCTAAGGGGAATGGTGGGCGTCAGGCGCAAGTTTGGCGGGCAATGGCGGCGGGGGCTGTCTCGGCCTCTTTCTCAGAGAAAGGGCAACCCTCCCTCAGTCTTCGACCTCCATGGTATCCTGGCCCTTGGCCTTCCCAATGCCGTGTGAATCCCGGCACCAGGCCACAAATTCGTCAATGACGCTAGGCCAAGCCCCATCCTCGCTCCAGAACGAGAGCGTTTCGTCCGTCATGGACCGGAGGGCGAACTCCAACGTCATGTTCCACATATCGCGATTAACGGAACGGGTCCACTTTTCTTTGAGAAAGCTGATCCAAAGGTCCAACCAATCGTGCGACTTTGTCTTCCACTGCATGCCGGGGAGGTGAAAAGCATGGGCCAAAAGACAAAGGCATTCTCGAGACTAAGCGCGCGTTGGTCCGCCTCTTTGCCCACTACAAAGGCGTACCGGTATACCTGCTTAAAGTAGCCAGGGTTGCGCGAGAGCGTCGAGACTAGAGATTTGACGTGGGCAGCGCAGCCTTCCTGAGTTATCGTCACGCTAGAGTTATGCGTTAGCTGGGCGGTCAAGAGGGGTGAGCCCGGAGGATCGACGTGGGAGTGCACGCAAGTGACAGAGGGTCGCGTAGCACTGGGCCGGGAACATATATATATATATATATATAAAGAGTCACGTACCCGCTGTTCTTCCAGCCCTCAACAAAGCCCTTTCTCGTGATTTCTCCGATGCTAGGCGCCTGGAAGAACTCCAAAGCAACGAAAAGAGACGCGTTCTCGAGGTTGACGTTTAGGTTCTGCAGGTATGTCATAGACGACTCGACGCCAATGGCATCCTTCGAGTCATCGCCACCTAGAATAGTAAAGAAAGAAGAGATAGAATCGTTAGTATATCTGGACGACTCGGCAAGGCACCCGTGTTCGTCGGCTCAGCTCTTCGCACAAATGCAACCTCCCCGCAAATGACGCGCCAAAGTGGCGACGAGGAGGAACCGGGAAGCAGAGGAAGGGTTAGGCTGTGTTAGGGTTAGGTGGCAAGCGGTTGGCACAACATACTTCGTAGGGCATCAAAGGCCTTGTCAAGCTGGCTGTCCACGACTGACAGAGTCGATGACTGGGCACTTCCATTACTAAAGTATCTGTAGATTGCCCATTTCAGTTAGCGGGATATGCGTCGTTTTGCGATGCTTGCAGCAGAAAGGTCGTAACGCATTAACCATGGGCGAAAAGGAAGAGCAATGAAACATAGGGAAAGGCCGAGTGATAGCCTCCTCGAGGCCTTGCTCTTTGAGGTTCGATGGAGACTCCTTCATCAATGGAAAAATAAAGGTCCTCATCACTGATGCTCTCTATATGGTGAAGGGTTGACGCCCAGGGTCAGGGACATTTCAAGTACAGCCGAGCTCCCAAGCAGCTTTGCTCAGCCCTATACGCCTTGAATATCTTACATCCCCGCCGAGGGAGGCTCACCAATCCAGCAATATGAGATGTGATATAAACAAGGCCGGCGATCGTGGCCAATGAAATTCAACTCGAATAGCAAAAGCCCAGAGAGAAGGAGAGAAAAAAAAAGAGTAAAAGAAAAAGAAAAAAGGGAAAACGAAAGTAGGTTGTGTTAATACCGTGACGCATCCTTGGAATTGCCATTCTGCTTGGCAGCTTTCCTCTTGGAGGAAGGCCAGAAACCAACTTTTGAAGGGAGGGCGCTCTTCACGCCTTTCCAGCTCATCCTCGACGACTTTAAGAGGGATTGGCCTACACAGCCAAACCCCCTTATTTTCTTGTTTCTTCTTATTTGTTCTTCACGCACGAGAAATGAAGAACAGAGAGAGGCAACCGAGATCAATGCCTGCCAACTTGACCACCCCTCACGCCCAAAGAGGCAAGAAGAAAAATAAATAGAGAGCCTCGATGGGTGAGTGATGAATGCAGCCGGTCATACCAAGACGATACAAAAATAGAAAGATGCCGGCGCGGGGAAGGGCAAAATCTCCGTGCGACGGGCCTTGAAAGAAGGGGGTGGGATGTATATACGATAAAGGCGAGCGAGCGGGGGGGAAGATCTCGAGAAGAAGATGGGCAAAGTAGCAAACGCCTGACCTCCAGACTGTCCGGTAGATTCTTCGCGCGCGTGCTTAGTCTTCAAGTTGCAGTGGAGTGGGCGAGAGGAGTGTAAATCGACTCTGGGAGATTGTGGAGGCTGGGTAGTGGCTAACCGAAGAGTATAGTTGTAGGTATTGTACAACGGCTCCGGGCCGACAAGGCAGTGGCGCGAGGCGAGGGAATAAAAGAAGAAGGAAACCCGAACAATAGAAGCTACTAAAAGGAGGCGAAGGGGGCGCCCTCAAAGTATAAAGGAAGCGAGGAAAGGTTCAAAGGTTGCGCAAACGCACCGCACTCACTGCGACTCGCCTTGCACCAACGCAACGCGTGGGTATAGCAGCTGTGGGGCTCACACCTCGACGACAACTGGAAGGATGACGGGTCGGGGTACTTCTCGAGTGGAAAGGGCCCCGGCCGGCTACAGAAGAGACTGGTACAACACCGAAATGCAAACACAGTCCATGTGGGGGAGGGAAAGGAAAAGGGGACGAGGGGGCGCACAGAGCGGCGCGGGCAATGAAAGGCAGTGGCAGTGGCAGTGGCAACAACGCTGGTCATGACGGCGATGGGCAGAGGGCAAAGGGCTATAAGCAAGCAATTACTGGCTAATTGGCAAAAGCACATTATAGCTCCTCTTGCTATGGGGAAATGGCATCGCTGGGGGAGGGAGACCCAGAGATCCCAAGGACCCATATTTTAAGAGGGTAGCAAGCCAAGCCAAGCCTATGAGTGCGGGTTTCAGGGAGATTTCCCTAGGATCCAGGATCGGCGTGGATTCGGCGATATTTTTTCTAGAGTCGCCAACATGTCGTAAATGACACATGCCGTTCTCCGGAACACCCGCCGTCTGACAAGTACCCTTTTAGTGGGGCCCTTGGAACAGCGGACGAGACGGAGGAAGAGGGGAATTTGGGGGGCGTTTTTTTAGCGGAGGCGGAAGGCGGGGGACTAGGATCGATAAAGATTGGAGGATTTTCTTGGGGAGGGTATCAATCTCAGAGCGCCAGAAGCCTGCTCGGAAATGGGGCGAGATAATGTTGCAAACAGCGTGCAGGGAAATAACCACTTGGCCTCTTGGGGTCATCCAGGATCAGACGGACATCGTGCTGAAGCCCAGGCCCATCTCGGCCGGGTGCAACGGACCGACGATAAGGACGAGAGAAAATCCAAAACATTGGAAACAATAGTGTCCCGATCTCGTGCTCGCTAATAGTCATCTCGGGATGAAGGGAGCGGGAATTTCACCCGCTCATACCGTTCCTTGACTGTGTGGGACGCAACTTTTGTCTTCTTCTCGAATCGACCACCTCTCAGTCCTGCCTCGTTTTTTTCTTCTTCTTCTTCGCACTTGCGGCTGGCTTCCGGGAGGAAATGGCCAGAGGAAAAAGCAATGCGAGGGCGGAGCGCAAGAGACTAGGCCTGCAGAAACCGCGTGCTCGGGGCGGACGACGTGTGAAGAAAATAGAGTGATAAGCAAAAGAAAGTTGACAGTGACGTAGCCCAGAGAGCGCAACGGGCAGATATGCAGCCATCACAGCTTCGTTTGCTCCCCTCCATCCCACTCCTTAGACACTGTACAACACCCAAGTCCCACGCCTCGCGAAGGCCAGGCCCATGTTGATGGGAACAGGTGGTATTGCATGTCTGAGCGAGTGGATGCTATTCGACATTTGCGTCGCGTGGATCCCTGCGACCTGGCACATACATGAGGTATACATGTACGCTCCAGCAAAATTGTCCGAGAAGGGCCGCAAATGCTCCTTGGCCAGTCGCGGCTCATCCTCGACAAAACTCCCCGAAAGGGGCACCCTTCACATCCCAAAGGCCTCTCAACGATCTCTCGGTACGCGAATCGAGGGAGGGATGTGGAGGGGAGAACTGCGTCAACCATTCCCGAAAAGGGAAACAGTGGAAACATTCCGGAAGGAGTCGAAAAGAGAGAAGAGAATAATACCACAAAGCAAGAGGAGGGGCAAACGAAAGATGGAAGGTGATAGGAAGCATGACATCTTGGTGTCAAGAGCCGCTAAACTCACGTCCCAAAGAGGATAGAGAGCATGCAGATTGGGGGTTGGGGGCAAAGAGAGCACCACTTCCGTCAATGCTAGAGCACCCTCTTTTGGCTCCCTCCTTCAGAAAAGAAGGTAAGACGAGAAAATAGAGAAGGAAAAAACAAAAGAGAAAAGAAAGCGGAAAGAAAGAAAGCAGTGAGAAAAAAAAAAAAAAAAAAAAAAAGAGAGAAAAGAAAAAAGGCTGCTGTATGACTTACGCATCAATGGCATCGTTGAGCTTGTAAGACGAATTTTGGCAAACTATTCGTTTTTGAAAAAAGGTCCTGTTAGCATCCATTTTGCAAGGCTTTGTGGTTTTTCCTTTCTTTCGCAACCGATTCCCGAGCTCAACGATTGATCGCGCTCGCTGGTACAGGATGGGTACGATCAATGTGATTGATACGAGAAGCGGTGCAGCGGACGCTTAATGTCCCTCATTTTCACCGAGCAGTGCCCGAGGTGCAGCACCGGCGCGCAGGCGGTCAAGCCCACAGCCCACATTAGCCTCCTTCCCACCCTCGCAAACGCCAGCAAAAAGGGACATATCTCAAACTTGGCTAGCAACCCACTGCTAACTCCCTCCTCCTTGCGACATCCCGAACAAGGTATCAACGCGGCGGGGAGGGAGAGCCCCAAGGAGATTCAACCCTCGAGTTGGCCAAGTCAACCACCACGAACCGGGTCGCTGAGCCGTATACACGTGTGCCAGCCAGGGGTAAAAGGCGGGAGGACCAAAAGAAAATTGGACTACCAGGAAAAGACGTTATCGGCGCGAGTGTGGAGATTGGCCGCAGCACGCATCCGAGAAATGCGTCACAAGGAGGGTCCAGGAGCAGTGAAGTGTTCAAGAAACAGAACACCACAAGCAAGACATAAAGAAAGGGTACGCATCCAAAAGAGCAACAAGACAAAAAAGACACACATACTCGTTGAGCTGTTCTTTCTGGGGCCCCGGTCAGCTGGATAAACTGCTGCACGACGGCGGCCTTCTGGGAATTCGATAACGGCGGCATTTGGACGATCGAGGGAGCACCGAGGAGTAGTGGGGCCTTTTAAGGCAAGCGTTTCGCGATGCAGGATCGAAAAAAGCTAGAAATGAGAAGGATAAAGGAGTTTCGCGGTCTGAGAGTCGCCTCCTCCCTTGACTGTCCCGCTAATATTCAGATCCGCGCTCGAGGTTTTCTTTGCCCGTTGGCTCGATCGTGGAAGTGAAGGCGGAGGGGGGATAACCGGCCAAGGTCGCCAGGGGTGAAAGTCCAGCTTCAGGATTCGAGCTTCGAAGGTCAGCAAGATGGCCACTTCGGGGACGAGAGTCTACCCGAACACCGTCGCTTTGTTCTTCGCCTCGTAGGGGGAACCAGGGCCGACAAAAGGAGTGAAGGCGGGGCACGTTAAAGAGGTCCGTCCGTTCGAGAAACACCCTGAAGTTGTCGACTCTTGCGGGCGGGTGCCAAGGGGAAGAAGAAGCCTTAACAGTCGTGACTTGCCCAAGGGATAGGCGAGGAAATGGTCGGCAATCGGCAGGAATATTGTCGGAAAACTCGGGACGCGGCTATAGCATCGAGATAGCAAAAAAGAAAAGGGCGGACGGCGGCGGGGTGTCAGCTTCGAGAGGGTTGTGAGGCAATCCAGGGTTGGAAATGTCGAATCATCGGCACGAGGGGAAAGCCCCTCTTTGGAAGGAGGCAGCTGGAGGGGTTCGGTTCACTGGCTGTGAACGTCAGGCTCACCTAGCGCCTCACGAGGCTGAGAATTTTTCATGCTAAAGCCACTCCGGCTGGCCAATGGCGCAGTCACAGCGCCTTCATACCCTTTATGCCCTTCAAGCCCAACTGAAGCCAGCCATCTTATTAGCGGGGAAGCCACTCCTAAACCCAACCCCAACCTACTTGACGTTCTTCAAATTCACCCAAAGTGGTGCATCATAAGTCTAGCTCAACTTGTCTAAAGCATTAAGCCTTAGGATGAATCATACATGGATTTTATGTGTTATTCATTGTCATGCTATCTAAGTCTAATGCCATAACGTCAATCACTCCTCAAGGGAGCTCACTCAGCGACAATCTACCATGGCCTGTGATATTACGCGTACGCTCTAGAGCGAACCTGTGCAACGGCGTTGCGAAGACTAAAATGCACGTCAAAATATACAGAAAATGCCGAGAAGTATAGCTTTATCCAGGCAAAAGAGCAGGATGCCTAATCACCTTGCCAAACCTTCCATTCATCAATGTTTTGAAATATTGACCAACGCTGATGTTTTCGACTCTAAAAACACAATCGCTCGATGATGCCTAATGCTAATCTATCCCAAAGCCCCAAACACGCACTTACAACTTGCTCGAACTCTTAGCATCGTCAGGAGGAAACGCTCTCGCCAGACCATCCTGAACCGCCGTAGCAACGTGCACACCCTCCGGACTCCATATCTTTCCCTCAACGTAGCCCCTGCCCGCGTTGCCGCGGGAACGAGTCCTCCAGGATCCACCACTCGCCCGCACCGGACTCTCCCTGCCGCATGAGCGCATCCTCGACATTGGTATGCATGAAGAACGACCAAGTCAAGGTCGCGGCGGCCTCCAGCTCGATGTCGTGGTCAAGCGCTAGCATCAAGAGCCCGTTGCGGTCCGCCGCGTACGCGTGAGCCAGCGCATGCTGGTTCGGATCCTCGCTCGAGAGGGGGCGGAGGAGGCGATAGAGGATGATCTCCTTGCGCTCGGCGGGCGGTCGGGCGGCGTTGTAGTCGGCCATATCCACCTTGCGCATTTCGAGGATGGGGAACGTACCGGGTCCAGCGTTGGGGAACAGGCTGGTCATCCACTTGAAATCCACGGACGGGACGTACGGCCACGCGTCAGCTGGTCGGGAGGACAGTATGTCGGAAAACCGTTCCTGCACGGTTTGCCCTTGGTTGTCTACGTAGGTGTCCTCGGGATTCTTGAGGGAGCAGAGGCAGGTGAAGCACACGGCGCCCAGGGGCTTCTGGGAGTCGCTTAACGCGAACCGACCATCGGCGTTTAGGACGCTTGCCGTGGTCGGTTGCCGGACTTTGACGTACCACGTCGCAAAGGTGCGCCCTCCGCCTACGGGCACAACGTCAAAGACAAATGGCCTTTCGCCGAGCCCCTTGGTGATGAAGGTGCCCTGAATGGTCTAGAATGGGAGCCTGGTCAGCAGAAGTTACTTTTGCCTCACGTCTCAAAGATAAGCCCTCTCCAAGGGTGGGCGGAAGACTCACATGTAAGTCTAGCCTACGGCTATCTTTGCCTGCGCTACTCTCGGATGCTGCTTGAAGGACCGCCGCGCCAGACATGGCGTATGCATGAGCGCCATATGTGGACTTGTGGATATAATCTGTGCTTATCGAGACCTGTTCCCAAGGGAGATCGCTGCCAGGGACCCATGATGGAAAGGCGCTCATATACCGGAATGTCTTCTCTTCGGTATTGGTTGAAGAGTTGACGTCGAGCCGGATAAGCTCAGTTGACTCTTGGAACGATAGCCGAGGGTCTTTCTCTGTCACCGCTAAAGCCATGATATCCTTCCAATGAAGCAGAGAAATGAGAAGAAATGCGTCAGAAAAAGGACCGAAGGCTTTAAGAGAAATAGCCCAGTCTCGCGCTTAAACTTTAGGATGAAGGTGATGAGGCCGAGGAAGCAATATCTTTGTCCCTGATTCCCAAGACGACCCTTATACGAGATACAGATAAGCGATGCTAGGGGTATGCAGGGCAGTTCGACACCGAACCAGAACGTATCAGACAAGAGGAGGGCGAGAAGATGAGCCTAGTCTTGAGGCTTTTCAAGATTTCGATGTTGTGAAAGAATTAGTCAATATAAATATGAACGAAACCTCTTAATAGACAAAAGAGAGGAAACAAAAAGGGAAGGCGCCATCGAGAATATGAATATGAATTTTGCAGGTCGAGATCCCGAACCTACTCCCTAGCCCCGACGGGTGGAACGCCACGGCGGAATATTGGGGAAGGGTGCCGGAGGGGCAGCCACGCGAGATGCCGAGGTCTATTTCAGCGGACTAATGAGCAGGTGGGACGTCAACGTATGCCGGGGTGGGTTAAACTGTTGGGAAAGAAATGGGCCAAGAGACGCCAACAGCGCCTAGGGCGATTGTCTAGTGTCGAGTTCAAGGGGTTTCTTTTTCAGGGCCGAAGCAACTAGAAAACTGGAAGCTTCACATGTTCACGGCTACACGCTTTCTCAGTGGGTTCGGCACCCCGCAACCCAAATACTTTGCAGCGCGAGACACATTGCGTTACGGGATGGACTATAGAATTAGAGAGTTGATTCGTTGCTTCTTCCCCACGGTTTCCTAGCTCACTGACGAAGAAACCCGTACGTGGCACACGGATCAAAGCCGTTGAACAGGTGAAGCGAGCCGGTCCACGGCCGAGCAGCTCGGCCTTTGACAGCATCGTCACGTTAACTCTGCAAAGAACCCAAAGAAAACCCCTACAGAGCCTCCCCACGAAGAGTAGATGCTATCTATTGCTACACAGGCAAACTGCACGCCGTGTTTCGATGACAGCTTCACGGGGTGCCTGCTCACGCGCCCTACCGCAGCCTGTCGAGAGAGAGAAAAAAGAGGCATTCCCGCTACGTCCATGTGGATTTCCGGGTCAAGGTCACACGGAAACGCCTCGCGGTATAAGCCGCCTGCCATTCCGGGAAGGATGATGAAAACCCCGGGTCCGTCGGGCACGGAGCGTCGTGGTGATGTGTAATCGGGCCAGGTGTGAACCGCTATAAAGTTCATATCTTTGGTGTCGCTCTTCACTCTCGATCCCAATGACCCTACTCGTCAGGAGGGGATTGAAGATTTGGTTAACTCGATTTAAATACAAGTCCTGGTAAAGAAAATTCTGCATGCCGTGCTTGAAGTCTATTAGCTCCATAGAAGCTATTCCCAAATGTTTTGTTTGCATGGTGGATGGGCGGACACGGCGATAGACTTTTGGAGAGCCTGATCGGATCTTCTTGTTCGGCCGAGTCCGTAGCACCCGGAGCAAGTGCCTAGACTCGGTGAGAGCAGGCATATAGGCTTCGAGAGAAGAGGATAAAGGTTGGTTCATGAGTAGACTACCGACCATGCCCCTTTACAGAATATGTTCCGATAGAGTAATCTGGGCATGCTGGAGTTCGGCACTGAACCATTTGCTTGCAATCTCTCTGGCTTCAACATCCTCCACTTCCCGTTTTGGGCGATAAAGAAAAGTTGCAGTGTCCCAAGATTAGCACGACTGTCTGTCAGCCAAAATCGGCCCACTCGAGACATGGCGTCGTCGCGCACGTACAAGTAGCTCCCGCATGAAGGAAGGTGTGCAGTGCAGCCTATGTGCTGTTGGTCGTGTCACGTGACATCGGCCATTGACCAACCGAGGAGGTGGTAATCCAATCAGGCCACTGGCGAAAATACCTCCAAGCTCAATTCGTTCTCTCGGCTCCCTGACAGTAAAACCTCTAATTCAATCAACAAACACCTCAACCCGGGCCCGAAACCTCTCCGCTCCTGACAGAACACGCTCCAATTGTTCCATCGCCCGCCATGTTTGCCGCTCGAACCGCCATTTCGGCCGGCCGCCGTGCCGCCTTCGTCGCGCCCACCATCGTCCGCAGGGGCTTCACCACCACGATGCTTCGTCGTACGATACGCCCTCCCCGAACCCCCATCCCCTCAGACGAGCCCAACCTACGCTGGAAAGGATGGCGTTGCGATGTCTATATGTCGGATTGTTGGCTAACGAGCAATTGGTTATCGAGCAGGTGATGCCGCCGAGAAGAAGGTCCAGAACATTAAGACCTTCAACGGTAAGCTTTTTCTCTTCCTCTTTGGGCTTGGTTTTCTCTCCTCCCCGTTCCTTGTTCGTGGGGACGTGGGTTGAAAACTGAACGTCCCGGAAGGAATCCGCGTGAGATTTTGCGAATGCTAACGACTTATCTTCTTTTTCCCTTGGATTAGAGATCAAGGAAACTTCCGACCTTATCGGACCCGGTACCGCGCCCGGCGTCGTCCCCACCGACATCGATCAGTCCACCGGTCTCGAGCGTTTCGAACTTCTCGGAAAGATTGAGGGTGTCGATGTCTTCGACATGACGCCCCTTGACTCTTCCCGCACAGGTAGGGAACCCCTCGTTGCCGGATGATAACTCATCCCACAGGATTGTTCGTAGAGCTAACGTGACCCTCTTCAGGCACCATGGAGAACCCCATCGTTGTCAAGTCCGCCGGTGTTGAGCAGTATGCCGGTTGCACTGGCTCCCCGCCGACTCTCACGTCGTTATCTGGCTCGGCGTATGTTTAAGCCCCCATCTTGCCAGCAGCCTTGACCCCTCCTCGTTCGTCTTGGCTTCGAAGGCCATGCGTGCTAACCAATGCAACTGAATAGATGTCCAAGGAGCGCCCCATTGAGAGGTGCCCCGAGTGCGGAAGCGTCTACAAGATGGAATTCGTCGGAGCTGAGGACCACGGCCACCACGACCACCACCACGGCCCCGAGGAGCCCAAGACGATGGCTGACTACGTCAAGCCCGAGTACTACTACACGTAAAGAAAGCGGCCATGACCTGCGGCTACAAAGGTTGAAGAAACTGGGGGCGAATCATTTGTTTATAGAAGACTTTTTCCATTTTTTTGTCGAGGGTAGTGAGCCATTTTTTGTAGATTACTCAGAACTCGAGTGTTTCAGTAGAATCGTTGCGGGTGGTGTCGCGACTACACAGATTTCCTGCCCCTTCCCATCTCCTTCTCACACGTGTGTTTATGGCCTTGAGGTTAGGCCCAACGATGTGCGTAGGGACGCCAAAGAGGCATGGCGGGAAGGCACCGAGTGAGCCACTCTCTAAGAAGTCTTCTCCCATGGAGCCGTGTCTAGATATCTGTCTGCTGCAGCAACTTGCCTGTCTGCTGTAGTAACTTGCCTGTCTGCTGCAGCAACTTGCCTGTCTGCTGTAGTAACTTGCCTGTCTGCTGCAGCAACTTGCCTGTCTGTCTGCCTGTTGCCCGTCTGCTCACCTGCCCACCTCAACCAGCATCCTCGTCAAAGCTCAGCTTTATCTTCTTTGCTTTCTTCTTAGGTTTTGCCGGCTTCTTCTCGTCCGCCTTTTCTCCAGATTCTCGTTTGGCATTGGCTCCTTTGGATGAAGCGGCATTCGCCTCCTCGTCATTGGCACCGCCACCAATGACTTTGGCCGTCTTGCGTTTCCGTCCTATCGCCGAGAGACCTCCCGCGCCGGCCTTGGCCCCATCCTCTCCCGTTTCCGCGCCGGGCCCGGTTCCGTCCTCCTCGGGCGGGGACTTTCTCCGCTCACCGTCACCGTCCCGTCCTTGCCGACTTGCGCATCGACGACGTTTCCCTCCTCGTCGACGACGAGGGCGCATCCTCGGCATCGGCGCTGGCGGACCTCTTGACCCCGTGCCGGCGCTGCCCTGCGAGGAGGGGGTTAGGAGACGAAGAGGAACCGGAAGCTTGGGCCTTGAGGGCGGCGAGGAAGGGAGGCACGGATGAGTTGTAGGAGAGGTTCTTGGCGTTGAACTTTTGGGACATTGGCCGCCGTTCCTTTAGAGGGGTATGGACGGAAGATGGAGATGAAAAAGGTAGTGATGAAGAGGAAAGGGTTAAAGGCTAGGAAGAAGTACTCGGCCGAGTCGGAGCAATGGACGCTACATGTACTGGTCTACTTCGGTATTCAGTAGATATGTTGTGTAGGTGAGGGCGCTTATTATTACTTTGATGTCGTCCGTCTGGCGCACGATGCTCTTGTCAATGCTCGAGCTTCCTCCCCCAAAGGCAGGCCCAGGGTGTGGCTGGCTCTGCACGTCTCCGCAAAGGGAGAAAGGGTGGCTTGCGGCTTAACCGACTGGGTGGTGCTTAATCAGCAGGGGCTGTGACGAGATTTTACGCGAAAATTGCCCAAGAAGCAAAGTACCACAAGAGGTAATAATAATCTTGCCCAAATTTGGACATGAACCATGAGCAGAAAAGTAATTTGGCAGGGCACGCACTTGGTGGTGCTAGTGTTCCAGCCCACGACCTACCGGGCCCACCGAGACTCAAAGTGGAAAGTGCGTGGACCAGGGCGGGATCTCCACCAGGCAAATTCGACATTCGGGCGTCCGATCCTACCTCCCGTGCAAATGTCTCACGTTTTGCGAAGAAATCTTGAGATCCAAAGCTTAGCACAGACCTGACGGACACCCTTTCCGGAATTCGCCAACGCGGTCGATTCTTGGTAGGAAGAGAAAAGGGAAGATAGAAGGAAAAGAAAGAGAGGAAAACAAGGAAGACGGGGCGAAGTGGGGCGGGAGTGAAGGGAGACGGCCTCAAGAAAAAAAAAAGATTCCAGAAGTTACTGACCTGGCTTTCCATCGATAGTTTTGAAGTTTTACCCAGTCGCTCAGAGCCGAGATGATGATGCACCGTCCAAGATGCGCCCGCGAGGGCCCAATGAGCAAGCAGTATACGGATCCATACGGAGACCCATGGGTTCAAAATCAAGGTCCAGCCAAGCTTCTCAAGCCCTGTCTGGTGGTAGATTGGCCAGTGGGAGTGGCCTGGAAATTGAGCTTTGATATTTCCCCCATTGGTCAGCCACAACCGGGCCACGCATCTCGGATTTTGGAGAGATAGGAGACGGGTGCGGTGCAGAGTAGCATGCATGCATTAGCAGCTCTTTGATCGAGATTTTCTCTTTGGGAAAGGCAACCTCGACGTCGGAGCATCAATTTGACCTCAATGACAAAAGACAGAAGCCGGTTGAAGTATGCAGGTACCAGTACTCGGTTTCCCTCAGTGCTTCTTCTTTTTTTTTTTTTTTTCTCTTTTTTTTTTCTTCTTCTTCTTTACTTCCCATTTTCTGCCTTTCATCAACAGGGGGCGGACAGCAAATTTCTCATCTGAGGTTGTACTTCCGAGAGCTCAGTCGATTGCCCCCTTTCTGTCTTCTCTGGTCTTTATTTAGTCACGATAATACCTCGGTAGGTCCTTGGATAGAAGCGGGTGAGGACTAACGGCGGTAGTGTAGATTAACCTATCTTTGATGCTACAAGCCAATCACTCCACCTTTGGCGGGTTCCTCGAGCCTCAATGCATCACGGTTGACGCGATGCCTTTCGTCTCCCGTCCCTCGCAAGGAGATACGGCATGGAATGGATGGGTAGGCGAGCGACGAGAGCAGGCCGGAGCAGTCTTTGATAAGTGTGCCAAGTACTGGTACTTCCAACTTCGTATTCCCCTAATATCATCCAGCATTGTTACAAACAGCCATCTGGAGCCGGCTTAAAATACCTTTTATGTATCTTTTGTATTGGATGTACAATGGAAAGCACGTGCGACCCCTGCTTTCCAATAAGTACCCCTACATGTAGCTTTACTTTTTCTGCCCCCTTCCCTCCGTTTTCAATAAGCTCCCCTTCGCGGTGCGTTCCTTCCCTCCCCTGACCTTCACTCCCGTGGCGTTATCATCTGGCCAACTCTATCGCCTTGAACCTTTTCCCCTTCCTTTTTTTGTCCCTTTTTCTTTTTTTCCGTTCCACCCTCCAAATATCCTCCCAAGCAATCCTCCATCTTTCCAAGGGAACGAGGCGAGGATTACTCCTTCCAACACCCTCGATTTTTGATGTTTTGCCTGGGCCACTCGTGAGAACAGCCTGGACAGCCCTTCGACTCTGTTGCATCAGTGTCACGCCCACTTAATGGCCTGCGCGGTCAACGCCTAACGCTACGCGATTTTTCCCTCCTCTCCCTTTCCATCCTCTCTCCTTGGGACCTCCTTCTAGGCCATCTTTCTCTCAGTCGACACTACTAGGGAAGTACTAGAACACGACCATCGAACCATTAGTGTCGACTTTGGGGACACAACTATCGTCGCCCCTGCCACTCGTTATTCCTCTTCACTTCTCGGCTTGGCTTGATGCCGTTGAATTGACCGGTCCCTTTCCCTACCCGTGGAAAGTTGACCCTTTTTTGAATGCAGAACGGTCCTCGGAATCTCGCCGTAAATCAATTCTATCGCCCCTTTCGCCACTCGTGCGGTTTGGCTGCGACGCCCCTTTTTCTCCGAACGCGAACGATCCACCATTAAGGAACGGAGAAAGAAAGAGGGTTTTTCCCCTTAATTTTCTTCCCAACCGAACAACGAAGAGGGATCAAATCCCCATCCATCACCCATCTGTCCTCCTCTCTCCAAACTTGGAAACCCTACACACACAAGTAACTCCTCCATCTCTTTCGCACATTGAGCGTTCCTACACGTTTCGTCCCGTCTGTCACAGGCGTCGACTTCCATCATGGATCTCCTCCGCCGGGTGTCGCAGATAGCGCCCACCCCAACACCCCAGCTGCCCTCAGAGGAGAAAGGCCGTAGGGGAAGGCGAGCAAGTTCACATCAAAGTTGGCCTTTTTCAAGCGCCCGCTCAGGTTAAAGGCAATTCGAGTATATCCGTTCCTCTCGGCGTCGTCATCCTCTTTCCCGTTATCGTCGTCGTCCTCATACTTTTGCTCTTTGTCCGCCATCCCAGCTCTCCTGGCCGCATTCTTATGCCCGCTGGTGCTCCCCCAGCTATCCGGTACGTCCTTTGATCTTATCCATTTGTTCCGGGCGAGGCAAGATCCTCGTGCTCTTCGCCCGAGTCGTGCCCTCTCACCGTTGCTATTCCATCGCCACACGACCAGTAGGCTAACCTAGTTTTTCATGATAGTAAAATCTCCGAGGACCACGATAAGGTCTTCGTCACCGGGTGTCTCGAGCCCGATACAAGCAAGCCTAGGGCTAACGCTGCTTTCGTCGTCCTTGCCCGAAACAATGACTTGGATGGTGTGATTCAATCCCTGAAGTCCATCGAGAGGCACTTCAATCGGTGGTATCATTACCCCTTCGTCTTCCTAAACGATGGCGACTTCGACGAAAACTTCAAGGCGACTGTCAAGAATTATACTTCTAGCACCGTCGAGTTTGGCAAGGTCGGTGATGATATGTGGGGATACCCCGATTGGATCGATGAGAAGGTCGCCAAGGAGGGTATTGCCAAGCAAGGTGACAACGCCATCATGTATGGTGGCCTCGAAAGCTATCACTTCATGTGTCGATTCTATTCTGGGTAAGCACTCAAACGCAACTCCAATCTTGGACTCAACGGTCATCTTATTAACAATACCTGCAGCTTTTTCTACAACCATCCCCTCCTTGCCAAATACGAGTGGTACTGGCGCCTGGAGCCCGAAATCTCCTACTTCTGTGACATCACCTAGTAAGCATATATGCCCTCCAGCCCTTCCTCCCGTTGCCAGTACCAGGCCTGGTTTTTGTTTGTCGAAAAGTGCACGTAAAACTAACCGCTACCTTTTCTTTGCACCTTCTACAGTGATCCCTTCCTCAAGATGATTGAGACCAACAAGACCTACGGTTTCACTATTGCTGTCAAGGAGCTCCGCGAGACCGTCCCGAACCTGTTCCGATACGCCGCCGCGTACAAGCGCCTATATAACTATACCTCGCAAGGTCTCTGGGAGATGTTTGTCGAGCCTCCGGAGGAAAAGCCTCAGAAGGACGACCAGAGCCTCCCTGAAGAAGTTCTCCGCGCCGACCCGACTAATAACGAACTTCCTCCTATCGATCCCGAATCGATGGAGGGCGAGAAGTACAACATGTGTCATTTCTGGTCGAACTTTGAAATTGCTCGTCTCGACTGGTTCCGAGGCAAGCCCTACAATGATTTCTTCAATATGCTTGACCGTAGCGGTGGTTTCTGGATGGAACGAGTAAGTTGACAACCGTCCACAGTGTCCTAAACAAGCAGGTTTCGTTTTTGTTGCTAACCAGACAAACCTTAGTGGGGCGATGCTCCCTTCCACTCCCTTGCCGCCGGCATTCTTCTCGGCCCCAAGGACATTCACTACTTCCGTGACTTTGGATACCGACACACGACGATTCAGCACTGCCCGGCCAATGCTCCGTCTCGTCAGCTCCCTCGTCCCCCTACCTGGAGAAGACTACCACGGACTCTAAGAAGCGTTTCGAGGAAGACGACTACTGGGAGCACTGGGATCCCGAAAGGGAGAACGGTGTTGGCTGCCGCTGCCGCTGCGATACCGACATTGTCGACGTCGAAGGCAAGGAAGGATCATGCCTTGCCGAGTGGGTCGATGTTGCTGGCGGTTGGGCCAGCCCCTAGAATCATATAGAATGCTCGATGTCACGATGGCGCCTCGATTGTTTTTTTCTCATGGTCCGTTTTTCGTTTTGCCAGAATACACTCATAATGTTTTGTCTACGCCTCATCAACGACATTTCTTTCGGCCAACATTTGTCACAACTCGCTCTCAAGTCGTTCTGGTTCTCATCCTCCACGACGGCGTTCCATTGCCTCCCGGAATTTATCCTCGAACTATCGCCACTCTTGACCGCCCTTCACCCTTGTTTTACTTTTCGGAATAAATTCGTCGCGGATGCTGCCCAATTCGCCTCGCTGGTCGCGATTGCTCCCCACAGCCCTGCGTTTTTCTTCATTATTTTTTTTTATATCTCGGCATGAAAACCATGAAGCATTGTCCCAGGTCGGTGGGAGGCGGGAAGATAGTTGAAGAGTTGTTGTTTTTTATTGCTTGCTCCCATTTTCGCCTTCTGTTCTTTTCTGGCACCATTGTCTCGTTTTTCCCTCACCCTTTTTTTTTTTTTATCACCCAACTACTCGCCCTTCCCATTGTCTCAACGGTGTACTACTTTTGATATAATGGGAAGGGGCTTCGTTTCGGTTTACATCACAATAGACAAAGCAAATGGCAGATGATGGACATGGAGAGGGAGGGATGGGGATAGTGGAGGAGGAATGATAAAAGGTATTCGGAAAGAGGCAGGAGAAGCTGGGGATCGCTTTTAGGAGTACAAGAGAGTTATTGGAAATGAAATCTTATTTAATACTTCTTAAGAGAGAGGGCTAAAGATCTTTTGCCTTGGTCTGTCTTGTGCTGTTGCCATTGACCCCAGAGACTGTAAATAACCCTACCTGTCTATATAGGGAACACCCTGCAATCCCATCTTGTAGTCTGAAGTCTTATATGTTTGTTACACTTGAATCTTGTCTAGAGTTCTGGAGCATCTGGCAATGAATCCCCCTCCCTTCCCCTTTTGAAATGTGGCTTTCTTTATCTGTACATTTGGAGATATATGTTGTCCATGAACTCTTTCCAAATTATCGCATCCAATAGATGTATATTCCCCAAGCCCTCACCGAGAGCCCCCTTTCCGGGATCCCCGGCAATCATTTTCGTATCGTTTCCCTTTACCAACCCAGATTCTGGTCCGTAACGGCGCCGTGGCTAGCATCACCGACAAGCCTCGCGTACTTTGCCAAAACACCGCGCCTAATCTTGGGCTTCCACGGATTCGCAAGCCACTCTTCCTTTCTCCGCTCCATCTCCTCGTCGCTTACGTCTGCCTGTAGCTTGTTTTCAATGGCATCGATAGTGACGACATCACCGTCTCGAACGAGAGCGAGGGGACCGCCAACAGCAGCCTCAGGTACAACGTGACCAACAATGAAGCCGTGACTAGCACCGCTGTACCTTCCATCGGTGACGAGAGCAAGGTTGTCTAATCCAGCGCCCATGATGGCAGCGCTAGCTTTGAGCTGTTCCGGCATGCCAGGGCCACCCTTGGGGCCTTCGTAGCGCACGATGAGAACGAGGTTGCCGTCCTCCTTAGTGATGCTTCCGGCAGCAAGGGCCTCGTCAAGCTCGTGCTCCTTGTTAAAGACGCGAGCCCGGCCAGTGAAGCTCAGGCCCTCCTTACCGGTGATCTTGGCCACCGCGCCGCCAGGGGCTAGGTTGCCTCGGAGCACGCGAATATGGCCCGTCTCCTTGATAGGATTAGAGAGCGGTCGGATGATAGTCTGATTGGGATCTAGAGAGGGCCAGTCGGCAACGTTCTCGGCGAGGGTTTTGCCGGTAACAGTCAAGATGGAACCATCAAGATAGCGGGCGGCGATGAGCATCTTGATAACAGCTGGAGTACCACCGATCTTGTACAGGTCTTCCATGTAGTACTTTCCAGAGGGGCTAGATCGGCGAGGAAGGGAACTCGGTTGCTCGTACGATCAATATCATCGATGGTCAAGGGCACATCAGCTGTGTTGGCCATAGCTAGGAAGTGAAGCACGCCATTGGTAGATCCACCAAGGATCATGGTTAGGACGAGAGCGTTCTCAAAGGCAGCTCGAGTGAGGATTTGGCGGGGCCTAATATCCTTTTCCATGATAACTTTGATTGCATCGGCCACATTTTCACACTCACGGGCCTTCTCGGGCGAGACGGCGGGGAAGGACGATGAGCCAGGAAGAGTTAGGCCCATGGCCTCGATAGCAGTGGCCATGGTGTTCGCAGTATACATACCGCCGCATGCGCCAGCTCCGGGGCACGCATGCTTCTCGATATCAGACATAACGTCGGAAGGTCCGCGGCCAGGCTCCCCAGAGCCGCACTTGGCATTGAGTCTACCGTAGGTGTACGCTCCAGAGGCTTCGTAGCAGGTACTAATATTGATGTGATCCTCCAAAAGGTCAGAGTAGCCCTTCAAGATGGTGCCTCCATAGATCATGATAAAGGGCGGTTGTGGCGGGCAGCAGCCATAACAACGCCGGGCATGTTCTTATCACACCCAGGAATAGAGATGTTGGCATCATGGTGCTGGGCGCAAGTCACGCTCTCAATGCTATCAGCGATAATTTCGCGGGTCTGGAGGGAAAAGCGCATGCCTATGAGTAGAAGGGAAAGTTTCGGAGGGAGAGTGTTAGCCGACAGGGCGGAGCTCGCGTGGGAGGAGGTCCGGACCGAAACTCACCTTCGCCGCCCATAGTAATAGCGTCCGAGACTCCGACAGTGTTGAATTGCCAGCCGATCATACCGCGTGCTTCAACTGCGCGCTTGACAGTTTTTCCGAGGTCCATCACTAATATCCCAAAGTTAACATGAAGTCAAAGCAACCCTCTCCGTCTGCCATCGCAGTAGTTGTGAAAGCTTACAATGCATGCTGTTCACGGAAGTTAGAGCCATTTCTCCCAACGCGAACTCTTTCAAGGACACCACAGGACTTACTTGCATGGGTTACCCTCCCACCAGACGCTGGCAACACCGACTTGAGGGGCATTCTTCATCATATCCTCGTTCGGGACGCCGGCGCCGTACAGCATGGCCTTAGGCATGGTGTCTTTGTCAGTCTGGTTTCCCTTCTGCGGAACTTAGAGAGAGACCAGGAAAGGACCCACCTGAGCACCGGGGAAGTCATGGCCCTTGGTGATGAAATGAGACCACCTGTTTAGAGGACCACCGGGAGGGAGGATCCTAAAAGGAGCATAGTCCTTGAGGGCCTCGTCAACGATGGGAGTTTGTGCCTGTTCTTCCGACATTGTGTCTTGCGATTTGAAGACAGGCCTGACTAATGGAATGGGAGACTAAGAGGCAAGAGACAAGTCGGCTTGGTGTCTTGCAGCAGTCGAGCTTGAAGATGAAGAATCTGTTGCTACTATGAGTGTTCAATATTCTTTTCCAGAGATTGCGCAAGGGAGTGAGGGAGTGAAGCAGGCTAGCATAGCTTCCAAGTAGGCGTCAAAGCCAAGAAGAAGGAAGCCCAAAGAGGAGAGAGGATTCACCCGGTTTTTAGTCCAAAGCAACATACCTCTGCGGAAAATTCGGGGCAAAGAGACACCGGATGCCCAATTGCAAGGAGTTCTGGCGGATGCGATTGGGCTTTGGGGGTTCCTGGGTTGTCAATGGCCAGGTGAATGCCCGGAGGAATATGTATGAGGATGACTTTGCTTGGGTGAGGGGCAAAAGTAGTTTTGTGTAGGGGATGGAGGGGCAGAGGTCAGTATAGAGGGGCAGAAGCGGAGAAGGCGATTCTCGACGGGGAGGGCACTAGAGCTACTCCGGGAGAGGGCGTGGAGAGGGCGTGCGTGGACGTTAATGATGTGTGCGCCCAAGAGACCGGATATTAACTCAATGAGCTAAGAGGCAAAGGAAGGGAAGGAAGGGGGAAGGGAATAAGACGACTAGTATTGGCTTTGGCTTCGAGCCGGCCGAGAGAGTGATTCGCTGACTCGAACTTGGGAGGAAGCTTGAATCCTCAGGGTATCTGGGGCAAACCAATCACGATGCTTGTATGACAAATGGGCGCCAGAGGAAAAGAGGCACCGGAGCAAGTCACCGGCTCGCTTTAACTGTGGGGTCGGGTCGGGAAGGAAGGGAAGGCACAAGTGACGTTTTCTTTTCTTTTCTTTTTTTCACCCCTAGGGAAGCAGCGAAGGCGGTTCTTAACCCGGACGGTGACGCGGAATTCATCGGTCGCACCTCACCAATTCCATTTATAAAGAGCTCCTCTATATATATATATATTTCCACGGGTGTGTATGTACAAGTATATACATGAAGATGTGCATCCATTGATCTGTGTGTGCTTCTTTGGCCGGGAAGGCACGGCTGTGTCTCGCATCCGAGGAGCAAAACCTTTACGATAAGAGTGGCGCGATCCCATGGCCGAATGGGAGAAAGAGTCGCGAAGCCTATTCATGTTACATCTAGCTCTCCCTTAAGAAGCGGGAGACGCAAGCCCCTCATATCTATTCCTATCCAATCCTCCATCTTGGATCATTTCCACTTGAGCTCTTCCTCATTCTCTCCCTTCCCCCTCCTCTGTCACTCACCCCTTTCTCACTAGCGGCCGAAGTCCCAATACACCGAAATGACTACGGATTTTCTCGCGCCGTCCACTCACCGCTAGAACAGCCTCGAGAGAAGCAGCACGGGAAAACAAGGTGCTTCTTCCCTAGGCCCAGAAAGGTCTAGAGGACCCGGTCGAGGTGGAGATGTTGTGTCTCGCGTGGAAGCCCGGATGCAGACGCGGCGCGGAATCAAGATGGCAGCGAGCTACACAATAGGAGGAATCCTCGGCTGTCCTGACGCACGAGAGCGCTGGAGCAAACATGGTAGGTCAATGATGGGGTGGTATTTTTCGGAGAATAAAAAGGCGAGATACGTGGATGGTTTTTCGTTTAGGGAGGCTCTGTCATCAGCAACCTCCGGCACCGGTCCTTGGTGGAGAAGTCATCAAGGCCAAGGAGACGCGGCGAAAATTCGAATCGCCTGGCCTCGGCTTGGGCTTGGGCCTGGGCTTGGGCTTGGGCCCGCCGAGTCTTGCGTAGCGTGCCCGCGTCGCCAATGTCTCCAGTTTTCCACGAGTAGTTCTACACGCCAACGAGGGAATGGAAGAGGTTCACAAACGAGCCCGGGCCGCTACGGCATGTGGACATCATGACCATGATGCACGGGGCCCTACACCCGTCACCGCTTCCCCGTCAACGGTTCAAGCTGCGGTGTAATCTTCACACCATGGGACTGTGCCCTCGAAACCTCGACTAGATACCCAAGCACATGCCTGACCGATGCAGAGGACGGTTTCTCGGTAAAAAACGAGGAAAACTCATTCTCTAATCTAATCGCGAGCGATGTTACCACAAGAATTCAAAGATAGTGAATGCTCTGCCACCCATCTCGTCAGCTTCGGCCATGCCAGCGGATGATCCTTTGACCTGCGCTGATATTCTTTTGCCATTTCCCGAGTACTCTTTCCTGCCTTCTTTCTCTCGTTTTTTCAAAGCTTTATTTAATATGAGATAAATCATTACCTACTCTATGTCAGCTGCCGGCATTCACTACAACTTTGGGCCTGTCAACTGGTCCCTTAGGTCCCAAGCCTCTCCTTCTTTCTGCAGTGAGACCTCAAGGGAAGTACATGTCGCGTTCCAACCTGCATGCTTCCAGAAGGGAGGCGTTCGGATGAGGGGCTTGATGGGCGGGGAGGGGCCGATCTCTGACCGAAAAAACGGGAGTCCGAAGAACCTCGCTACCAGGATTAGGTGGTCGCATGCAGTCCCCCTCCTTCTCTCTCTCTCTTCAAGCCCAAAAGGAGAGGGAAAAAAATAACTATCGTATTAGCTCGGCTCTTGAGTCGGCATGGCAACTTTGAAGCCTCGAATCTGACATTAACCACAACTAGAATCATGAGCCTTTCCAACCCCAACCCAAGCCCGACCCTTGGAAAACGAAAGGGAGAAGGCCCCCACTCGTGATGGGTAATAGGACTGGAGATTACCTCCAAACCCTCCCCCGCAGTGGAAGAATTCTACGAGAGAATAGCCGCGAAATGCTAGCGCTCCTTCTAGGCACTTTATACGCTCCAACGCCGGCACTGGATACGGTACGCTAGGTCGATTGTCGGCGCCGGGGCCAAGGTCAGACCCAACTCGGAGACGAGAGAGAGAGAGAAAGGGAAATCGGAAAAACCAGACGAGAAACGCCTGAAAGAAAACGGGTTCGAGATGCATCGAGAGCGGGGTTGTCCCTTTTTTACGTTGCGCCAGCGTGCGCCCAATCGGGCCGGGTATGCTCTGCTCAACCCTACGCCCTTTGATGATGACTCCCTCCTCACCCCATTATTTCATTTCTCATCCTCAACTCGGGGATTGCTCCTCGTCATAACTCCCGTCCCCCCTTGTCCCGAGGAGCAACTCCGTGAATAAGCCCGTGTATATGTCCTTCAGTTTTCCCCACTTGGCAGAGGAGGGATCAGTCTACTTCCACTACATGTACCGCCTGCATCTAGCTCTATGCCGACTCTAGTAAAGAAAAAAAAAACAGGAGGAAGAATAGGAGTGGGGACTCCACCTGGACCGGGAACTCCGAAGCTCATGACGTGTGCTGCTCCGGGTTTCCGCGCTCGTAGCGGGCCGCCTCCGGACCTCTTCAACGGCTTCGGATCGGAGTGTAGGCCGACTGAACGACGGGAGAGAAAAGAAAGAAAATAAAAATAACAACAAAAAGAGACCCCTGTTCTTACAGCACTTAGGGTCTCCTTTAACACGGCACGGGAACGGGGAACGGGGAGGGGGGCGCCATCTCCATCTCCAGCTCGGTTGACCCCACGAGTCCTTTTCCCGCCTGCCCGTCCCGGGATTCTAAAACGGGGTGCGGCCTTGCCCCCTTTTATTTCTTCAACGTTGAAAAAGAGAGTAAAGAAGGAAAAAAAAAAAAAGAAAACGAGCCAGCCCGCGCCTACGCCCGTCCACAAGTTTCACATGGCAAACTGATACCAAACACCCTTTTGCCAGTGCGCAACCCGTGCGTGTCTTCAGGTCTGTTTCGAAATCCTTTTCCCCAGTCCTCCCCTTCGCACCTATCTCCCCTACTAGTATTCACTTGGTTTCTTGGTTTTTTACTACTTCTCAGGCCTCTCTTCAGGCCCAGGATTTAGCTTAGCAAGATGCAGGATAGCGACTGAGCGAAATTTTTAATCATACAAGGAAACCACTTGCGTGAGCCTTGCCTTTGTTATTCTGTAAGAGTTGATTCAATAAAAGCTCTCGCGGCTTTACCATGCATGGAGGGATGCATCTTTCAATGGCTAGCGACTCCTTGGGTATCATTATGCCACTGTTTCCCCCACTGTAATAGTTCTCTGTGCATTCCCCTTGTCCTTGAGCATGACGTCTCATACGCAGAAAAAAGAGGCCCGAGGGCCTCGTCATGCGTGCAAACCTATTCTCCATTCGTAGGTCATGTTACACCCTTTCAGGGCCATCACCCACCATGGCCAAAAGACGGGTGTTAAATGAAGCTTGAGACAGGACAGGATGGAGGAGAAGACATCAACACGGCTTCCGATTTTGTAGAAGAGACTCTGGTTCGTAAAGAGACTCCATAGGTGATAAGGGGAAAAGAAAGAAAAAGGAATGCCTTGACAGAGATAAACAAGGACGGAACGGTACAAATGAGACGTCTCGTCGTCTAAATCCAAGTCCATAACACATCGTTGTTTGGGAATCGTTCCCTTTCGTAGAAGGGGGGAGGTTTCACAAATCCCCTCGAGTCCCGCTTCCCACCCAGTCACACTCACACAGAACCGAGTACACACGCCCCCTTTTCCGACGAAAACCATTGCGCCAACGAGACCCTAGTAAAGTGCCACCTGTTTCCGTCGCTAGCTCGTCCATAGTGACGTTTGCCGTTATGTTTTTGCAATGTCGGTGCGTCGAGGTCTGTCTATGTTCCACGACAAGATCCACAACCACATCGACATGTTAGGAGCCGAAAACAAAAAAGAGAGAAAGAAAAACAAAGGAAAGGAGCAGAGGGGAGGATGAGTCCCGCGAAACCACCAATGAAGATAGGAAGAAAAAGAAGAAGAAGGAGAAAAAAGGTGGGAAAAAAAAAGGACGAAAGAACAAGGTTAAGATGCTCTCTCGGTAGAAAAGAAACAACCCTTGCAGGTATCCCGTCCCACCATGTGTTGAGTGGGGTGCAAATGCCCTGCCCCCAACACTCGACTCACGTTTCAAGGCAACATCGACTCAGTGCCATGAGACTAGTGTGTGGGACGGAACAGTGCTTCAGGGTTGGGAAGCATGTATGTAATACAATGGAGGCCGAAAAGAAAGAAGAATGCGGAAAGGTTGGCAACACGACGAATTGGGTGGGGGCACTAGAGTGCCGTTCCCTCCCCGGAAATTGCGTTTGTATGTCAAGAGGCGGCTTCTCAGGCGTGAGCTGAGATGACGTTCATACTCCTCTCATCCTCCATCCTGCGGACCATGTGCTGGTCTTGGGGAGAGCGGGGCTGTGTCTCGAGGCCAAGGATAGCAGAGATGCGCGTCTTGTCGTGAACCTTGGCATTTCCCTCCCGATCCGAGTGGTCAGGGCTGGCAGCCGGCGACAGAGGAGTGATAGCCTGGTGCTGGCTGCAGCAGATACCCGTCTTCCAAGCATGCTCGAGGGCCATGGGGCTCATGCACATTCCGTAGTCGGAAGCCACGGCCGCCCAAAAGGTAGCACGATGAGCGCTGTAGATGGCCTGAAGCCGACCCATATCGACATGGGGGCATGGCGAGCCGAAGGAGGGGGCAGAACCGAGCATTCAAGGCGCAGAGGCGGAGTCGTAGGGTGGATTAGCGAAGGGAAGGTAGCCGACGGAAGGGAAGCCGAAGGGAGCGCTGCGCTGTGCGGCTCGGGCAGAGGAGTCGGATATCCTCGGGTGGGAGACGTGCTCAGGGGCGGAAGTGTCATTGCGGCCGGCTTAGGCAGGATAGACGGGAGCCTAGGAGAGACATGGTTACCCATGATGCTCGGAAGCTGAACTCCGTTACCGAGACTGCCAGGACCAGGAGAGACCGGTCCGTAGCTTCCTGCACTTCCAGGAGGAGAGGCTGATCGCGAAGTGGGACCCTCGCCGATGGGGGATCGCGCCGTTGCAGGCATCAAGGGCGAGTGGCCGGTCGACGAACCCGATGACACTGATGTCGTGCGCTTCCTCCGGTTGCTGCCGTGGCTGAGCTGGTGGTAGTGTAGGCGGCATGCGAGCTCGGTCTTCTTCAAGTGAGCTGCAATATGCTTATACGGCATCTTTTGGAGACGAGTTTGCAAAAGATACAACTCCTAAATTCGGAACCAAAGGTGAATTCTACATGTTAGCCTTACATACGCCCCCAAGTAGGTCTGATTATGGGTGCCATATATAAAAGGAAACGCGACTAACCTCTTCCTCACTCCAAGCCCTGCCTCCGCCGGTAGAGGCTGCTTTCCGGCTCTTGGTTACGCCATATTCACGGCGAGCCATGACATCGCTGGTAGGCGTGTACGGGGCGGATAGGGGAGCAATAGGAACTGTGGGTGCCATCTTTGCGAATGTGAGTTCGTGCGGATTCTTCTCGGTGTTCGGGGCTGGGATTTTCCAGTCGAAGGGGTGTAAGTCTCTCTCGTCAAGTTGATATTGGCTGAGAGATATGGAAACCCTTGGGCTACTTCAGCAAGCCAAGGTGGTGTAGAAGAGAAATCAAAAGTTATAAAGGTTGAAAAAGAGGTCGACAGGCCAAGCTGCGAGGAGAATCGAATGGTGAAGACAAGATAGTTGTCTTAAATGGGTCGGTCGAAGAAAAAAGCTAGACGGTTGCGAAAGGTAGTCTCTTGGATGTTATCGTCTCTTCCGGAAGTTGACAGGCTCTTTGTTGCGGGTCCTGGTATGATCTGGTAGCCGGCTTATGGAAACTTGACGGCAAATTGCTGGTAGGTTGGTTTGGCCCCAAGTTCGTTGCAGAGAAAGCAGGAAAGAGGTGGATAGAGCGATTGGTGAAGCGAAACAAACGAAAGAGAAAACCGAACGCGCAAATTGACCAAAAAGGGTGGTAAGAAGAGAAAGAAAGAAAAAGGGTTCTTCACGAAGAAAGTAGGGAGTGGAAGAAAGGAATCAGGGCTTCAAGCTTGAATTATGTTCAAGAAAATTGTACGTTGGAAGAGAAGTGAAGAAGTAATGAATGTAAGCAGCCAAGCCGGTTGGACAATAAAAGAAAGTAAGTGTCTAGCTGCGAAGAAGAAAAGAAGGTAAGGCAACGCAACAGCGTCTTGAAGAAAAAAACCTTGAACACTGAAGGGTTGACGATGGGAGCCCAAGGGGGTGGAGGAGAAGAGAAGAAGGGAAGAAAGGGAAGAGGAAACAAGAGACGGCAGACGTCGGTGGAGGGGATATGGGAAGGATATAATGAAACTGGATTGTTCACAAGACAACAGTCCACCACATCTCCCGCCTAGTCTTTCCTCGCCAGAATCGCCTTCTGAGATTCGGGATGAGGTCTATCCTTGAACCAGGGGGCGTGTGAGTGCAAGTGGGTGGGTGTTAGATGGGCGTGGAGAATGCATCTGGGGTGGGGTCTGGCTTGCCCATCGTCAAGTGGGCTCTTCAGGATCAATGGGGCCGGTCCCAAGGTACAGAGGTCAAGCAGTTACAGGCACAGGCAGGGGTGCTGAGTTTTGGTACGGAGTCGGGTAGAGAAGTGGGTGCCAGGCTCTGAGGGCGTGGGATGTGGGATCGATTGATGTGGGATGTGGCAGAGATGCGGGCATGGGCCACGGGGAAAGGGGAGGAGGGGAGCGGAGGGGAGCCTGGAGGAGCAGAAGGGGCGAGGGAGGGCCAAGAGCGAGCGCAGGTACGATGCACGATGTACGAAGTAGGATGTACGAAGAAGGATGGGGCAGGCATGGCAGCGTAGAGTGAGGCTTGTTACAGACTTCTGGAAAGGGAGAGGGTGGAATACCTGTTAAGGCAGAAGACGGTTGTACCTGGAGCGGAGCGGGTGCAGGTGTTTGATGCTGGTCAAAGTTTGAGGGGCGCTGGGATGGCGTCAAGGGTACATGCCCCAATTGAGGAATCTGTTGTGATTCGAAGTCGAGGTCAGAGGATGAGGCTTTGACAAGGGGCACCGCAGGTCGCATTAACCTTTTTGGCCCTGATTCAGCCAGTCGATACCCGCCGGCCAAATCTGGCGCTTTTCTTACCCGAATGTATACGCACCAGATCCTTTCAATGTTCTCCAAGTCCCAACCCCGATTAGAAAATCGCCAACGGCCTCGGATATGGGTGCCACCGTTTTGCATTGCATTTTTGCAGTGATGCTGTGAGAAAACATGCCCACACGGAAAACATCAAGAAAAAAACACCCCCGTTCGTGTTCCAACCGCTTTGAAGAAATCGACCTTTGCTCGAGCCTTGTGGGAACCAAAGGCTCCAGAAACAACGAAACATTCAAATCACGGTGAGGGGATGAAGACGACCTCCCGAGATCCCACGTAGACCCTGAGTGCTTCGAATGCTTTTTTGTGGCGCGGACGTGCGCGCGAGTCTCCACTTCCGAACATACTTCGTACTTCTCAGTGCTGTGGTGGGGATGCGTGACAAGCATGCGGAGAGGAGTAGGGGGTTAATACGGAGGTAGGCTCCCGACGAAGAACAGCGCCGGTTCAGGTATCGGTATCAATTGAATCCAGCTCCGTTGTCCAGCGCCAAGGCCAAGGGAACAGAATTGATAACATTTTGTTTCCTGCTGAGCGGGGAATGTAACAGGGTAACCATTGTTGAATGCGACTTCCTCCTGGGCATTACCTCTCTCTTTCTCTTACTTAGGCCCTTCTTGCCAATGCTTTGCCTTGTCTTTTTATCTCACAGGGCTCAAACATAAAACTAGATTCACAAGGTGAACGACTTCACCTCAATGGGAGGGGTCATTAGGGGTGGGGGCGTTTTGGGAATTTGCGAACAGAGAAGAGAAGGGGGACAGAATGCAAAATATGGCGCCTCCAAACATGAAAAATCAGATAAAATCAGAATAAAGTAAACCCTCAGATCGGTGGCTTGCCTTCCCGCGCGCAAGACAGCTGGAGATTATTTAGGTGGATCGCAGGGAGAAAGCTCAACGGCACAATTATGCCTCCCCACCCAAGACTTGGCGGCCTAGGAACTCTTTGCCACGAAAGGCCCCATTCCATTCTCATCAGCGTCCAGCCAGTGTCCAGCGAGTGTCCATCCAGCGTCCAACCAGCGCCTCCGCGGGCGGTGTGCTTCATCGATGGCGCTAGTGCAAGAGAAGTCTATTTTTGAGATGGAAGGGGTCCCATCGGGCTCGGGTCCGGTTTTGAAAGTTGAACTGTCTGATGGGTTGACGTCGGAGAGTGCGGGGCATGCGGCTGCTGCTTCTCACGTTCCAGAAACGCGCTTGTCAGCAGAGGCGCCCATCTGATTGGCCAATTGTGCCTCTTTCCCCTGATTTGCACATCCATCGTCGGTACGGCAGGGACTTGTCTTGCAGCCACTTCGCCCTAGTGCCAACGGTACGCATCCTCAACGTACCCATCCAATCTCTGCGCATTTCTGACACGAAAGAATCTGCGAATCCCTGTTTGGTTACAAGTGGCCGCCGTCGAAACATGAGGCCGTTTCTCTTCCCCGTGGCGGTTACCGTCGTGGTCAACAACAACAACAATCATCAATTGATACATCCCTACAAGTAGTTTCCTCGAGGACTGCCCTGAGCGGATGGGCGGGATGGGCGGATGGGGGAGGGGGAGAAGAGGACTGACTGACTAGTGGAAAGGCGTTTGGGATCTTGCATGAAACTTGAACACACCTCTCGTCACTTGGACGACAGGTTTCCTGGCGACCTCGAGGTTTCATGAGACCGTGTTCGTTTGGAGCACCATCACTTCCCCTCATCGTTCAAACATCAGTCCGTGTCCAGAATCGCATCACTCACCCAGACGCTCTTGTCTTCCCTTCCACTTCCTTTGAACTAGCCAAGCTAATTTTCACTGCCGGGATGTCAGCGTCGGCTGGGGCACCACCGCACCTAAAGAAGAGAAGAAAAGAAAAAAGAAAGGACCAAAAAGGAGAGAAGAAAACACACAAGGGACGGACACCAAGAAGCCTCATTTCATACATACATGGTCCTCGGACCAGACGTTACAGTCGGCCCAAACTGACAAGTACAGCTGTTGCGGACAGGGTTTCCCAACTCGATCATGGGACAATGCCACAGCGATGGTCGAAACGGCAGGTGTCGGCCGAGCTGTTCCTCTGATATGATGCCTCTCCTCTCTTTTTGCATAGCATCTTCCGGCTGAAGGTTGCCCTCAACGTTGCTTTTTCGTTTTCCCCTCGTGTACCGAGGTAGTTTCGTGCCAGACGACTCGTCGCTCTTGTTCCTGCAAAATCGACATCGCGGAGCCACGCACACTTGCTCTCAAAACCCTCAAGTTCCCCATCGCCCTGGTCAGTGATCTCTGGATCTGTCCTTCTATTTTTCTTCGAGAAGGCGGGGACTCCGAGGGAGAGGGAATTAGTGCCTCTGACTTATGATCTCGCTTTCATCCAACAATCATTAGCCTTAAAGCCACGCTCTCTCGTCGTCCCATTGTCGACCAGAGGTAAATCCAGCGATCTATCGCTTTTGCCATTGACTATCGACTTGATAACACAAGGCCAGGCGCAGATCATCATGCTCTCTCACGCATCGCCAACTTAACGGATCCAACCCCTCCCTCCAAGTTGAGCCCAGCGCGAGGCGATTTTGTGATCGAGCCGAATCGGTCTTCCGCCGCCTCTTCAGCGTCTGTGCTCCCACGGGCCACCTTGATAAGTCTCGCTCGGAACGGAGGGGGAGGGGAGGGACGCCATCCCGGCCACCATCTCCAAATCTCTCTCTCAAGGTCTCGGGCTGCATCCAGTGTCAAAACTGAGGTCCCCTGGGATTGGCTCCCCCTCCCCCTCTCACCTTCAACGCACCCTCGTACCTTGCATAGCGGGCTTGGTCTTGGCATATCGCCATCGATTGATGAACCCATTTTTCGAGCCCGTGCCGCTGACCCCACCCTGCGGATCGCTGCAGCCAGTCTTAGTCGCTGGACCCTACCATTAAGCTTTGCAACGAGAAACCGTTTTTGGTCACTCCCACCCTTGCCCTTCATCCCTTGAAACTCGCTAAGACGCGAGGCAATTTCACCTCCCATCAGCGACCGTGGTCTTGGGTTTCCCATCCTTCATGCATCCTTGAGAGCTCTTCTCCACCCACCTCGAATTCGGCCTTCGCTCCGGCTGTTGTCTGTCGATTTGCTGGCGATAGTAGGATGAAAGGAGCTGGCCGAGCTGGCCGAGCTGGCCTGGCCAAGGCCAACTCTGTCTTTCATGGCGCTGAGCATGCATGCTAACCGGTGCCTTTGGCCAACACTCGTAGCCCCCGCTCTCCTTCCATGAGAGAAGAGACATGAGAGGGGGGCAACACACGTCAACGTCCCAGCGCCTCACGAAACAAAATGTCCGAGAGTGTATCCCTGTAATCCCTTGCCTGTATATGCCTTTCCTGATTCCAGCCCTTTCGCAACTGCTATCAAGAACAAGCAAAAGCACAATGGCCTCCCTGTACCCTGCCCCTCTCCCTACCATTGACCGAGGAGTTTCTTCGACCGTCTTCCTCTCACCAGTACATAATCCCGCTGCAGGCAAGCATGTCCATGTCTATCCCGGTGAAAGGGGTTCAAAGAATACCATCCAGGGTCCGACATCCGTCCCCTGTGCAGAGCCTCTGAGGCGGCTGCCTCCAAACATCCTACCCTACTTCGAAACCAAACTGCCGTCATCTAGCAAACAGATACGACCTTGTTTCTCCCCTCGCTTGAGTACGCACGTTTAGTCGGACGTCTCAAAACAAGGCCGAAGCGAGCAACGGGTGGTGGTTTACTTTTCTTAACGAGTTTCGACTGAAGCATTATCTTGAGGGGTTGAATAGATGGGGAGACTTTCGGTGGGGAGAAAATCACCGGAGCATCAGTCCATCCTCCGTGCTATTGTTTCTCTGCGATCCACGGCTCCACCGGCGCGCCGAGTCCCTATTGTTTACATGTAGCAAGCAGCACTCAGTCCAGCACCACGCAGGATCCGGAGTTTGCTTGTCCTTCATCAAAGCAAGTACTTTTTCTTCGCTGCATAGCTGATAGCTGATAGACATGAGGAAAGTATACGCGCTGAGACGCCTGGCTTCTTACTTTCGGCGGATCGACTGCCCGCGTCGTCTGCTTGAGAGCAATCATCTTTCCTCCCCCTATCGCTGCGATCCTTTTCTTTTCTCTTCTTCTTCCACTTCTCTACCCCCCTTCCCCCATTTTACCCCTGCTCTCCAAGAGAACCAGCTTTAGCGACCACAAAGAACACAAACACGAGATGGTAGAAGACATGCTTTAGCAGATCTGCACGCCGGTCTATTAGGGGATCTACGACATAAGTCAAGGCCAAGGGGCCTTTTGTGGTGCTCTGCGAACGTGCGTGTAAAGAGTGCGGGCAAAGATCACCGGAAGCTCGAACAGCCGGACACTCTGCCAACCATCCGCGGAGAATCGTGGGCCTTTCATCCCACCTATGAGGGCCACAGGTTTGCGATTTCCTCTTCATCTTATGCCTCAAGTCCACCGTGGATGCATAGCAACAGGATCGTCACGCAGATATCCAGGCAAAACCAGGAAATTTGCAAGAGCAGCCAGTCCATAATTCGAATCTCCCCTTTTCCTCATCCATGGAAAGGCATCACCAACATGGGCCACTTCATCTGATCTCTCTTCTTTCTATATGCACCCAGAAGAAGCTTCCACCTGGATACAGACTTCGGCGATGCCTTCGTATCGCATGATCTGGTGCCGAAGACTATGAATAGCAAATCCCGAGTGCTCAGTTGGCCCATGGTTGAAGTGCACCATCATCAACATTGCCGAGATGGCCCACTCCGTTCGTTTTCCATCGCGGCAAGTGAGGGATGAGCTCACTTCTAGTCTGCTGGGTACCGGAATAGGCCCGTCTCCTTCTTTATTCTGAGTGCTGACATTCTCCATCTTTGCCCCTCTCTCGGCGCCCTTCTCTTTTCTTTTTTCTTTTTCCCTTCGAGATGGACTAGACCCCATTGAACTCCCGAAGCCAACTCTATAGTAACAAGTTGTGGAGCATAGAATCCTCCTCAAACCGAGGCGGTCGGCTGGGGCTTTGATGCCGATAGCCTGTGACCTGCAATGTTTCGTTCCCTCGTCGTGATCGACCGGCGCATGAACCGACGTCCAAAACAGGAGAGCCACGCCATCTATCTGAATCAAATCGCCGCTTGGGGATCGCATGCAAAAGCCTGCTGCACCTCTTCAAGCGTGAGCCCAATTAGGTAGGGTAATCGTTTGCTCGCTCTAAACGCATATGGCTCTATTATCCTTACAAGTCAAAATCTTGTGTGCGGACCATCCACTTAACGGAGGCACATCTTTTTTTTTTTTTTTTTTTTGGAGCAGAAGTCGGCTTTACTATCGAGCACGTTTCCAAGATTGGTCGGGAGATCTTGTCATCCCTTGACGTGGGGCAATATCAAGGTGAAGATGAGAGAGCCGTGGCAACGGTGATGAGAGGTATAATGGATCGGCCAAAAAGGGCCGCGCAACCGATCCCGTCTGAAGGTCGTCCGCCGGGCGGCGGCGGGCTTTGGAAAGCGTCCAAAAGGCTCTCCCAACAACAGCCAAACCATGGATTTGTAGTCTCAAGCTCACTCGTCCCCAATCCCAATCACGAGCTGACTGGCTCTCTTGCTCCCCGGTGGTTGTGGCGTCGAAGAAGCTGAAGTGATCCGCTTGCGTCACTCTGGGATACGCTAGAGGAGAGGCAGACAGACCCTCCTTCCTCTCCGCGGACCGACAGCGAATCAGAGTCATCTCGAAAGCATTGGATCAATGTAGCATGGTGTACTCGAAATCCATGTATAGCAATTGTACAGTTGCAGCATGATTTTAAGGTGTCGTGCCAATGGGTATAGGGCTGTATTATAGATTGGGAACCACTTCGTTCCCAGGTTTTCGCTTTTGATGCGTCAAAAGTAGAGTACATTAGGTGAGCCTTAGCCTCAACCCCAGCCACTACTCTGCTGTGCATCAGCCTATCCCACTAGACGGAGGTCAGAAAAAGGAAAAAATAAGGGCCCCCTCCCCAAAGACCAATGCTCGTGGGGTCTTCGTGAGTTTCGGTACTTCAGCTCCCGTTCCACCCCTGCCCTTTGAGCGATGCAGATGTAGAAGAACCTGGAGCTGGCAAAGTCACCAGTGTGTCTTGGCGCTCGACAAGAGCAAAGGTGAGGTTGATATCTCTTTTCAGAGGCGAGGAGCAAAGATATTGACGGTTGCGGCTCGTAATCTTGTTCGACTTTGTCGCCTTCTCTCCCTGTTGGCGATCGACGTTGCCTCACGCGTCGACCGAGGTAGCGAATGCTGCACCACATTCCCCTTGGCGGCCCCCGAGCTCGTTTTCAAATAACCTGATAGAGATTACTGCCTTGCTTGGACAAATAGACAGTGTTAATATGAAATCAGAAGCACTGTAATTGTATGGATACATGACTAGGAGTACAAAAGCTCGAACTCATTCTCGTACCGGATACTTGATCCCAAGAGCAAACTAGTTCCTGACCAGCTCCTATTCAACACTACGAGAAGGCGAAGAAGAACAGGGAGGTCGAGCGAAGAAACACAAGGTCTGCCGTTTTAGTGACCACTTGGATGGATGCCAGCATCTGATGAAACCCCCAGATCGAACAGGGTTTGCCTGAACCGGGAGTCGTCATCGTCTCACGTCCTCGTTTTTCCCCGCAAAAAAAGAAGATGATGGCGATTGCATGCCATCGACCTGACAATTGGCGGCATTTCTTGTGGCGAGGCATTTCTTCGTCCGACGTCCGACATTCCCCTGAAAAATGAATTGTTCCGTCGTCAAACAAAAGCGAGTCCGCTTAAGTAATACCCTCCCCCTGGAAAGGAGGCAAGGGAGGGGAGGCGAAGCCCTCTCTCTCTCTCTTTTCTTTGCGCGTTTGCAAAAGGAGCGGCAGTCGAGAGGCAGATAGGGCTATCATCGGTTAATCCGCAAGGAGGAAACGCGGGCATTTGCTTGCCTACGTACGGGCTCGTCGCCCATTCAACCAATGAGCGGCAGTACGTCGGAATCATGTACATTGAGGCGCGAGGCTTTTGACTACATTCCCTGAAACTGGCCAATGGACGAGGCGAATCAAAATTTGCCTCTTCACTTTGACCCACTTGGTAGGCTGTGCTACGCGCACCTCATTGGCTGATATGACGGTCGAACGGACCAAAAGTCACGGGTCAGGTCGACATCTGACGTGACCGGGGACACGAGCGATGGACAGACGAAAGTATTTGTACAAAGGGTTTGTACCTCGCAACAGGGGAAGCACACACCCCCTCTTCTCTCTCTTCCATTTCCTTTCCTCCTTCACTTTGCCGTTTTCCTCAACGTGCTGGTAGCCTCCACCCAAAGTGTCTGTGTTTCCCTTTTTTTCCTCGTCTCTTTTGAATCCCCCTCTTTCCATTTTGGACCTCACCAAAAGGGACTTTGGGAGTTTTTAAACATTCCAACCCAGAGAACCAGGGAATCTTGAGTTACTTTGGATCAAAGTACATCAAGGGACTCGACGACGTACAACTCCAGTCGCAATTGATTCGAGCCACCTCGGCCCCTCCAAGACGCGCCTTCGAAAAGCTTCCTTGTTCGAGACACGTCAATTCCTGGCATCACAGGATTCGTTGGTTTTGAAGCTTTCGTCGATTCGAGGTTGCCTGGTCTAGGTCTATCTCTCCCAAGCTCCTTCCTCATAGCTAGGGAATAAACAGCCTCCCATATCATTACTGGTAATTAGCTTGTCTAATTGAGTAGGTACGCCATTTTGGTAATTGCCCGTCGCGCCTTCCCAGCCGCCCATTTTCTCGCTTTTTCTTTATCTTCGTTTTTCTCTGAATTGGACCTCCCCGGTCCTTCCTTGAAGTCTACAGTACCTTCCTTGTCTTGTTATCCTATTCACATCTGCTTGTCACCAACTACAAGCACGACGCGCAACTCCTCTTTTTCTTTTTCTTTTTTCTTTTCTCTTTCCTCCCTCCGTGTCCACCCATTGCCAGTGTTTCCTTCCGTCGTCATCGCCATCGAGCCATTCATTCTCCTTTTCCCTCATCCCTCTTTTCGCTCCGAACTCAGGTTTTTGACAATCGTCGGTCGCGCAGCATCCCCAGTTCTTTCCATCTCGTCGCCCTCCAGCCTCGAAAGGGAAAATCGCACAAAGTCGAGTTTTGTTGGCGTTGTCCTACAAGCTACTTCTCTGTCCCCACAAGAAACCCAGCGCCGAGTAGCTTTTCAGCACGCAGCCGCAGGTCACTCGTCTTTCCACCTTTGGGTACTTTGGTCCTTCCCTCCTCAGGCCCACGCCTCGACCAAGCCCGCGTCGCTACTTTTCACCCAAAGCAAAGACCTTGCCTGTCTCTTTTGGACACTGGTATCTCGCCTTCTCAAAGTGACCCGTCGTCGCGTTCCTCTCAAGAAATCGCGAGGTCGCTACATCTTCCTCGACCTTCAACACAGCTTCTCACCCTAGCTCCAGAGTTCCAATATACATCGCCCGTAAGTAAATGTTCTCCTTTTACAGCTTCTGCCTCGTACAGTCACGTCGTCTGGTTTGCTTCAATTGCGCAACTCTCTGCTCTTGGCTCCCCCTCTCATTCCCCATCACCGTGTGGGCTCTTGCCCTCTCTTTTTACCCTCATTTTTTTCGCGTCATCGATCGGCCCATGCCCTATACGCGCTCTTTCTCTCTCGCCATGTTTCCCCTTCGAGAGCGTCATTTTCAACACGAAACAAGATTGTAGCTTCTGCGCTTCTTGTTCTGCGTGCCATATTCATTTCCCCGCTCCCACAAACCCCTCTCCCTCTCCATGCCCATCTCGGGCTTATCCCAATCCCTCGCGATCGCGCAGGATGCCAGATTATGTCGCTCTGTTCACCGAAGGGTGGCAGAGTACTGGTCCTCTTGTCAGTGTTTTGCGGGTAGTTGGGGTCGCTCTTGATTGACTGGCCTGGTTTGCGCCGCGGGTTCCGGCGTCGCTGGGTTGTCAACCTTCCGGTTCGGCCACTGTTTTGGACCGCCTTTGTGTTGGCATTTCCACTAATGTTTGTGTTCGTCACAGATCATGCAGCAGTGGCAGGTTGGTCCCGTACCGGACCTTACGTACTTCAACTCCAACACCCATCAAAATGATATGCAGTAAGTACCACACAATGCCCCTTGTGTATCCTCATTCTTGTCCCTCCCCTCCCCCGCCTGCTGGCCCGCTTCGTGAGCCATCGAGGTACATTCGTTTTGCATGTACCCGATGTACTCCTCCAACCACCTCGCTGCCTATCATCTCTTTGGCCACCTAGGCCTGCGCTGTGTGTGTGTGTGCTACGAGGCCTCGAAATCGAAGGCCATGTCGTCCACGTCGGTCAGTCGGTCGGCTGGCCGTCGTGTTTGCACACATCTCTCCTTTCCTTATCGAAGGCGGGAGATGACTGCGTTCCTGGTAGCCTTGGGGACGAAGCTATCCTTCGCTGTGACTTTCGCATAATTGCGGACTGCAGCTTAGGGGAGCGAGGGAAGCGGCCTTGGTTCCTTGACGATTGATAGAACCGATAATTAGATGAGCCGCTGCCGCGAGGCTGTCGTCTCGCTCTTGACTGAACCGTCACTAATCAATGTTACTCGCTCCAGTGCGCCACCCCATACGTACCAACCTCAAGATATGAGGGGTCGCAACGAGCGTATGGATTTCCCCGTACGGTCAGCCTCAGCCTGGGCAAGGCCATCATCCTGCACCCGTTCAGCCGCCCATGAACGTACCGCAGCCTCCTCCCGGTCCCCCTCAACCCCAACAACAACAACCGGCTCCCACTCCTCCCGCAGGCGGCCGACGCAACAAGCGCCCTCAGCCCCCACGGCGTCACCGGCGACCTCGGCACCTCAAATCCCTCCCACGTCAGTTACGGCTCCTCCCCAGCCCGCACCCCTGGCGCTCCCACGCAGCCGGTAGTAGATAACGTCGCTCCGGCGCCGGCCCCACCCCGGTGAAGAAGAGCCGTACCAATACCCCGTGGACCCCCGCGGAAGAGCTTAGACTCAAGCAGATGCGTGACGCAGGCAAGAGCTGGGCTGAAATCGCCAAGGTACGTCATTTCCAACACAGTTCAGAGGATGTAGAGCCAAGAACCCGCCGCTAACTCATGAGTAGACTTTCCCCACGCGTACGGAAGGCAGTGTGAAGAAGCATTGGTACAAGGATATGCACTACGCTGAGTTCGCCGAGGATGAGAGCCAAGCCCTTCTCAACGCCATCAAGGAATACGAGAACAGCAAGTGGAAGGTTATCGGCCAAAAGGTTGGCAAGCCCGCCAAGGCCTGCGAGCAATACGCCAAGGAGCACTTTCCAGAATTGTTCAACCAGCCAAAGCAGAGATAAACAGCGCCCTGGGGAGAAAACGAGCTCTTGGCCAACCGCTAGAGTACGGCTCGTGACCGTGTCTAGTGCCCTAGGGGCCCTAGACCCGTCTGGTGATGGCGTTGATACCCTCTGCAGATTTTTACCTGTTTCTTCTTTATTCTCTTAGTTTTCCTCGTCTCTCATGCTTTCCTTGGGTCTTTCCTTTTCATCTTGGCTTCTATTGCACCTCCCACAATCAGTTGTCTATTGCCTCGCGGCATGGATCTGGAACATCTTGCGGGTTGTGATGAAGGAGAGAGGAGGGTGAGGTGGGTTGATGGGAAGGGGAACCCATTGACCCTCAGATTGGAGTATGCTTGTCCTGGCTTGCGAGCTCATCTCTCCCCCTTTCCCGCCACCGGAGCGGCTCAGCTGCTCTACACGTAGAGCAGTCTCAGGTCGGACGTTATTGAGCGGGGAGGAGTTAGTCTTGTTTGTTGAGCCAGGGCGAGCAACTTGAACCTTGTATTGTATCATACGAGCTCCAACTTGGTAGGCTCGTCTCGGTGGCTACACACAGTTCCGGCCCAAAGCAGTCTCACGGCTCCAGTGCGTCGCGTTGATTGTTGCGCCTACCACTGTACTTCTTTATTACTAGTGTCTATCACTTTGCGACGCGGAGTCTGCCCCTCTGACCTGTTTCTTTTTCTTTTCCATTTCCTTGCTTCGTTCGCTTTTCATCCTCACTACTATTTCCTTTCTTCTCTTCACATTTTTTCTGGATTCACCCCTGGCGATCGGGGGTGAAAGGGCTACAGGGTTAGGACGGATTGCTGCGACTTTGGACGGTCAGGGAGGTTTCGCAAAAGGATTTTAATCAAGGATCGGTCGGGAAGTTTGAGCTTTTTCTTTTTCCTTTCACCTTTTTTTCTCTTGGCCTTGTTTTTTTTTTTTTTCCAATGGGTGACTGAATTCCAAATTTCTTCCGTTGATGGGTGCTCTCTCTCCTTCGGTCTTCTCAGATTGGTATCTAGCGTCCTACCTGTCCTACCCTAGGTTTATAGATGACCCGGTAGACAGGAGAGACAGGTTCAAGGACGTTTCGAGCTTATAGGAAGGTCTTCAATACCCTTCAATAGATGGGATACTGGACTATCCCTCATTCTCCATCGGTCATACTAGTCCACCTCGCATATATGTCGCTAACGGCACTGCAATGTTGGCTTCGTTAAGAGATGAAAGCAAGGTGTGATTTGATCCAATCCCTCACGATGTGCATTGCTAGCACACCGACCCACGAGTTCGTAGATGCATGGCATGTCCTCCCTCGCACGCTGATGGTCCCTAGAAACTAAACCTTTATGACCCATTTGGATAGAAGTATTAAGGCCCGCCCATTATTTCCAACGACCCCCCTCTCTGAATACAATGTTATCCGCTTTCCATAAGAGAACTTGAAAAACGCGATGTCAACCGAGAATTTTCACGATGGCAGGGTACCAAGAGGTTCATTCGTGTTGAGTACGGTGAGCGTTGACCGATGTATCACATGCGAAGCCATCCGAACAGGACTCATTCGCCATCTTCCATCCAGGATGGTGATTGGGGCTGCCGGTGCTGCTATGCAGGAGCGGGTACGGCTTCAAGTAAAGACTGGAAGGTAAGAACATCGAGGGCGTTGGCTTTTGTTTTCCACCCGTTCCAGTTATCTCGATATCATCTCTCCGTCCTATTCCTATCTGCATTCGCTTCACAGCCCTCAGTGCTCTCTTACCTCTCACCTCTCTCGGACGTCTGTCTGCCTTTCCCCACAAATGGGCGTAAATCGATAATACCTCGTATTTGTCCAAACCTCGAGGGTAATCTCTTGTGTGCGGTGGACTAATTCGGAAGCAAGATGCTGTAGCCATCCTAGGCCGTGACATCATCGCACTTCGGGGGTGGGGTCTTGATTGTACGACTGTCCGCATCCCTCCATGCATCGACGTCGATTGCTACCAAGGTTGGAAGGATGGTGATCACGTGGAGCCTACTTTTCTGTCGATCGTCCCTTCCCTTGACTATTCAACTGGATGAAATGGTGTTGGTTGGTTCTTCTTTCCAATGTGGAATATGCATTATTATGGGGAACACCAGCCTATGCGTTTGTTAAAGAGGGTATCTTCGTTGCGTTGGGCTATATGCCAGCGCGTATGAAACTCGCTTCGTAGAGATTCTTATCAAAATTTACCCGTTAAAGTGGAAATGGAGAGAAGAATTTAGAGACTGTCAAAGTGATAAATTGGTCCGTTCATGCACGCCAAGGGCGCTCACTCGCGAAAGCTCAGTGAAGAGTTCTGTTGAAGGTGCTCCAACTCGTTGGTAGAAGCGGTAGTTGTTTATTGTCGCTTCAAATCTCCATCGACTTGCAACGAACGTTTGGCTGCGGCGCAGCGTGCATCCGAGATGCTTGGTTGGGAGGAGAGACCCGTGGTCTCGGAGTCGTCCGCAATATACACTGTATACAGAGGGAGACGGGAAGCCTCGTGTTGCTGCCGATGGGTCAACACAATGGGTCAACTGTACGAATGAAGCCCATTGATGCACTCTGGCGTGCAAAGCTAATACGCCCTGGACTGTTTAAATGTTCCTCTAGTTCCCCTAGCTCCTCCACCGCACCTTTCGAGCATTTGATTGCACACGATAAATCGGCATGGTTCGAGGGGTAATTTTTTGTTCTGAACCTCGCTTGAGCCGAGCATTGGCACAGAAAGGGCTCGAGGCAGCGAGCGAACCAATGATGTCCGCGCGCGGACGACATAGCCACTCGCCGAGCATGAAGATCCCGCCCGTGGTTGGAATGGCCCCCGGGGTTTGGGATGGGAGGGTTGTGTGCTTGGGTGAAGATTGAAGCTCAGAGCCGCCTATCCTGCAAATTGCAAATGGCCTTTCTGCGGGTTGAAAAAGAAAAAACCCCGGCCTTTTCTCAGACCCTCTGCATTTTTGCCGCTTATTCGATGATTAATAGCGAAATGATAATGGAATTCATCTATAATATCACACAGCACTTTTTGAGCATGAGAAGATCTATGGATGGATGCAGCTTTTCGACCGTTATGTGGAGCCTGTCTCTCTGGGCCGTGCTTTTTGCATCTGCGGGGGAAGTTGACTGCCAAAAAGCCCAATTCGCTATTTTCCAACAATTTCTCATGCACAAGTAGGGGGTCATCAAGTCGATGGTCGATGGATCGACGCTGTGTTCAGAACGACGTGCGCTAACAGTTCAAATTAGCTTGGGAGCACTGAAGTGGAAGGCAGCGCCCCACTCAATATCATTCCGGTTTGGGACAGCACCGCGACCCTGTCCCTTGGTTCGTCGGCTGTGCCCCTTTCACACTGTTGTGCTCCCACAAAGAAAACGGTGTCTGGAACGAGGCATTGGAGTGGTGCACAAACCCCGAATGCCTCCTCCACCTGTGTGGGGCCTGAGGGGGAACTCTGCCCATCGTATTGTGCACTACTGGAAAGCTTGCGGCAAGCGCTCAAGTCATCCAATGTTCGCTTAGACTAGCCGACGGTTCGGTCGGCAAGCAAGCATAAAAAGAGAGCGGACCTCCCCTTCACCATGGGGGATGGATAAGAAGAAATTGCTACGTGGAGATGGGTCGAAGTGGGTCGAGATGAAGACCAGCAAGCACAAGAGGAGACTCAAAAATATTCTCCTCACATGATGCTTTTCGAGCGACGGCATCTGAGAAAGTGAATATGACTCGACTTTTCTTTTCTGTCTTCTTCGCGCCCAGCTTTTTCTCTTATTTCTTGGGTTGTTTTCCTGTCTCGTGTTTGCGCCGTTTCTAGAGATGGGTCCCAAGGCTTTCCTACTTCGTAGAATAAAAAGAAGAAAGAAAAAGAAAAGTGGAGGAAATCAAGGGGGACCCCTGCTCCATTTCCGAGCAGAATTAGCTCCCTGTGCTAACGGGGCCAATACGAGGCTCGTCTCGGCGCCACTAAATTGGGATGGATGTCCAAAGAGAGAAGGGGGAGGCAAGGAGCACTTGTACATGGACTCCTTGACTCCACACCTGAATTAAGGCGCGAGGGTCGAGGACTGGGCACCAGCGCAGGTACAACGGTTTTTGCTGCATCCAAATATCAATGTACCGTTCGCTCGTGGAGTGTTGGTTCGATCCACCACAAAAGAAGCAAAGTCCAAGTAATAGCGTGAGGTGAGGGTCGGCTTGTGGGCTTCGAGAGCAGAAGAGTCAAGCGTTTAGAGGAACGATTGCAATTCTAGTCGTCTCATTCGCCTGCCAATCTGAAGGGGAAGGAAAAGAAGTCTCTCCACGGCACATGAGAAGAACGCCGCATGGTGATTTCAACCCATGTCCCAAGGACTGTTCTTTTTCTCTCTCCACAAGGACGTCCTGTCAGTGCTCAAACTTTCTTCCTACGAGTTGGGAACCCCCAGCTCGCTGTTGCCCTCTCCCCGATTATCCCCTCAAAGGGGCCAGCCCCATGGCAGCCCTCCTGAATTCCATCTTGTGGATTTAGGTAATCTATGTGACCACCCTTCTTTCTCGTGTCCTCCGTCACCCCTCGGTCTGGGGCCGAGTACCCGAGCGAAGCAAGAGGAGGAGGAAGGATGGAGGGAAAAGGAAGCGCGTGTTGGATTCCGTCGCTCATTCTTGCTTTGAAGCGAGCAGGAATAGCGTGGTGGGCGCGGAATGGCTAGTGTGGGTGGCAATCATGCCTCAACTGGAAAGAGAGCAGCAGACATGAGAAAAAGTCCCACTGAGCACTGGCATTGATTGTTGATGTCTTGGAATGGCATGCCCTGAACGGGTTCTGGTGCTGTCGAGCTACGGCTCTGTTGGCACGCTGAGCAAGCCTGGTCTTGATTTTTACAGGATCGGGGCACAGTTGAGGCGTGGCAGTGGGTACCTGTACTCTGGTGATGCTGTCTCAAATTATCATGACTAGGTACCGATACAAGTACATGCGCATTCATGTCGGATGCCCTGGCCGATGGATCGGTCCATTCCCAGGCAAGATGAGGTCGAAAGTCCCTTTTTCCCTCTTTTTCCTCTCACGCTCTTTTTTTCCGTTTGGGCACAATTCAGAGCGAGCCATCGATACGAGTTGATGTTGGTCGATTCCTGCCGAATCCGCTCCATATGTCTGTTCATGCATTGACACATGATCGCGTCGAGCGTGTGTGCCTTGTGCTTGCTGCGGACCACACGCCAGACGCGTTCAAAAGTACAATACAATTGTGCCGTATGGCCGTGTTATATCACCCTCGGGTTGATTGAGCCAGTGCAGAATAGAGGTGGACATTGTGGGAGTTGAATTGAACGAGTCTGTCGATGGATATTAGGTCAAGGGTACCTCGAACAATCTACAGCGAGCACGGTAATATCGCTCTCTTCCCCGATGCCACTCTCGCTCCACTGGTACCACGAAGCAGGGCGGGAGTACCCTCCCAGATCCAGATAGCCTGGGGGTGGGTGGAATGGCTTGGATGTTGATTGGGCTCCATATTGGCAGTATTATGAGCAAAGTAAAGTAGCATCCCCAAGATCTCGCGCATTCTCCTCGCCTCCCTTGCCATCCATGTCTCCCCAAAGTGAGACCAAGCCTTCTCTTGCCTCCTTGGTAATAATAGGTAATAGGTAATAATCACGGCTCCTTTCATTTCGGTCGGCCCCTCTTTTTCTCCTTCTTTCCTTCTTTTTCTTTTCTTCTTTTTTCTTTTCCCCCTTCGCGAGAGCTTTTGCTGCCATCCTTCGTTTTTATCCAAAGCGTCCTTCCAGGTCGCGTCGGCTTCTTCTCTTTTTTCCTCTTCCTCTTTTCAGAGGCCCAACACTCGTTTTATCCCCCCTCCCCCTTCCTCCTTCCCCTTCCAACCCAGGACGTAGCCTGCGGAGTAATATACCTGGTTCCGGCCGTTCCAGCAACTCGCGAGCCTTGTGTCGAAACCGAGACGCGATCGAGTCGAGATCTACCCTATCTTCACGGACGTGATCTCCAACCCGCTCTTCTCCCGGATCAGCGACGCGTACAATTTACAGCGCCAAGTCCAGGAAACGAAATAATTCAGCAACTTTGGTTCGAGAATCGAAAGTCGACATTTACGGTCTTGAAATTTAAAGGAAGGAAAGGCCATCACTCGTTGCACTGTTATCAGAACAGCAAAAAGATTCTACGTGGAGGAAAAAGTCGACCGCAATCTCGGGCGTCTCTTTTCTCTTTCTTGTGGTGGTAACCAAACAAATTCTTAATTCTTAATATTTCGACGGACAAGCGAATACGCCCCTCGACGACAATGCTCGGTTCAACCTTGCCCTTGGCCCTGTTGGGCTTGTTGCAAGTCAGCAATGTCCTTGCCCAGGATATTCCTACCTGCTCGTTGACGCAGAAGTGCCCGGAGACTGCTCCTTGCTGTTCTCGTGAGTTCGATCCCCGCCCCTTCATGCCCGTGTTGTTGTGTTGTTGGGCTTTGCCCTTTGCCCCTCAGGCGAGGCAACTCTATTTTTAAAGACATATCCTAACCGAGTATCACAGAATATGGACAGTGCGGTGCTGGTGCGTTCTGTCTGGGTGGCTGCGATCCCCGAATGTCCTTCTCCCTGGACTCGTGCGCGCCCGCTCCTGTCTGCCAGTCCAAGACGTACAAGATGAATTCGATGGACCGCATCGCCGAGATGTCCGAGTACCTCGGCGACTCATCCAAGGCTGATTGGGTCTACCAGGGCAAGGCCATTGCCCACAACAACAATATCCTCCTCACCATGGCCCCCAAACTGCCGGTACCGTCATGGCCTCGTCGACTTACATGTGGTACGGCAACGTCAAGGCCAAGATCAAGACGTCGCGCGGCCGCGGTGTTGTGACGGCTTTCATCTTGTACGGAGATGTCAAGGACGAAATCGACTACGAATGGGTCGGTGTCGATTTGGAGACCTCGCAGACCAACTACTACTTCCAGGGTGTCCCCAAGTGTAAGTCTCTTCCGTTTGAAATCATCATCTATGCTCCTCTTCGCAAATTCCGCTTGGCGTTGCTCCCGGCTTGCCTACCGTAACTAACGCTCGCCTTTTTGTTGCGCTACCCAGACGACCAGAGCAAGAACCTCACCATGTCGGACAGCTTCGCCAACTGGCACGAGTACGAGATTCGATGGACGCCTGACCAGATCGAGTGGGTTATCGACGGCGAGGTTGGACGCGTAAAGAAGCGAAGCGAGACTTTCAACAAGACCACGAACCAGTTCGAGTTCCCCAAACGCCCGCCCGTGTGCAGCTGTCCATCTGGCCCGGTGGTGCCGAAACCAACGCCCAGGGTACCATTGACTGGGCGGGTGGTGTAATTGACTGGAACGGCGAGGACATCAAGCGCAACGGCTACTACTATGCGACTTTTGGCGAGATCACGGTCGAGTGCTACAACGCCGACTCGCCTCCCGGCACCAACAAGCGCAAGAGCTACATTTACAACGACATGCGTTCCACCAACGACACGGTCGAGGACACGGATCGCAGCACCATTCTCGCCTCCTTCGCGGCGACGGGTCTGGACATGGACAAGGGCGCGGACAAGGGAGACAACAACGTCTCCCAGGTTCCCGGCGGTTCCAACCCCGGCGGCAGTGGCTCCGGCTCGCACTCGGGTGACTCTGGCTCCGGGTCGGGAGGTTGCTCTGGCGGAGACACCTTTTCGCAGACGTGCGGCGGTAGCAGCTCGGACCCGAGCGATGGTGCTGCGGGTAGGAAGGGAGCGGCGAGCGCGCTTGCGGTGATTGTCGCCCTCGGTGCGCTCTTGTTGCTATAAGGGTACAGAATCTTGATGTTTTTTTTTTGCAACCTATTCCATCATTGATCTTTCTTCCTCGGCTTTTTTCAGGCCCCCTTTTCCTCTTTCTTGGTGTCCTTGACGTAGTCAGCTGGTGATATGCATGGAGTTTTAATCCTTCTTCTTTTTCCCCTTTGCTCATCTTTATGCCATCTATGAAATGTTCCCGTTGGCACCTCACTACTAATTCCCGCATTTCCCGCTCCTTTTATTCCTGGTCATGGCACTGGCCACATTCTCTCTGTCGTAACTTGCCTTCTTTTCGAACCTTCGTGTATTTAGTTTTATTTATTTTTATATCCCATTCTAGCATTCTTCAAAGACTTTAAGTTGCCCTATTCTACATGTATAGATGGTGATTTGTGGATTCTGAATGCCCGCCGTACGTTCGGAACCTTGCCAACCTGCTGTGTGAAGTTTGCTGGGAGGACAAACGATGCTTGTTAGCCTCCTTGTTCAATCTTTAGATGAGAGATGGTGATCTGTACACCATCGTTCCGCGCTTCATCGTCATCATATCTCATACTACCTATCGTGCGACCGAAAGAAAGGGGAGCGTTTGCATCATTACTTCGACCATCACCACTTAGCATAGCGTCCGCTTCCCAGTTTTTCTCCTTTCTACACAAGTACAAGAGTCTCGGTTGACTTGGCGTTGGAATAAGGTTTCTGGTGTCTGTCCGGCGTTGGACCAGGGCTCGGGTCCTTGATACTACTGGATCTGTACCTACCCGGACGCTGCGTGTTGTGAAGTGAAAGAGGACGGCTGCGTCTGATAGGGCGTGGGTACGCAGGGAAAAGGGAACCGTTGGTGGAGGGGAATCGCGATTTATATTAATGGGGATGTTGTCCGACCTTGGCGGATGTGGGAGCAGAGCTCCAACCAGCATTAACTTATACCTTGTTTACTTTGAAGCATCCAGGGAATAAGAGTTCTTTATTAGGTTGAGGAATGCGAACACGGCCACTGGGTAGCGGTAGCCGCCTGTCTTCATAATGAACAATCCAGGCTCTACTCAGCACATACGACCATAGCTCGTAGAATATTGAGGGTCCCGTCCGCTCCCCTGTACACAAGCTGCGAAGCGCCGGACTAGTAGTTGGGTCGGTGACGACCAGCGAATCCCCGGTGTTGTATGTTTTTTTTTTGCGTCCTTTTGCCTCGTTCAATCCTGACAGTCGCAGCCCCCCTCATCCCTATTTTCGCTTTGAAGTTGGTGGTGGCTTAAAGTCCCTCTCCCTCTCTACTACTATTTGGCCACAAGATGGTGTCTATCGATTGACATCACGAGGGTAAAGGGAATCAGCTACATTGAAGGTTTGTTCTAGGATGGCAGCCTTGGACGGGGAAAGCCGTTGACGCGTCCTTGCAGGCATCCGTATCCTCAGCTAATGCGGACCGTTAGTGTGCTTCTAGGGAGGGGGACAATAATTTGAGGGTTCTTTTTTCTTCTTCTATTGGTTTCTACCGCCTAATAGCAACTTAACAGGAATACGCGTAACATATGAAGTGATATCCAGGGTAGCACTCAATCTTGTCTCACCATCCTTTTCGGCGGAGCGGTTTTGGTGGCTTGGTGGCTTGGTGAGCCCGTGGGGCTGGTTCGTCTTGCGTGCCCCGGGACGCGGGGAATCGGGGGCATTTTGCGCCGGCCGGTGGCGTTTTTAGCGGGCTATGATTGGATGGGCGTTTTGTGGCGTTTTCTTCGGCGTTCGGTGCCGGGTGCGATGGCGTGTCGGGGACGGAGAGATTCGAACAAAGAACACTCGGGGACAGAGGGGCACACATAGGCTTGGAATCCTTCTCGAAAAGCTTGGGTTCTCATTCGATCTATTTCCCTTTTCTTTTTCGTCTTTTTCCATGCATTACGCGGCGTGGCATTGTTGCCGAAGGCGGGTCATGGTGGATGATTGGGGAAGGGGGCGCGGCGGTGTACCATTCGGGCGCACCTTGACGCTGTTTTGGGATTCGGAGGAGTCGACTTGTCCACGCGAGAGGGCGGGATCACCGTGACGAATTCTTTTTGCTTTGATTACGATTAGGTGGAAATGGCGAAAGGGATGAGGGCGAAAAGTATAAAGGCGAGGGGATGTCTTCTGACGAGTTGTTTGGTTTGTCTCTTACCTCTTTTATTATACATTATACTACACTATCTCATTACCCGGCTCACCATAACTCAAGCTCCATCCCTCTTGGACCACTGCATCATTTCAGTAATTGTCTTGGATAGAGAAACTGCCGCCTACGAGCCCTACTCACTATTATACCATCAGCCTCGTCTGTTGCGTTCCGGAAGCATAATCCTTTTTTCTTTTTTCTTATCTCACGATATTCGTATCTTTCCTTTTTCTCAATAACGAGGAATCGCCCTGAACACAGCATCCCAAATCCGATTTTTAGAGTCTCCATCTTCTCATCACACGCCATCATGAGCAAGAACATTGCCTTTTTCGGAGCGAGCACCGGCTGCGGCCTCGCCGCCCTCCGACACAGCCTAGCAGCAGGCTACACATGCACGGCCCTCTGCCGCAACCCCGGCCGTCTGACGACCGCCCTCTCCGCAACGGAATCGACGCCCGCCGTGCCGCAGGACAAGTTGAGGGTGGTGCAGGGCAACGCCCACTCCGTGGAAGACGTGGCCCGGTGTCTGGCGGCGCCGGGAACCCCCACCGGCCTCGTCGACGCCGTCGTCTTTAGCATCGGCGGGGCGTTTCAGTGGAAGAGCATGAAGATTGACGACCCTACCGTGTGCGATCGGGGCGTGGAGACGCTGCTGGCCGCGATATCCAAGCTCCGGGCCGAGGGCGCCGGCAGCGGCAGCGGCACCGGGCCCAAGGTGGTGGTGGTTAGCACGACGGGGATCTCGGAGTTTGGGAGGGACATACCGCTCGCCATGATTCCGCTGTACGCGGCCCTGCGGAGCCCTCACGCGGACAAGAAGAAGATGGAGGAGCGGATCCGGACCTCGGGCGAGGCGTGGACGGCCGTGCGGCCGAGTTTGCTTGTGGAGGAAGGCGAGGATGAGAAGGGCGAGAAGGCGGAAAAGGAGATTCGGGTCGGGGTGGAGGACCCGGTGCGGGGGTGCAGAGCAAGGCGATTGGGTACACCATTACCAAGGAGGACGTGGGGAGGTGGATCTTTGAGAATTTGCTGCGGGCTGGGGGAGGAGTATCTCGGCAAGGCCGTCACCATCACGTACTAATCTTTTGGGGGTTGGCGGTGGGTTTTGGGGAAGGGGAGGTCTGGTGGTTCGTGAGAGGGGGTGACGGATAAAGCGCTTGGGGTATGATGGGGGCGAGAGAAAAGGTGAGGGGAGGGGAAGGAGGTTGTCGCAGTTTTGCGTCGACATGTTTTGAGATGTCTGGGTCCTCCTCGTTTTTGGCCCTGTCGCACTCTCTCCTTGCCCTTTCTTTTTCTTTCTTTCTTTCTTTCTTTCTTTTTTTCTTCTTCCGGGGTACACTGGTTCATCTTTCTAGCTTTAGAAATCCGGGCAGATGGGATGAAGGATGGAGGCTGGCGATGATGATGCGACGGGTTTGCGGTGGATCGGATCGACTTGGCTCAAGCTTTTTCTTACTTTGCGGGCGTATGGTTCTCTACTCTCAGCTCTCTTCTTAGATATATACACATCATAATACAGGCAACGCATTTCATGACGAGAATGTTCTAATCGGCCAGAGATCTCATCACTTTAGACATGCATCTATTGTACTAGAAGATAGTTTCTAGAACTGATGCCCGGGCTCTATTTTTTTCTTTTTTTCCCCCAGCATCTTTATGGTGGTTTCCCTTGCGTCCAAGACGAGCCTGACGCACTTTAGCACGCAAGCAAGTTGGGGGAACCGCCGCCGCAAGCTCATCTCTCGGCTTTACTCTCAAACGGTGAGGCGGCAGCCAAGAGGTCTATCCAATCTTTGGATCGTGGATATTCGATTGATAGGCTTGATAGGGTTCGAGGGGGAAAGGGGGTATCCATGGCACCTCCCGTCCCCTTTGAATGTCGCAGGTGGCGCGTACCTGTGCGCAGCGCCGCAGAAAAAAACGTGCCCCTTGTCTTGACGTCGCAGTCCTGTCACATTGTTTGCCTTGCATCTGCCAAGCCACCCGATCCGGCTGTTGATTCGACCCGATCCCCATCATCGATGTTCCAATCAACTGAACTCGTCAAGTTCGTCCTCCCCACCTCCTACTAGACTTCGGAATAGGCTCGCCGAGAGCGACCCTGCGGCGCAAAAGGGAACAAGAAACGGGGAGTCTGGGAGGAATGGAAGATGTAGCACCGCATTGTGAAAATAAAAATCAAGAAGAAGAGGAAAAATGAGCAAAGAGAAATGTTGGGGTTTCACCAAAGGGCGGGTGAAAAGGTGCCCCGGCCTTGCTTGCCTCCATCCCCCATGCTATATCCTATGAAAGAATAAGCCCCAGCTGAAACCGAACGGCACTTGTATGCAAGGCAAGAACAAGGAAAAAGAAGAAAAAAGGTACAGAGTCCCGACGAACCCGAGAGATTTCAACAGGGGACTGGCTGGAATTCAAAGGCAGCGCGGTAATGCCCCCAAGCCGATGGCGAGTGATCCCGGAATTGAAAAAGGAGATTGCTCTGGGAGCAGGAACCAAGGCGATCCGTTTGGCTCTAGGGACCCTGAGGGAGGCGAGGGGGCTATTTCCATTGGGGGTAGCGATGATGTGCGGTGTCTTGGATCAGGGCGATGCCTGTGCTCGAGTTCATGCACCAAAGGTGGCATCTGGGTCGTCGGTTGACGCAGCAGATAGGAGAAAGAGCTCCGAAGCTGAACGTGCAGCGGGTCAGGCTCACGCAGACATCAAGACGCTGATGAGGCACTACTCTTTTTTCTCTTTTTTTTTTTTTTTTTTTTTGATAGTCGGCTCCGACATCGCGAGAAAACGATCACCTTCGCTTCTTGAATAGCATTGTCTGGGGAACTAAAGGTCTCGGTTTCCACCCTCTCCTGTTTTCTATCGCTCTTGCGTTTTGAACCCCCTTTTTGGGGATATTTTACAAGGACAGGCAAAAGTTGGTTTCACTGAGGTGTGTAAGAGGAGCAGGATGTTATTGAAGCAGCATCAATGTCGTTCGTTAGTCGTGCCACTTCTTACCTCAGCCGGGCTTTTCCCCTCCCACTCCCCCTTTTGCTAAACCCGTATTTTTTTCTTGTTCGTCCAAGGGAAGCAAATCACGGTGGAGGCCAGACTCTAAACATTTTTTTGTTTCAAGAACGATACGGAGACTCATGAAGCACATATCAAGGGAGGGGAGGGGATGGGATGGGAGGGGTGACGACGATTAGGCAAAGGTAGATAGCCCTGGAGCCGGAGAGAAGACTCGCCACTTTTGGAAAGAACTTTTTCTCGAGGAGGGCTGAAGAACTGGACCTGGACCTATTGGAGACGAGACCGAATGATGTCCAAAACGTTTTCTCGGCCCATAGGATTTGCGCCAGCGAACCCGGAGGCGAGAAGAGAGCAGTCGAGACTGGATTTCAAGAAGGGAGAAGACGAGAGAAAAAAACGGGTTCTGAAAATGATCACTGAGGAAGAAGAAGGAGGATCAGGGAGGCTTGGATGAAACCAAAATCAAAAGGGCCAGGAATTTTCAACACGAATTCACCAATAAGAGAGCGGGAAGAAAAGAAAAAAACGATTGGTGAATGGGTGCGACGGCAGGCGGTTCGAGGATAGAACGTCGTTTATTCGGTTGCCGTTGGGTGTTGGATGTGGAGATGGAATTAGCCGGAACGAGAATTCGAGACACAACCGGCAGCACCTGAGGGAAGAGACGAAGACGGTCGACGGGGAGGGACTCGCTTCTGGGTTTTGGCGTTTAGAAGTACGGGACGAGAGGGTGGATGTTTTCTTCTTTCTTCTTTTTGAGCGCCTTGTTCGTTTTTCCTCTTTTCTAGTCAGGCTAGGTATTAAAAAGACAGAACATTATAGTATCGGAAGCCACGGAATGAAAGCTACGATGGTGTTCTTGGCAGCCCCGACGGGTTTCCTAAGCGCCCCCGCCATGCCCGTCTATCCTCGATATGGTTGCTTCAATCCGATCCCATCATGAGCCCCTTGATACACTGAGGTGAAGCCAACTAATAAGACGAGGATGGCCGAGGCAGAGAGGGGACAAGGCTGAAGAATGAGCCCAAAGAGATGGGAAGAGGGCCGGTGTGGGAGGGGGCGTGTAAGTCAACGTAGTGTATACGTCTAGACGCGCTGAGCTGCTAGTCTAGTCCGGGACCGCACCGAAAGGTTTGACTTGGGGGTCACCCAAAGATCCTGATCTACAGAGGGCAATCTTGATGAGAATGGAGATGAGACGCAACTACATTTCGATCGGTGGATGGCCTGGCACGAGACTAACAGTACTGCCCAAAAGGCAAGACGGGGTTGGTGTATTTGGACAGCCTGGCGCCCGCCCCTATGCACACAAAAACCGAGGCAGAGTGGGGGAGGGGAGAAGAGAGTATGCGTGTGCGCTGGAGGCAAGAGGGCCGAAATGAGGGGAGATGGAAGGACCGCGAGAAACTCGGTTTGGGGCGAGTCCATGATCGCCGTCTGCTCGAGCCAGGGAGCGACGTGACAGCGGGCCCTGGGAACGAGCGTGAGCGTGTAATGAGCGGAAGTTGGGCCAGCCAGCGAGACTGCGCCACTGGCGGCTTGTGTCATGATGGAAATCGCTGCGGGTGACTCTTGGAGATCACTTGATGCCTTTTTTCTTAACTTGTAATTTCTTCTTTTTTGGTTGAGGGGGCCAAGGGAATATCTGCTGCAGCTCATCAAGATCGACGTACGAAGGAGTGCTGGTGGAGAGTGAAAGGACCCAGCGGAATGGCTCTTTTGAAAAAGATTTTTTTCCTTTTCACGCTCTTCAGGCTCTATCAGAGGGCATCGAATTGCGCAACTGCGACAGGACTGCGATACATGGAAGGGAGTCGAAAAGAAAGAAGAATCTGAAACTAGAAGTCTTGCGGAGAGAAAAGTACGGATGGTTGGGTTGACTAGGGGCGACTTACACAGGTTACAGGGAGCACTCACTTGGAAGGCCACCTTGTGAGAGAGCACGAGGGGAAACAAGGTAAAATGAGGCCGGGGGCTGGCTTCAAGGCTTTTCGTGCGCAAGGGATCATGGATGGATCGAAACTTGTTCCAGGGTCTAAAGAGGTTGAATCCTTGCCTCTGTCCCCATCTCCCATCCCCTTGCGCGGAGGGATCAATGAAATCTCAGGTGGGGGTGGGGGAGAAAGAGTCACGATGGCGAGCTGGACGATGGGAAACTGTGAAGTGAAGGGAGGGGTCAAGGCGGACGGGTGGACGGTGGACGGAGCCGGTACAATCGGCGCGAGTCCCCAGGAGGGAGCAAGGAGTGGGATCGAATGGATCCATTGCATTGTTCTTTGCTGTGTTCTTTGCTGGGGGTTGTACTCGACAAGGGAAGAGTTGAAGTAATTGAAGACAGTGGTCGTGCTTGAGTGCTTGAGTGCTTGAGTGCTGGATCAATGTGCTTGGTGAACAGTGGACAGTGACACGGACGCGGGACAGCTGTCGCTCGCCATTGGAGCCAAGCCTTGGGAGGCTGCCGGCCGAACAGCGAAAGCGTGAGAGGTGGTGTTTGATCGTCTCGGCAACCCCAAGATGCCGTCGCACACGTTTTGGTCCGTCTTTTGGGATGATGACGATGGCGCCTTGCTCTTTTTTTTTATGCTTCTTTTCTGTTTCTTTTTTTTGGCAAGTTTTATGGGAGAGTGGTTACTTTACAATTGCATACAATCGTTGGGAAATCAATGTACCTTTTTGTCTCTTTCTTCTTTCTTTTTTTTTCTTCCTCCCTGCTTCCTCACCTCCGCCTTTCCTTCATCCCTCTACTCTCTCTCTCTCAAAGTGCCGACAACAGAGGTTCGAACCTTGTTCGAAGCGTTTCCCATCAACCCTAAATCACTGTCATGCCCTTCATGTTCCCTCTCCCACCACGACCCCCGTAGAACTGGTCCAAGGACGTTCCGTCCCCTTCCCCCTTGTTTCCCCTTTGCCCCTCTCGTTTTTTTCTTCTAAACAATCCATTTAGACTTTTTGACAGAGCTGGGATGGGGGCTGTATTAATCCATTGAGCAAGGGGCCTCTTACTTCCACACTTCACTTACATCCCACACGCCCCTCTGCCCTGACTGACGAATTCCCCCACGCCCCCTTGACTATCTCTCGCCGTTGACCCCCTTCCACTATCTCACGATCTCTCACTCCCGAGAGAGACAAGTCTTCTTCTATATAATCTACCTTTCCTCCCCCTCCATCTTCCTTTTGGTGATACCTCGTCTAATCATTCCCTTCTTTTTTTCTTCTTCTTGCCTTCATCTCGTCGCAAGCCCGGTTCTTCCGACTTACACTCCTTTTTTCAAGTATTACTTTTAAACCGCAACAGACGCCAGGCGCATCTTCACCGTTTTTCTTCTTCCATCTTCTAACCCTTTTCGATAAAGACGTGAAAAAACAAAAGAGAGATCTAAATAGACCCGACCTTTCACAATGCGTTTCGCCAGTCTCCTCCTTAACGCGGCCCTCGCTGCGGCCGCCGCCCCCCTCTCCCGCCGCGGATCTCGCCAAGCGCCAGGTCCCCGGCGTGCCCACCAAGCTGCTCCTCGGTGTGCCCAACTCGGTCCTCTTGGTCGACTTTGACGGCATCACTTTCAGCGTCGCTGCCAACGCTACCGAGGCCGGCACCAACCCTAGCTGGTTGGCTTTCCGGGAGCCCAACTTGCTCTACGCTGTTGACGAGTTTAACGCCGTGACCAAGCTCTTCGTGGTGAGTAGATGAGGGAACATACCGGGGGAAAGGAGAAGAAGGGGGTGGCTGGTGGCCATTGGAGGGATAACAAAAGACGGAGAGACGGAAATCATGCTAACACGCCTGGGTAACATTAGATTGACCGTGACTCCAACACCATTCAGTTGGTTCAGAACGCTGCCGGCTCGGCTGGCGTAGTCCACCTCGAGTTCAACCTTGACAAGACCAGGATGGTCGGTTCCTCCTTGTAAGTCGACACCCCTCTTTCTGTTCCGTCTTTCCGTCTTTCCTAGAATTTCACAAGCTAACATCCGTTTCTTCCCAGCGGCACCGGCGTCATCGACATCTGGGACATCACCGACGGCACCCTCCGCCTCTTCAAGCAAATCGTCTCCAACGACCCCCTCGGCCCCAACGCCAACCGCCAAGAGGCCCCCACCCTCACCAGTCCGTCCTCGACCCTTCCGGCCGCTTCTTCGTCGTCAACGATCTCGGCACCGACACCCTGCTCGTCATCGACGCCCAGGACGACCAGTTCGAGGTCGTCAACCGCGTGCGCGTGACCCCCGACGGTTGCGGCCCCCGTCACGGCGCCTTCTTCCCCGGGGCGCCCAGGCCGCCACCCACTACATCCTCCTCTGCGAGCTCCTCAACGTCGTCGAGGTCTTCCAGGTCACCTACGTCGAGAACTCCATCCAGTTCGTGCCCACCCAGGTCCTCAGCACCTTTGGCCAGGACTTGCCCCCGCCAACGCCACCACCGCCACCGCCGGCGAGATCGTCATCTCCTCCGATAACCGGGACGTCTACATCTCCAACCGCAACACGGGCAACGAGACCGACAGCATCACCCACTTCAGGGTCAACGTCCCCACCGAGGAGGGCGGGCCCATCTCCTCGACTTTAGCGAGAGCATCTCCTCGGGCGGCTCCGTGCCCCGCATGTTCTCCCTGTCCGCCGACGAGAATCTGCTCTTCTCCACCAACCAGAACAGTGGGCTGGGTCTCGTCGCGCTTGCGAGGAACGGCAACACGGCGGCTCAGGGCGGTGCCGTGGCTGCCGCGGCGGACTTTAGCGCTGCTGTGGAGGCGGCGGGGACGCTTGTGTCTTCGCCGATTGCTGCGCTTGATGTCAACATCTTTGGTGATGCCAACTTTGGGCCTCAGTTTGCCATGCAGATTTAAGAGAAGAGAAAGGGAATATGGTGAAATGAAGGGATGAGCCGCGGTTTCATGTAGCCTTTCCGCGACACTTTTTCTTCTTTTCTTCTTCTCCATTTCTGTCTCCTTGAACATCCTGAGTCTTGCACGACCATCAGGGCTTTTCTCTCTCCGAGAACAAGTTCCTATCCTTGTTTTCTTCTTTTTTTCTCTCACACATTGGGTCTCTTGTCTTTTGTCTTCTTAGAGACTTGGGCGAGAAAATGTATGCATAGCGAATGGCGTTGAGGTGGACCGAGACAGAGGAAACCCTTGTCCGACTTCCTGGGAGAAGTGCATTTTGACCATGGGTGGCCGGATCGATACATCCATGAACATTACCATTTGTCTTTATTTTCTCTTCTTTTTCCTCGTCTTTTTTTTTTTTCTTCTTCTTGTTAACCGTTTAACTTGTACCTTACGATCTTGAAGATTTCGGCTTTTTCTTTTTCTTTCCTAATTCCTTTTGCAATTTTTCTGCCTCTGTCCTATCTTCTTTGCTTCAATTTTTTGTCCTCTCCGCCTGTATTAGTACGTATCATCAATGTAATCATGCTCTGTGGCATGAATGAACACACGGGACCAAGAGCCTTTTTCAGTTGATTAAAAAAATCACTTGTTTCATCCTCGTCGATTCTCCCTTTGCCGTGGTTTGATCATGTTTCTTAGTCTCTGTACCGAGATTCATGGGCCACTTTAGTAGAAATGAGGCCGAGGCCCAAAGTTAGAAGAATCATTTTCTTTCGTTTCCCATCAGCTCGCCCTCTTCACGGCTGATGCTGAAGAAACGATTTGAGAGGCTTGAGGTTTTGCTGGTGGCTCTGTCGATAATAGTTGTAATCGTAATTAATAGCGTCAAGCCAGGGGTCAGTTTGAGCAGAGCCAATCAATTCAGAATTCATGCCTGAGGCACAGACACATCACCTTAGCTCTCCGAATTTTTTCCCCTTACCAAAGCTTTCCACCTCAACCTCGAAACGAAAGACTAAAGACGATCTACAGGGAAAAAGGAAAAAGTTGGCAGCGCGCTCTCATTACCTATTTCTGCTGCCGCTTTTTTCCAACCATGCCTCCTCGCCTCCAATTGGCACCGCATCTGCGGGCGGCCCTCGGCTCGACCGCCGCGAGGCCCGCGGCGGCGACGCCGTCCATGGCCGCCCTCTTCTCCCGACTCTCTGCAAAACGCGACGGGCTGCACTCCGGCGATGACGGCGATGACGGCGACGACGACGACGAAGATGATGGCGATGCCGTTGATGGCTGGTTCGAGACGGGGCGCGCACATTCTCGCGACGTTGAGGAACAATGTCGGTGCGGTGAAGAAGCGGACGAGGGTGGGTCGGGGTGCGTCGTCCGGGTACGGAAAGACGTCAGGTAGGGGTCAGAAGGGACGGAAGGCGAGGGCGCAGGTGAATGCGTGGTTCCAGGGTGGTCAGACGCCTTTAATCCGGATCAAGGGTAAGAAGGGTTTCGACAATCTGTGAGTATTTTCTCCTTTCTTCGCCTCTCTTTTGTCCCGTTGCTTCTTTTTTCCTTGATTCACATACTTATATTTTCACCCCGTTCTTCTCAGTAACGCGCAACGACTCTCGGTCACGAACCTCGACCAAATCCAGGAGTGGATCGACAACGGCCGCCTCGACGTGACGAAGCAAATCACGCCCAAGGAGCTCATCGAATGCGGGATCCTGGGCTCGGTCAAGGACGGCGTGAAGCTGCTGGGCCGGGGCAAGGAGACGTTTTCGCACCCGATCAACATCATGGTGTCGCGGGCGTCGGCGGACGCCATCGCGGCGGTGGAGCAGGCGGGCGGGCGGGTGGTGACGCGGTACTACACGCGCCTGGCCATCCGGCGGCTGCTCAACGGCACGAGCGTCAACACGGAGACGCCGCTGCCGCAGGGCAAGGAGCACGTGGAGGGCGTGCTGGAGGCGGCGAGGCAAGGGCCCTATAAGTATAGGCTCCCGGATCCGACGGGCCGCGAGGACATGGAGTACTATCGGGACCCGGCGCATAGGGGGTACTTGAGCCACTTGCTGCGGCCGGGCGAGAACCCGAGCTTGTTCTTTGGCGTGCCGACGGAGAAGAAGGCGAAGCGCAAGGTGCGGCAGAGGAAGAAGGTGGCTGAGGAGGAGAGGATCTTTTAAAAGAGTTGGTGGCGAGGAAAGAGATGTACTCAGTATGCCATGTACGTTTTGTTTGTATCAAAGTCGGCTGGAGGTTCGAGGAGTGGAGTGGACAAATGTCTGATAGAAACGGGGCCTGGAAGGGCGCCGATGTACAATTACACCACCATCAAGCATCAATCCTTTTTCGAATACAATGTAATGGATCTATTTCAATGCCTTTCGATATAGGAGGTTTGGGATGGTTGTTGTAGGCTGAGATGCGTACACAAGGGTAGGCAGACATAGCTTTAGGAGAATTAACCTGTGCAGCTTGCAATAGATTAGGTTTTATTTCATTTTGTTGTAATACCATCCGATATTAGATCCATTGTTTTGCTCGTTCTGGAGGGCAAGGGCTGGCGCATATCAGTTGATAACTTCACATAGACACTATATCGATCCATTGTGATTGCCTAGCGTGGGGCGAAGTGGAACTCTCCCAATGGAAGGCTACAGTGGTGTGTGTTGGATCGCTGCTGCCGCGCTTGCCCCTCGGACAGCAATTTGCTTAAGCTATCCTCTTTCGGTTGGGCGGCCTGGAGCTTCCTTTCCCAACCCCTTCTCGATCCTGTTGTTTCAGACCGTTGGCACTATTTCCATAGCTTCGACTTGAGCCCGAGGTCATCGTCATCCGAGGTCATCATCTTCCTTCCAGTCTTCTTTTTCTCCTATTCCCTTTTTTTCTTCTCTCAGAAAACTTTGTGCGTTATTGCCCTTTGGTTTTCTTTTCCTTACTCTTTCTCTTCCAATCTGATAAATCCACTGCTCCCAAGCAAACCCCGACTGCTGCCAGGATCAGTCCTGTGCACCATCAACCCAACTGAGCACAGCTCTCCCAGATAGCGACGCACAGTGTCCAACAAGCAACCGGCACCAATAGAATGACCCATTTCCATCCGTCAATTGGGAATCCGCCTCATCACTGATCTCCCTTCCCCACCTCTGAGCACACATCAGTGATTCCGATTGATCAATCCCGCCGGCAACCCCCTTCGCAAACTGTATGTAACCTGCTGCAGCCTGGGTCAAATCAGTTCACGATTCAACGCTGGCACTTCGACAAGAACAGGCGAAAACCGCCCCAACTTGGCACCGCACCATACTCGAAAGAGAAGCAAAGAGAAGTGTCGCCGCGCCCTGCAGTGCATTGCGCGCAGTCGTCATCAACAAGCCACTCGGACAGCTCGTATCTCCTTCGCCTCTTTGTTTCCTCGCACGCTTTGCCTTGTCGCATTTTCTCCCCTCAACCAACCTCTGCCCAAGTGAGCGACGCCACGAGCACTCCTTGAGCTCCATCGATTGAATCGGCCCGGCGAGGTATTGCGAAAGAGCTCATTTACGACCGTCTTTACCTTCCTCTATTACGCCCCCATCATCATCAGACAAGGACAGCCATTGTCGATCAAAGCTCCCGCCCTTCGCGCCCCACGACAGCTCCCGACAACCCCCAACGAACAGCGCCCGGCACAGAAGCTTCAGCTAGAGTAAAGAGGAAACCATAAAACAATAAATAAAATCGGCCATGGCCCTCTTCGGCACCTCACCGCCGGGCAAGAGCGCCTTGATCGGATCGCCAGCCTCGCGATCCCGCGACCTCTTCGGCGACGACGACAGCGGAAATGGCAACAATGACGGGTCCCGCAGCGGCTCCCGTGGGACATGCCCACCCGCGGCGGCGCCAATCTAGGGCTGACCTGGTCAAGACGCTCCTCCGTCCTGCGGACGTGCCCGAGTCGTACGTCGACCTCTTTGACCGCACACTCGAAGAAGACGAGGAGGGTGGCTTGGGCAAGATTAGCAGGCGGGGGCTCACGCGCCTCTTTGCGGCGGCGCGCATCAGCTCGGAGCAGAGGGACCGCATATTGGGCATCGTGTCGCCCGGAGGCGGCGATGTAGGCCGGAACGAGTTCAACGTGTTGCTGGCGCTGGTCGGGCTGGCGCAGGAAGGAGAGACACTGAGCTTGGATACTGTGGATGAGCGCAAGGGAGGTGAGCAAGCGTGGCGTTATCGCTCTTTTCTTTCCTGTTATATTTTTCAACCTTTTGTTGCCCATTCCTTTCCTCCCGATCCTCTTCTCGTTTTCCCGATCCCGACCCGTTTTATTCCTTTTTCTTCCGACGTTTATTCTTCTGGGGCTTTGGCTGCCATTTTGCGTGTCGTATGCCGATGCATTGGAGCGGCTCGCGCGGGTCACCCTTGGAAGGCCTGGCTCGCTTCCTGCCTTGCTTCTCCCTCGTCCCAGCATCATCCATCATCAATTTCCTCCCACTTGAAACCCCTCCGCGGCAAAAGCTTGCAGAAACATCCTTGTCCCTTTCTTTCCATTCCCTATCCTACAAGAAAACTGCACTCCTTGGCTCTCTCGAGGGGTAGCTTTCAAAGCATCCAAGGTGGGTGCTCTCGCTGGTTTCCCCTCCGACAAAGCCGATTGCCACCATCCCTGAACGCTTGAATTGATTGGCTGTTACCCTGCTGGTCGGCCAACTGCAAGCTCCCACGGAGCTAGAGGCAGCAAAAGAAAAGAAGAAGCAGAAAAAACGAGCTATTTAAGCCTAGCAGAGCAATTTGCGGGGCACCGACAGACATTGCAGCCAGGGGACTGGCTGGCCTTGTCCGACCGCATGAGTTGGCGGAAGCTGTCCCCTGCGAGCTCGTGCTTTTGCCTTATCGCCGTTGCTTCGCTGTGCTGCTGGGCCTGGCTGTGATAGTGGTCGTCAGCTGTGACACCATCCCAAGCTCATTAGCGATCTATTATCCCACCTCCCTGCCCTGCACTGTTCCCTGGTTGGCTGGATTGGGCTTTTGGGTGGCCAAGCAGCACATTTCCGCAAAAACGCCCCTACACTACCTTGAGAAACGCCATTCTCTACAAAGTCCCCCATTAATTCCCTTGAACCCTTTTTCAGTTGAGAAAATACGTACGCCATCTTAAGTGCCCTTCGTCATCTTCGCCCCATCACGGGGAGGGAAAAGAAAAAGAAAAAAAAAAAAAAGTGACCCGAGCTAATTTTGCAACGTTTCGCCCTCATCCAGATCTCCCGCAACCCAAGTTCATTGGTATCAACGCTGAGCCCGAATTGCATACGGCCGAGCTCGCTGCCAAACCTCCACAAACACCCGCCAAACAGCCAACCTCCCAGCCGACGCCGCCGACGCCGACGCAGCAACGACGGCAGCAGCAGCAGCAGCAACAGAACGACGAGAGGCAGCCGCGCAGGCCCTCGACCCCTCCTCCGCGATCGCAATCTTTTAGCCCGTCCACCATGGACTTCCCTCCCGATGCCGACGCGGACCCGTGGAACTCACCCGACGTCCACAAGCACCATCAACACAACTCCGATGGCATAGTCCCCACATTATCCAACCAATCCACGGCCGCCATCGCGCCTACCAACGGCAACGGCCTCCAGGCTTCCGAACATAACGACGGCGGTGGCGGCGGCGGCTCGGACGGAGGGAGCTATCCATCCATGTCCATGTCCATGCCCGCCCCGTCTACCGACCCCATCTCTGCCTATACCACCCCTTCCGTAGCCTCGCCCCTCGACACCCTTCGCTATCGGCTTCTGCTACCGCCGCGCCCCCATCATCCGCGTCCACCGGCGGCGGCTGGGGCGGCCTCTATGATAACCCGAGCTTGGGCACCGCCGGTGGCTTCGGCGACTCGCTACGGAGCCCTCCCGCGAACCCCTTTGGCGGCCCGTCCCCCGGCAGCAGAGCGTGCAGCAAGAACCACCGTTCCCCAGGGCGATTAGCAGCGGCCGGACGGGCAACTCCCTGGAAGAGGTTGTCACGGTGAACCTCATGCCCGAGAAGGAGGGCATCTTTTTGTTCCAGCACCACAACTACGAGGTTTCGAGCTCGAGGCGGGGAAGCAAGGTGGTGCGTCGGTACAGCGATTTCGTATGGCTCCTCGAGTGCCTGCACAAGAGGTACCCCTTTAGGGCACTGCCTCCGCTACCGCCCAAGCGCGTTGCTGGTAAGCTCTCATCCATGCCCAGCACACGCGAATAAGAATACCCCTACCCTCAGATGGCATTTCAAAAAACTAACCTTGATCCTTTGTTTTTCCTCGTAGTCAACGGTAACCACCTCTCCAACGACCGTGCTTTTATGGAGAAGAGAAGGCGGGGCCTTGCCCGATATCTGAACGCCCTTGTGCGACATCCTATCTTGGGCCAGGAGCAGCTCGTTGTCATGTTCCTTACCGTGCCAACTGTAAGTTCTTTTCTTCCTTCCGTGTGCCCCAAGGAAGGGCGGAAGGGTTGGACTTTCATTCTAACTTTCTGTGTTTCTCTTTCACGTTAGGAGCTCGCTGTCTGGCGAAAGCAAGCCACCATCTCGGTGCAGGAAGAGTTTGATGGACGGCCTTTGCCCCCTGGTCTCGAGGACTCGCTCCCGCCAACTCTGGAAGAGCTGTTTGCGCGCTCGCGGCTTGGCATCAGGCGGTCGACCGAGCTGTACATTGGCGTGTGCAACATTGTGGACCGGCTAGTCAAGCGCACCGAGGGCGTGGCCGCGGACCATGGTCGGCTAGCGTTATCGCTCGCGTCCCTGACGGACGCGACGGCGGACACCTACGCAACGGATACGGCCGAGGTAGCGCTCCTCAATGACGGCCTCATGGCCATGGGCAAGCACCTGCGCACGGGCCAGAACCTCCTCGAGGACGAGAGCCGCGCTTGGGAGGCCGGGGTTCTCGAGGACCTCAAGCGGCAGAGAGACGGCCTCATGAGCATGCGGGACATGTTTGAGAGGCGCGACAGGCTTGACCGCGATACGATTCCGTTCCTTGAGAAGAGGATCCAAACCAACGAGGCGAAGCTGGCCAACTTGAGGTCGAAGCCCGAGGGTATGGTGAAGCCGGGCGAGGTTGAGCGGGTGGCGGAGGCTATTATCAAGGTACAGACTTTTTTTTCTCTTCTTCTTCTATGACTTTCTTCCTTTATTTTTCGTTCTTGTCAACACGTGCTTGAGCTAACGCAATGGTTTTGGTCTCAAAACAGGACAAGGAATCCATCGTCAAGCAACATAACCGGTCCGTGTTTGTCCGCGAATGCATCCGGGACGAGCTGCGGTACTTCCAAGCCTCGCAATACCACGTGTCACGGTGGAACCAGGACTGGGCGCAGGAGAGGGTCAAGTACGCCGAGGTCCTGGCGGACAACTGGCGGGGTCTCCTCGACGAACTCGATGGCATGCCTCTTGGCGAATAAGCCTCGTAAATACGCCAGAGTGGTGGGGCGGTATAGGATCCATGACATGGCGGTGGTTGTGGGATGTTGTAAGTTTCTTATCGTTGTTCGGGTTGTTTTGGAGGGGCGGTGTCGTTTTCCCGTTTTCTTTGCTCTCCTTGCTGCCATTGGTAATTCTAATACCTTGTGTGTCTTTCTGACTGTATTGTCCTGGCTTTGCTATTTCGTTGTTCAGAAGCATAGCCCCGTATGCATTTCATCTTCCCCCTCCTTCTTTACATTCCTCATATACACACTCTCTCCTTGCCACATCCTCTCTCTCTGCCACTTCCGCTCCTATGTCTGTCTGTCTATCTCGTTGCCTGTCAGTTTTAGTATCACATTGCACTCTCATATAACTTGCTTCCTTGGCCTTGTTTTTGCTTGGGGAGGATAGGCTAGCTCGAATATCAAGTTTTGGCTCTCCCATGTTTATATCAGAATCGTTGTCGTTGTCTTTTTTTCCGATCCTCTTGTTGGCCAAGGTGATAGTTGCACGGCAAGGGGATATTTATATATACATCCATTGTCGCTATATCTTTTGCACTTGTGTTTACGGCAGCTTACACTACAGTAGAGGAGGTTGATCACCTTTTTAACGATGAGCCGAGGCAATACAATACAGCAGCGAGACGAATTGACTACACACGGTTCTTGAGGGTGGCATGCACATCGCCACCCTATGCCTCTTCACCTGAGATCGCCAGCCTCGTTACACTCCCCAAGATGGATCATCCACCATGATTTTCACCGTTGCCCCTCACCTTTGAACGACATTGAATGCTTTGCCTGCTTGTTTTATTCCCGTGAGGTGGATAAGCACAGAAGAATGGGGGTTCCAATGGAGGCTGAAAGAGGAAAAGAAGAAGAAGAAGAAAGTCGAGATTCAAGATTCTTCTTTTGCTGAAACAAAAAGGTGACAAATTCCAGCGAGCTCGTCTTGTGCCACGCCAATCTGGCATTTGGTACTCGGTATTTGGCATTGAGCATTTGGCATTTGGGGCGACCGTCTCTTTCCTTTAGCCATTGCGCCTAATCACGATAGAAACGGTATAATCTATCCCGCTCGCTCTTGGCCTTTGGTAGCGCGCCGTCAGCAATTGAGAGAAATGCGGCGCGCATTCCATGCAGTCTACTATAGAAGAATGTCATATACCTTTATTCAACTTGACACAAATTGCTAACCACACCTACGCCTTCTTTTTCCAACTCCCTTCCAAACGATTGCCGACTGGCCACCTGTACGGTACCTGTCCGTTCGTTACTTTTTTTTTTTATCGTTCTTTTCTTCTTCTTCCCTCGTTCGGGGAGACGTAAACCCATTACTTCATCGGCGGCAGGCGGAGTCTCTTCATCTTTTTTTATTCCCCGGTGAAGCGAACCTCGCCTTTCCCTTCTCGGCCCATCCTTTCCTTTCGACCTCCTACTTTCGTCATCTTTTTCTTACTCTTCTTTTTCTTTGCGTTCTTACGTTGGTATAGATACGGCCCCGCCATCTGTTCTTGTATCCTTCCTGGGACATGGGGAGGAGGGGAACTAGCATATCCGAGAGGAGACTCTTATAAACACTTGGGCGCTGGGCCTGCTCAGCGGATGCTTGGTTTCTTATAAAATCCTTTGTTGCGGTATCTTTCTCTCTTTTGTCCCCGTCCCCGTTTCCGCTGCTCATGCTCTTCCTTCCGGCGTCCCTGACCCTCCGTTCCGCGCCCGTGCGCTTGTGAGAGCCCACCGGCGCCGGGAAGCCGCTAGACGGCCCCTTCAACCCTTGCTCTCTCTCTCTCTCTCTCTCTCTCTCTCATTGTCTTCCGGTAGCCTTTCTCCCCCAGGGCCTTTCAGTGGCCGTTTTCGATACCCATTTCTTGAATTAGGCGGATTTCTTTTCTTTTATTCTTCTTTTTCTTTGGCTTCACCCTCTCACCCTCCCCCTCCGTCATGTCGTCTCCCCGGAGCCGGAGCCGGACCAGGTTCATCCTACTCGCCGTCTTCACCACCCTCTTCCTCTACTACCACCTCTCCGCACCCACCACCCCGGCGTCCCACATCCCGTACACCGCCTCCCTCGCCCTCGCCACCTCCCCCTCGCCTCCGAGCGTCTCGAGTGGTACATGAACCGCAACCCGCCCCCGGACCCCCTCAGCCAGCTCCTTCAACTGGAGCCAAGTCCCCGTCGCGCACCCTCCCAACGGCGGCACCCTCCTCCTCCACCCCCGCCGGCCGCGCCAAACCGCTACCCCGGATCCAGTACGATTTCCCCTCGCCGAGCCAGCACTGGTCGCGCGACGCCCTCAAGGTGCGGGAGACGCGCCAGCGCAAAGTCCGCACCCTCTTTCTCAAAAACTGGAACGCCTACCGCACGCACGCGTGGAAAAAGGACGCCCTGCTCCCGCTGAGCGCCGGCGGCCGGGACCAGTTCTCCGGCTGGGCCGCCACGCTGGTCGACTCGCTCGACACGCTATGGGTCATGGGCCTGCGCAAAGAGTTTGACGAGGCCGTGGCCGCCGTGGCCGACATCGACTTTGGCGTCTCCACGTCGACGCGCGTCAACGTGTTCGAGACCACCGTCCGCTACCTGGGTGGGCTGCTCGCCGCCTACGACCTCAGCCGGCGGGCCATCCTGCTGACCAAGGCCGTGGAGCTGGCCGACCTCTTGTACGTCGCCTTCGACACCGAGAACCGCCTGCCCGTGGACAATATCGACTTTGAGCGCGCCAAGCTCGGCCGCGGCCTCTTGGCCGAGGGCCTCGTCGCCTCCGCCGCGCCCGCCTCCCTCTCCCTCGAGATGACGCGGCTGTCCCAGCTCACGGGCGACCCAAAGTACTACGACGCCGTCGCCCGCGTCACCCGCCTCTTCGCCGCCCAGCAAATGGACACGGACCTACCCGGCATGTGGCCCACCCGCGTGTCCATGGCCCGCGCCGACACCACCTACGGCTCCACCTTCACCCTCGGCGGCGACGCCGACTCCTCTACGAGTACCTCCCCAAGATGCACGCCCTCCTCGGGGGCTCGAGCCTCTCTACGAACGCATGTCCCGCGCCTTTCTGCGCACCGCCACCACCCACCTCTTCTTCCGCCCCATGCTGCCCAGCGGCCACAACGTCCTCTTCTCCGGCACCGTCAACGTCGTCGCCGGCTCCGACCCCGACAGCAACGGCAGCGACAACACGGACAAGGAGCTATCCACCGAGAGCGAGCACCTCGCCTGCTTCGCCGGCGGCATGATGGCCCTCGCCAGCCGCCTCCTCTCCAACGCCACCTACCTCGACACCGGCGCCCGCCTCGCCAAGGGCTGCGCCTACGCCTACAAGGTGTTTCCCACCGGCCTCATGCCCGAGCGCTTCGACCTCGTCCCCTGCCCCGGCGACCTCCTCGCGCCCGCCACCTGCCCCTGGGACCGCGCCGCCTGGAACGCCGCCAAGACCCAGTACCCCGCCCGCAAGGCCAACCTCCCCCGCGGCTTCGCCTCCGCCAAGGACCCCCGCTACCTCCTCCGCCCCGAGGCCATCGAGAGCCTCTTCGTCCTCTACCGCGTCACCGGCGACGAGCTCTACGTCGAGGCCGCCTGGGACATGTTTGTCGCCGTCAGCGAGGCCACCGCCACCGAGATCGCCAACGCCGCCGTCCTCGATGTCACTGTCGCTAAAACAGCCAAGAAGGAGGTGCCCAAAGAGGATTACATGGAGGTACAGTCACTCCCTTTATTGCCCGTTTTGTTCTTTTCTTTTTTTTTTTTTTCCCTTTTTGGCCATTTCTAGGGTCTTTCTTCATCTTCTTCAAAGTTGGCATCATCTCAAATTCTCGCTAACCTAGCCCCCAGAGCTTCTGGCTAGCCGAGACCCTCAAATACTTTTACCTCATCTTCTCACCCCCGACCTCATCAGCCTCGACGACTTCGTGCTCAACACCGAGGCGCACCCCCTCCGAAGACCCAAGTAAGGCAGGGCAGGGGCGCACCCCTTGTTGTCTTGCCTTTTATTTTGTTAGGGTTTTCTTCGTGTTTCTTATACGGTTTCCGCTTTTTTCTTGTTGGTCTGGTTCACCAAGATGTATATATGTAGGGCAGGTTGGGTTGGTCTATTTCTTCTGGGTTATAAAAAGATAACATACCCAAACCAAGGTTCATATACCTCTTTTTTGCTTTCATGTGAGCACTCGAATACCATGTTCAATCTCATTGTTCCACGCTCCTTGCCCTCTGTTTCTCGCTTCCTACGACTGAAACAGTGCACTAGACAGACGTTCCTCCATATAGACCGTCTATTGTTCGTTCAAAGCCTCGGATGACGCACACGGTGAGACCCGCGATTCCCAGGTATATTTCTCGAGCGCTAGGTACAACGCGAGCCTCCAAACTGACGAGACAGCAAAGGTGTGGAGGAAGAGGGGGAGAACTGCTGCCAATGATCAAAACTCCTGAATGCCGCATGCTGTCCATTGGAGTATTAATATATCAAGGAGAAGGAATGAGAAAACAAACCCGAATAGAAATGGTACAAAAAATACAAACACATACGCGAAAAGATCAATCCCGTTCATCGTACAAGGGGGTATCAGAATTCTTCCTCTGCCTTGCATCCCAGTTTTAAAACCTCCGAGATGATAGTACATGGGGCGCACCTCCGAGTCTTGACGCCATTTCCTTGAAATAGCGGCCCCGCCTCTCTCTCAGCAACCCCAAAACTACATACCATGACCATGGCCACTCCTGAGGGGGAGGGCAGCCTTTTATTTGACCTCGCCACCAGCTTCCAACACGCCATTCAGCTGCTGCGACTTCTCTCCAAGCTCGACCCACGTACGCTCCAGGTCTTCGGCCCTATATGAGGTGTACACGCGTTAGTAACAACACCGAAAAAGTTGAGTGGAAGCACGGAAAAATGAACTTACGATTCCGCTTGCTTGAGGGCGATGCCCTTGTCCCGGCACGATGTCAAGAGTCGCCTCTTGGTCCTCTCGCGCTTGAACCACGCCATGGCCTCGCCCTTTACGTAGCCCGCCGTGCCCTCGCCGCTTTCCGGGACCGTCAGCCGCACGTGGATCTTGAGTGTGCCCGGGTGGTGCGTGACGGCGACAATCTCGTCGAGAAACACGCCAAAGTTAAACGGCGGATCGTACCGTACCCAGTCTGGCGGGTCTGCCCTCTGGAGTAGGTGTAGCTCCCATGTGCCGAGGTCGTCGTAGTGCTGGATGAAGTGCCAATACTGCGCGCCCTCTTCGGGTGTCGTATGCTGCCGCGTCCGCACCTGCCGCACATTGTAATCGTCATTGTCCACCGAGTCACCACATAACGAGTCCGTGTCCGTAAATCCTTCGTAAGCGAACTCATCCACCTCTACCGGCGTTGCCGGTGTCGTTGTCGCTGCCGTTTCCGCTGCCAGCGATACCATGGTTGGCACAATGGCCAGCGCCACGTCCGGCGGCGCCGTTACGCGTTTCTCGTCCTCCCTAGGCGGGGGCCCATGTGCCCCAGGGACAGGCGGGCCAGTTGATGGCATCCCCACGCCTCCCAGAGGCGGCTTATGAAGAAGTCCAGACGCGGTCCTCGGTCGCTTCGGGGACGCGGGGTACCTGCCGGCGACGATGCATTGCTGAGATTGCCGGCTGCGTCCTTTCGCCTTTGCCGGTCGGCCTTGGGGCTCTTGCTCGTGCCCTCGGCCCCGCCTTTCGCACCCGACGGCCGCCCAATGTTTCCAAATCCGCTAAGACTCCGCAGAGCTTTTAGCTTGGGATCATGATAGAAGTCTTTGAGCGTCTTGGTCAGATTGAACTGCTCGCCCTCTGCTAGCATGATTTCGTAGAATCGCTGGCGTAGCCAATCGGCGGGGCTAACCTTGATCTTGAACCGCTCCAGCTCGCTCAGCGTTGCCGCCAACCTATACAGCGTATCGTACGTGATGATGCCGGGCGACGTCCACTTCTTGGCCACAAACTGGTACGGGTGGAACGGGCCCGACTCGAGGAATTCGAGAATCACGTAGCCCCGCTTGACCTGCCGCCCCAGCAGGAATTTGGCGTGCGACGGCCGCGCTCCGCTGACATCGCTGAGACTGGCCTCGTGCTTCTCTTTGTACCCAGCAAGCACGCTCTTCGTGAGCGCGACTGGGTCTTTCCATGCCGGGTCCCAGTACGGGTGCTCCTCGTTAATCTTCCCCAGCGGAACCCCAGCCACGAGCTCGGGATGGGTGTAGACGCTACCATCATTAACAAGGGAGATGGTCGGGTTCACGAGCTTCTCTCTCTCCGCCGGGTCGAACTCGGCAACATTGGCGGGAGATTTCTTTCTTGCTTCCAAGCTTTCATCCACTAGAGGGCCCCCTCCCCGAGGTGGTGCCGGCGCGATCGGTCGATGAGACATCACCGCCTCCGAGGCCCCCGGAATCAATAAGGGTGGTGGTCGTGGCTCGAGAGCCGTGCCGGGTTTGGGGGCAAGAACGCGCTTCCCGGACACGCTGGGCGGCCTCTGCATGACCAAGGGCAGTGAATGGCGGCTGTCACCATCCTCCCCGCGGTTAAGAGGAGCCAGAATGGAGGCGGGCGGGATCGTATCCACGTCCTTCATTTCCACATCCGCCGTCGCCACGGTCTCTTGGCTGTCAGGGATCACGGTGCGCACGTGGCAAGCCTGCCTCGACCATTCGCAGTTCCCACACCTCCCAAACATATCTGTGGGGACCTTGATGCATTCCGCGAAGAGACCTCCAGGTTTAGTGCAGTTGCCGCACGGCGACGACTGCACTTCGCCTACGGCTTGAATCATAAATGCAACCCACTTGGAGGGCTTCGTGCCATGCATCTCGGCGTAGATGGGGTCCAGGTTTACCGAGTTAAACTTGCGACCCGCCCTGATATGAACATCTCTCTTCACAGGCAGCCTGAGCAACGCGTCAACCCAGGGGCTGCCCATTGGGAGCTTCTTGAGTGGCGCAATCACATGACCATCCGAGTGATGTACCAAGATGCCCATCGCTGCGTCATCGCTGCGTTGACCTTGCTCACCACGATCCTCGGGCGCGTCGCCCGGGACTTGGGCCAAATGCGGGTTCCTTAGTTGCGATATTATAGCCGGAATCAATGGCCCTTCGTCCCTGTTCTTCTTGAAGTGGTCTTGCATGTCGTAGTACGCCTTCCGGCGACTTGTCGCCAATTTGGCCAAATTGACCCTGTAGTCCTGCGTTAATTTCTCAAGGCTTGTGTTGTCCTCGCGCATGCGCGCACAAACAGCCTGTAGCTTGCGCTCAAGCATAGCCTTCTCGCGCGTCGATTCCTCCAGCCTGACCGTGATTTGGGCTTTCGCCTTCTCGAACTCGTACTCGAGGCGGTCGTCTTCCCCCGCTGCTTGACGCCGAGGTCGTTGAAGAATCTCTTCTCGAGTTCCTCAAACTCGACCCTCTCCGGCCCGTCAAGCGCAACTGACGGCGCGCAGAGATCCATGATGACTGGATCGATAGTCATTAGAGGAGGAGTAGACGTAGAGTGAGGCATGAGAAAGGCGGCGTTGGCGGAGAGCCGGAGTGGTCCAAAGCGTGGCGAAAGAGGCCAAGGGGTACCGAGGTTTCCAGGCCCCGAGCTGCCGGTATCGGTACGGCGGCGTTGACTCCCAATGCACTGCTACCGCTGTCACGAGGAGGGACTGGCTGGGCCCCGAAAGAGGGAGGTAGGGCGAAGTGGCGGCCGACGCGGATAAATGAGACGGTGAGTGAAGGCGAGGGAGGGTGCAGCCCGGCGAGTTGAGTCGCCCTCCAAGAGCTCTCTGGTCGCGAGTCGTGCACGCGAGTGTTCGGATGGTGGGCGTCAGTTGGCCCATGTGTCAGGATCTCGCGAATAATGTTGCGAGCTCGGGTAGTACAAAACCTAAAACGATAGGGAGGGAACAAAAAGGAAGAGGACTGTGGCGAAAGCGAGCGCTCCAATGGCAGATTCAATCACCGGATGCGCTGCGCGTGTAGGTTTCCCCTGTGGCGCCGCGGGGCAGCAGCGCAGAGACACGGGCAGGCAAATGCCGTCACCTCCAAAAGAACGGCAGATGCTACCGACGGGACCGGCAGAGAAGATCGCAAGGCTGCGCCGACTGGTAAGTGAGGAATTCCCAGGTGTGGTCTTTTTTCTCCGCGCGTGAGGCTGACGGTGATTGGTTCTAGAGTTAGTGGGTGGCCAGCAATTGGCTAGAGCTCGGTTCCTCGCGTAAATCATAAAAAGGCCGACGGCGTCGTCGCCCACGGTGAAGAAAAGGCGGGGAGTGAGAAGAGTTCGCTTCAAGAGCGAAGAAAGACAAAGCACGCGCCGACTATGCGCGTTCTCGAAACAGGTATCGAAGCGGCCGTCGCGGTGTCGTCGCGGCCGCTGAAGTGGGAGGGATGGGGTTGTCGGCGCGAGGAGAAGCAGGGATGGGCGTAGGGACCACGTTGCGAGTCAGGCCTAGGCCTTTGATGTGTTTTCAGGACCGAGAATCAGAGACGGGCCGAGGCATGAGGAAAGAGTCGATTCGCAAATCAACATTTACACGCGAATGAAGGGGGATGTGGCGGAAATTCCGGGTGTTGTAGAAGAAGGGAAAAAAAGACTGAGCGAGATGTTGATGACGGTTCTCATTTACAGCAAAGTCATGGCTCGTCGGGGGCTCTTTCCCGGGCGAGGTTCTAAAGTGGGGCGCTTACGATACCCACTCTCCACACCTCCAACGCACCTTCCATGGCCAAAGAGACAACTTGATGACTGGTGAATCACACACACTCAGGGACTCGACATGCAAAGGTGGGCCAACTCTTGGTCCGGAAGAAAAGTCCGACTGCACACCGGGCTGCCGAAAACCCGCACCCTGCCAGCCTTTGATTCTTCTCATATCGATATCGATGCCTATCCAGACACAGTTCAGGTCCCCCTTTTTTCTTCTTCTTTTTTGCCATCTTCTTTTTTGTTGCCACTTCTCCGTGCTCCGTCTCCGTTCATCTCCTCCAGTCGCTGCCGAGGTCGTCGGCTCCGAATAGGTGTCCAGAGTGCAACGCCCCCAAACATCCTATCCTTCTCCGGCTCCCTGCGAGGAGTGCGTCACGGCGACGTGTGCAAACTTGTTTCGAACATTATCACTGTATTTCATTAAAGGTTTCTATGCACGCTAAACTAGTCGTCTTCTCCCGATTCACCAACACGGGAGGCTTGCTGCCATAATATGATTGTCCCCATTTGACCCTCCCAAGCTGTGGCTTCATGTCCCCCGCCCAAAAAGGAGGGACAGGGTACCCCGCCTTTCTCTCAGCTTGGGGAAGCTTGAAGTCTAATCCAGTATATATTCCCAGGAGCTAAGGGCCGTTTGCAGCAGTAGTAAAGGTAAAAGGCCCAAGAGAGAATTAAGGTGATCTGGATCTTCAGCCAGACCAGCCAAGGTAACTTGACAAGAACGAAACCGCAAGTACCCAGATAAAAGGAAAGAAAAGGAGCAGGAAGAAAGAAGTGAAACAGAAAGAAGGAACGCCTTCGCCAGAACATGATCGTGAGAGAATATCAAGCCCTTCGATACCTCTCGCTTCTCGAATTCGTCTATAATTGTTTTGAGGTGGGAAATAAATGATACCAAGTGGGGTAAAAAGAAAAGGCACTCCCGAGATAGGCGCAGCTTGCGCCAGGAACGCGGAGAGAGCGTTAAGCAAGCCTGCTAGCGTCCTAGCTCGGAGACCGCCCACCCATTAGTACTTGCTGGAATACCGCTGAGCAGGTGGGGTTGGCGAGTAGGGGTGATCGTAAGAGCTGGACTGGCCATACGGATCGTCGGCGTATATCGTGGCTCGGCGCTCGTCTTCGGGGAGAAGCTCCTTGACTTCCCAGTTGTTCATCCTCGTGCCAACAGAGAACTCGAGGTCCTCCTTGGTGATGGAGTCCCAGTACTGTAGCAAAACCATGAGTGAATGGCCCGAGTGTGTTAAGCAAGAGGGTGGGGGGACGTACCTTGTAGATCATCATGACAGCTAGCAGGTTGCAGGTGGTGGCCAGGAACAGGCCGTCAACGTAGTGGCTCACGGCGACACAGATCTTGGAGCTAAAGGCGTACATGAGGACTTGTCCGACCACGAAGAAGAAGATGGCAAAGGCGATATCGCCGAGGGGCCAGCGGTCCTGAAGCGTCCTCAGTACGAGGAAGATTTGCATCACGACGTAGACAAAAAGCTGAACGGCGTTGAGCAGGTACAGGACGACGAAAAGTCCAATAGTATTGGTCGGCGACAGACCAGCCCACGCCTTGAAAGTGGCGATGGAAATGAGGAAGCTGATCACAAATCCTACAAAAGAGCAGATTCGGAGAAGCCAGACAGAAAGCGGAGTGCCATCTTCGTACAACTGGAAGCCGACAAACCCGTTAATAAAGAGGCAGGTGACGAGAGCTGACGAGAGTCCGTTTTGAATCGCGACGAAATAAGGGTACGGATCGGATCCTTGAGGCACAACGCCGGCGTCGATGCAGAGAGAGATAAAGGTAAGGAGCATGTATAGATAAAAGAAGGTCGTGATTTCCTTTCGGCCTGTTCCCACAAGGTTAGCCATCATGCCAGTCTTCCCTTGCAAGCCCGTCGGGTGCCACGGTCCTGATCTAGCCCGCGCGCGATCCCGGCTTCTCGACTAGTAATCGTAGTGTAGACGTACCAACGGCGGTGAATTTGCCTCTGACGTGAAGCACCATGATCACAGTCATGATGAGGGCAACAATGTGCATGGCGCTCGCCGCGCCCTCGAAAATCATCGTGTTCGCCAACTCAATATTTCGGGCGTAGCAGTCCGGTTCGATGCCGACATTACTCGAGACGTCTGTGACGGGTCCTATCGAGGCACATAGCGGCAACGGGGCCGTACGGCAAAGGTCTGTGAAGTCGCCGAACGCCATCTTCTAGGAACTCAAAGGCCTCGTGTTCCAAGATGCTGTTGTCGTCGTCGCTGTCGCCGATGTCAATGATGGGGTAAGTTTCAACACTGGCAATGTCAATGTCAACGTCGCGTTGAAAAAGATTGTTCCCAGAGTTGCGTCCTGCTTGCACTTCCAAGTCCTACAGGGGTTTGCCGGACTAAGGTGGGGATGGCGGCGCGTTTAATTTCGTTTTCAAGCCTGAGGGAGCAAAGCTGCTCGAAATGACCCTTCCAGCGACCGGGGAAGGAGACCAAAATAATTATCGACAGGCGAAACCAGCCAGAATGAACGAAAGGGCGATGGTTGTTTGACGGTAAAAAACGATCGTTGGGCAAGTGAGGGTAAAAATTCGTCACAAGGTGCGACACCGTAAACAGTGAGACAAGAAGCGGCTCGATCAGCAAGAAAAAGGGGGCTGTGGTGTCGTTCCCACCGATCAGGTCCTTGGCTCAGTTGGAAAATGGAGCACCGCTATTATTGCTGAACTCGTATTCCTGCCTCGTCCTTCTAAAAAGACTATTATTTTTGGAATCTTGAAAAGGATTGAAAGAGATGATAGCAAGGAAGACCAGGTCCGCCAGTGAGTGGGGGTATGTTTTGTGTCGCGGGCACTGGAAAAAAGAAGAACGAGCGACGATGTGTTCCAAGGATTTCGGGGAAGCGTGAGTGTGCCCAGCGCTAGCAAGAAGAACGGCAGGCTGAATGCGGCCAGAAAGCGAGCGCTGGTTGCCAGAGAGAAGGGGAAGGGAAAAGTGGAACAGCCGAGTTTGGGGATGTGTCCCAGGACCTGCCCGTTTAGCGCTGGAGGTCTCGTATTGGCTACTGCGGATGGAAATTGCCTAGCAACAGGGGTCTACTTCCTTTTCGGATGCATGCCAGGGATGATTCAGCAGTCCAATTCCATTTCCCAAGCTGGGATCAATGCAGTGATTGGGAAAGCCTCTCACGTGATTTTCAAGGTCCAGACCAGACTCCTTTCAAATTGATTGAAGACTGGAGCCCGCCGAGTCAGAAGACAGGGGCAAACGCCCCGTTCAGGCTGTAGAGAGATTGTGATGTCACCGATTCTCCATCGCTCGCTGGAGGTGTCAAGCTGAGACGGGCTCGCGACCTTGGGGTGGAGTTTCTGCCGCGTTTGCCGGTCGCCTAAAATCTAACAAGTCAATGCCTGTGCTCTCTTCATGTTTGACTTTGAGCTTGGGAATAATAAACCTGCCACGGCTCCCGAGATAAACTCTCTTTCTTTCTCTTTTGACCCGGTGAGGCTCGCCAGCTGGTAGCTCTGTTCTGTTCTTCTTTCGCCACCAGCCACACATTGCACGTCTGTCGGTCATCGGACTCCAGCTTGCCCGGCCTTTGTGCTGCAGGCCTTTCGGAGTCCGGAGAAGCAAGTTCTCGCCCCCAAACAAAATCTTGAAAGGAAAGCAAGAAGGAGAAACGACCTATTTTACTCCTCGCGCCTATAATCTCGTCATGACAATTAAGACTGGCTAGGAGCGGTTCCCTCCTATATTTGTATTATTCCTAAGAAGCCCTGGCAACGCATGCCTGAGGGCGCCCGAGAAGGCCTCTCAGAGCGTCTATAGCCAAGCCATGTTGCGCCACACGACCAAGAGGGCACGTAGAACTTCATCACGAAGATCTCGGAGAACTAGAAAATGATTCCGCATCGTTCTCACACCTAGATTTCCTTAAATGCGGGCTGTAAGCCGATTCATACCTAGTCCTAATAGCATTCGCTCACCCTCGAGCGGCCATTGATGTATGTGCGTTTGCCTTGCCATCCTCATCTTTCTCTAAGATAGACTCTGCCTCCCCTTCTAGTATAGAGCTCTACCAACGGTGCCCTTAGGGACATGGGACCACTCGTATCTTGCAAGAGCAGTTTTGTAAAAGCTCGTTGTTATGCAGCAGGGGCACCGTGGCTACCCCATCGGACTCTGATATGGTCTCCCCTAAACCACGAATGTCACAGAGCCTACGGCTAGGCAATAAGATACTCTACATGGCCGAGATGGACGCCTGCCACATTAACCGGGCACGGTTATGTTGAGTAGTTTTACCAAAACCTATCGGACGCCATTTGAAGAAAACCAAACCCCAGGTCATCTCGTCGTTTCCCGTCACCACCATCTAGCCCTGTGGACACATCCGGCATCCAGTCTGAGGCTCGGAGCGTGACTGGCATGAGGTGCTCGCCTGATCCTTGTAGAACGGATGCTTCGGTATATCCTCCGTGAGTTGTCTCCGAACATACCGACGATATCACGGACCTAATCCCTCCCTAGCAGTCCCCAAGAGTAGCTGGTCTTTAAAAAACTTGGGGGTTTTGCACTCACCAAAGGAGATCTATAAGAACCCTCTTTAGCTCAGGCCTTCTTTCCCCTCTGTTCGGGACAAGGCGAACATATCGCAGCTTTGGCCTTTTCCGCTAGTCGATCAAGAGCCTAGATGTGGCGGGTATGGAGGAATGCCAGACCTCTTCTCGGAGCTGTTCTGGAAGAGGCCATATCACCCCCCAGCCTGCGCCTGCCGCATACTTGCTACCAATAGCAGTTGCCAAGAGTGTGCGAATCTCGCTACGTAACAGATACGTGAGATGAATAGCGATGGAACTCGAGTTATCAAGCAGAATCGCAAGTCAACCAGGCCGATGGCCAGCCCGAGATCGCCGGGCCATCCAGCCAACTGCTCATCCAGCTGGCCGCCTCCCTCCTTAACTGAATGTCGCGCGACCGTCGTCCTCTTAGGGGAAGCCTAGCCTGGGGGAGGCGGCGCCTCCTATCCCACTGGTTCCCACCATATCAATCTCTCTCGGCTCTGTCTGGTTTCTGAAAAGAGCTGCTACCGGGCCATAATCTTTGGCTACTGTGCCTTGTCGAAGGGCGTGGTTCAGAGCAATCATAGTTGTTTACCGTCCCTACTTCTCTGTCCTTGCCCTCCTTGCGGCACCTGCTCTGACCGCCCAGACCAGTTCTGTCCGTCACGAAGTGTCCCCTGTAGGCTCGCCAACTTATCGCGAAACAAGGCTCCGCGTTTGAGCTGGAAGCACGCCCGTGACCACCTGCAAACTATGCAGAGGGCCCGGAGCCGTCGGGGCGACCACCTCGGCGCCGACTTTATATGCGTCTTTTCCTCTTCGAGAGACCGCTGCGTAGAGGGAGCTAGACATGCCATGGGAGAATGCGATGAGTCGAGCGCGGGGAACCGTGACGCTATAGCCTCGAGTAAAGAGGGCGGGCTGGCTATCCCTTCTCACGGAACGAGGTGAACTCCAAGAAAAGGGAAACGCCGGGCCCATAGGATAGGCGATTTCACCGTCTCTGTATCCTCCAGCAAATCAGTTCGGTCGGGGGTTAAAAGGAACCGTTTCCCCGCCGAATGGCAGTGTCCAAGACTCACAACCATATCCGGTTCCCGGCGGTGTTGGCAGCACCGCGCCATGCCACAGTATTCCTCTTTTCATCCATCGGATACCGTGTGGCTTACACGACAAGTCGCGCGACGCGGAAATATATGCTGCATAGCCCTCGGTTGAGGGGAGCACAGTCCTGCCCTCCAATGTGAGATGTCTATATCAGCCATCATACGAGGGAGGGCGGCTAGCATCGAGCCCGATGCCCATTCCCATGCACACCGACTGCGGCTGCACCTAAGCTGGTAAAACTTGAAAGGCTGCGATTGCACCTGGCTTCCCCACCTAGTTTTCGGTACAAGTAAGATCAATTTGAACGTCATTTTCACCAGTTGCTGATCGCCCGCGCTTGCACGGGCTGTTAGATATCGAAACGTGAGCCTTCTCCCCGCCCATCACTTAAAAAGACAAAGATTCAACCCCCGCACTTAGCTCTGCAAACAAAAGTGTATTTTATTCTCCGACGAGAAAAAGAAAATTGGAAAAGAAAGAATAAAAAAAAGTTCCATCGAAGCGGAGCTGGTGCCTTGAATTGTTTGGTTGAGGAACCAAGGTTGTATATGCATCGCATTACACCGTTTGTTTCACTCCTTCCGTCTTCTTCCCAGGAGAATTAAGGCCCACCAACCTTGAATCCTCCCCCTCGCGCGGAGCCCAAATGTCGCAAGGGGAAACCCACGAGTGCCTGACGAGGGTTGATAGGAGACTCGGGGAGCGATGGACCAAGCAAGCACGGAGACAAGCACGACTTGAGAATACGGCGCTCAACTTCCAGATATCAGAGGAGATGGTCCCCACCACGACGACGGTTTTACCTCACCTTAAGCGGGTTTTTGATAGAGTAAGCCTGCAAGCAAGGTTCCCGTCTGAACACATGTACGGGCAGAGATCCGACCCATCTCCTCAATTTATAGCAGAGCCACGAAAGTACCTACGCTTTTAACCCTCTTGTTTTCTTCTTCTTCTTATCACCGTATTACGCTTCACCCTCTCGTCATGCACCAGACGCACAGGGCTCTGCAAGCGACCTTTGGTGCCCTCGCGGGAGGTCTCTAGCTTAGGTAACACACCTCCTCCCCGACAAAGAGCGTCACCCCGCGACCTCGTTTCGAAAATGAGAGGGATCAACGGCGTAGCGAAATAATTAGCTTTTACAAGTCATCACGTTGGCTGGGTCGTGAGCTTAATACCCTGCCGCTGGTATTTAAAAAAGGGGGTTAATGAGAGAAGACGGACGAGGGGTTGAATCAGGGACGAGGATCTCCATTCCAACCCCGCCGGTCGCTTGGTTCACCTGTTTCGTGGAAATCCCCGTGCTCGACCAAGGAAAATGGAGGTTTAGAAAAATCAATCAAAGCAATATCGTAGCGGGAAGGGGGACCGCAGGGATTTGTTCTTCTTGCTGAGATTAGGATTTCGACCGAAGCACAGTCGTTCAGGGATGAGGCTTGCGGAGGGGTGGGGGTGTGCGTGGACGAACAATTCTGTTGGCTTCTGGTCTGGGGAAGCAGATCGCCTCTTGTAGTCTTGGATTGGCTTTCAGCTCTCCTTTGTCTTGTTGCCT